GAATAATCCTCTAATCTTCATTCCCTGTTCTGTCTCCATGTCTCCCTGTCCTCCCCCCCACCACCCCTCCTATCATTGCCCCTCATAGTTTAGAGACAGCCAAATCCACGGCCCAGGCAGCCACCATGGCAACTCCAGTCGACCTCAACATGGCCTTCACCCAGCCGGCCTCCCCAGCTGCCTCCCCCGCACCCACCCTGGCCGCCGTGGGCACCCTGACCCCGGCTCATATGCTGGGCACCCCGTACGGAGCCATGCCCCTCTCCGGGCTGCTGGGGGTGAAGTCCGTCCCCTTCCTGACTCTGTCCAGCCCCGCCCCCGCCGTGGCCGTCACCGCCGCGCCCTCCCACACCAGTCTGGCCGCCTACACCGCCAAAATCTCCTCGGCCAACTGCATCAAAAAGCCAGAGAGACAGAAGTTCGCTCCCTACTGAGGCAGCCTCCGAGCTCCGAGCGCGGAGAGTCAGATGAAGGACAGCTGCAGTGCTCGTTCACAAACGCCCTGATGTAGCCATATCCGCTGGCAGAGATGCTCTTGACTTTATATTCTACGACGCACCAACAGAGACGAGACCAATGGAGATGTGGACAAAGCTATTAAAAAGTTACATATGATTCTAGATAATTTGTGAGTTTCCCATGAATTGATGGACCGCTTTCATCGTCACCTCATCACTGTTATTGATCACTAAGAAAAAAAAGAAAAAGAAAAAAAAAAAAGGGCTGGGACCTCACCTGAGAGATACATGTCCAACTGTTGTTACATGTGTACCTCAAGTTAGACATCAGCTACGTATTTATCCTTCAATAAATTTGTAAATTATACTCAGATGACAAATGCTCTACTGTATGATGCTTTTATACAATGTCTATGTTTGCCTCTTGAAGTTTTTAAGAAAATTTGTAAATGTCTGGGGGGTGTTTTTTTTTGTTGTTTTTTTTTTTGTTTTTTTTTTTAATAATCTGTGCTATGGTACTGTACTTTACTTGGTTCAGTGTTATGTCTGTTTTGTTGGATTTTATTTTGAATGTGCAACTTGGTTAATCTTTATTTATTAGTATTGTTTCATTTATTAAAAGTCTTTGGTTCCTGATATGGCAGATGTTACTGTCTCCTCAGTTTTTTTTGTTTGTTTTTTTCCCAATTCCTTCACTGACATTTAAAGAGTAGATCCAACAGTTGAAACCAAGTCAGTGTCAAATTAATGCAGCAGCACAGGAGCACATTTTCAGGAGGTATAAGCGTGCTCGAGGAGACGCGATGCCAGACTTGGGTTATTTTTGTTTTCTCCCAAACACCGACTGGATGGCAGCTTGTCTTTCTAGCTGCTAAACTTTATGAGAGATGCTTTTCACATCAATGTGCTCTTGTGCCCCAAACAATAACAGCAGAATGAGACGGAGCAACCCCCGAAGAGAAAAGAGCTCTGTCTTCGTGCCGAGCTAACGCACTGACATGCGTGTCAGTGTGCATGCACAGAAACGGATACAGAATCCCTCAGCTGTTGTGTGTGTGGAGAGTACAGTCTCTGCAAGTCCCTTAGGACAAAGTACAGTGAGACTGTAAGGCAGGGGAGTTTGTGTGAAAGAGAAAGAAAAGCAGGGAGCTGAGACAGAGAACGGCAAAGGAGAGGATTCACAGTGATGCTGTAAAAATGAAATTCAGTCTGCATCAGCATGCACTGCAGCATCATCATCCTCAGGAGAGGCAGCGAGGATCCTTTCATCCTATCTGTTCTGTTTTTTTTGGTGGGGGGGTTTGTTCCTGTGACTGCATCATGGATATGTGAGACACTAAGAGAGCACAGTTCTCATTGTTACCAAAGACATTCACTTTTAGAGGCAAACATCCACTATCTATCTATCTATCTATCTATCTATCTATCTATCTATCTATCTATCTATCTATCTATCTATCTATCTATCTATCTATCTATCTATCTAGTTAAATTGTAAGGTCATGCACGGATTGGCATAAATCCAACAATTTAAAATATGACTTTTCAATATATGCTATATTCTTATATGCTGGTATGTCTAATTACCCTCGAGGGACTCAAACACTACACTCAGGGTCTCAATTAATCACTTGTTCCATCTGTAAGCCACACATCACCTCTCACTTAGACAGCGCGAACCGACTTTGAGGCAGATCCGTGTTCATTATATTTAAAGATTTGTTAACAGCTTGAATTTATTTATAACTTACCAAGGTGAGCGATGTTTTTTTTTGTTTTTTTTAAACGTACAAATAAAACCTCACTTGCTGCATTTCCACACATCAAAAAACAAAAAAACAATACGCTGAATATCAAAGTAGGACGGTGGTGACAGAATGAAGTTTGAGCCGCTGAGAGCAGGGACTTTAGCTGTCACTTTTTTTTCTCTTATCTTTTTTCATCTGTGGCGGACCCAAGGGTTGTGTGACATGCTGTTATCGATGCACACACACACATATATACACACACACTTCAAGCACACACAGACACTCATAAAACAATGACAGTAGCTCTGCATTCTCACTAGGATTGAGCCTTGTGTTGTCATTCTGTAACACACAGTGCCCTCTACTGTTGTTTCTCTATACTGCCCTACCAATCACAGCACAGAAGAGGTAATGAGGAAGAGTTAGAGCTGATAAAAGATTGTCTTTAATGTTTGGCATTGTTAATGAATTCCATACCACAGCAGTTATGGGAGTAGGAAAACCACTTTTACAACCAAACACTGTTTGATCATGCTAACACCATATGTACAGGAAAGCACATTGAAAAGTGTATAAAGTATTTATATGAGAAGACTCAAAGTCAAGAATGGTGGAGACAGCCACAGTCTAATGGATTTGTCCTTTTCCAAACACTGATTACAGATATTTATCAATTACATTGATCTCTGGAGTACATGTATATACACAAAACAACAATAAACCTTTTTGGGGCTTCTGCAATAATTCTCAAAAATATTTCACAATACTGCTGTATGTACAATAACAGAATTTACATTGAAAAATTCTATTGTACCTATATTTTGAGTATCACTTCAGTCGCCAGTTATCTTCAATGCCATCATGCTCACAGGAGATACTCACATACTGTTCATGTCCCCGTAACCTCAGGTTCGTCTCCATACAAAGTACAGCAGCCTATGCGGCACCTGGGCCTTCTGTCTCGGTACGGTTTCTGAAATATGTTCACACAACTGATGATCTCACATACAAAAATAGATGTTGTCTAGTCAGCTGACAACTTGATGTACAGTAACACAAAGCATCCACCTGCAAAAAACAACCAGGAAAACAATTATTTTTGTTAAAATATTAGCTATATCCTTCCAAACCCACAACATGACAATTAAACAGCGCTTTTCTGCTGCTCCACGAAAAAAAGTAAACCTCTCTGTCAGTCCGGGCTTCGGCGGTTCGGTCTTCTGCAACACATCATCAGTTTTCAAACAACAGAAGGTGATCGGGAAAGAGTCGCAGGCAGAATAAGAAATATTAGCGCTACAAACCAAACAACAATCTGAAACCAAAGCGGGACGAAACCATACAAAATCATCACTAGGTAAGATATCTTTTTTTCTTTTTTGTTTTTTTTCTTTTTTTCCTTTCAGGGAGCGTATAGTGAACAGAATGAAAAGGAGAATGGCTGTCACTAAATGAGCTTCTCACAGTCCGGATGAGAGGTCAAACTGCATTTGAGTGCACTTAAGGCAGGTAGGCGATTCCAACGCTGTCTGTGTGGGCTCCTCGACCAGCCACTCAGCGGGCGGGGGGCTTGACAGTGTCGCCGGACGGAACACAATGCCAATGCAGCTGTCCAGGTTCAGCCCTCACTGCTTAACATGGTCTGACAACCATACAGAGAAGGAAAAAGATGGAGGGGAAAAAAAGAGAGAGCGATAGAGTGGTGTTGGTGTTAGAGTGTCCAGCAAGTAGTTGAGGTGTGAAGTGGAGAGTTCTTCACCGTGAACATGAAAGCTGACAGGTGCGGGACCCTGTCCGTCATTGTCCTCAGTTTCCCCTCAGTCTGCCTGCCGAACGCTCTCGTTCCTCTCCAGATATCTTTTGTCACACAAAAGAGACAAATAGAGACTTCTTCAACATAGACGGAACTTAAAGCACTTAAACGAAAAACCAGGTTTGCAGCTTTGTGCAATACAAGTAGAACATCTCATCTGAATACATTCACGTAGGTTTCCATACGCAGGGTACGGATGCGGAAAATCGTCAGTGACCGAAGTTCATGTCCCTTGAGATGCCGGTCCAAGAGAAGAGCTGCAAGTTCAACCTTAGAGACCTGCGATTTATGACAGCCCGGCAGCGACACGTGATAGAGTGCGCCATTTGATATGATTCACTATTAAGGAGCACTTAACAGTGTTTTGAAAAACATAATGGACATAAGCTTTTGAAAACACTATAATGTAGCAAATTTATCAAAATAAGAATTCATATATATGAAGCATTTAAAGCAGAGAAGTCACTTCACTGTGAATAATAACCCTCTATAGTTTCCTCGTGTTGTGAAAATGACATGAAAAGCAAAATTAGGGGAAGTTCAGAGCTAAAACTGCACCTGGGATCATGTTGGTTATGATCGTGTTTGTCATATTTCACAAAACTGTTGTCATATTATTCTCAAATGAAAAAACATGCTCACAGACGAGTTGTACAATTTGTGTACAATCAATATCAATTTTTGAACAAAGTTAATCCGTCTCATTGTTCAACAGATATTTTTCTTTTAATTATATCTAAGAGGCCACATGGAGCAGCGACGGCAGTTGTGCCTCAAACTGTAGCTTCATCGAGGTTCACTCCTTCTTTTCTTTCCCTCACGCGCACCGAAATTAAACCACAGAGCATAAAGGGTCAGCTGAAAACACTCCACCGGTTCACATTTGACTCTCTCTGTTACTGCTCCTTTAACCCAATGCAAATGAGGGGAAGAAGACAAGGAGAAGAAAGCTCTGACTGAAATTTAGCTGGAGCCTCAACATCACTGTGCCTCCTCATGCTCCTCGCTGATGCACTGCTCCCAGGCGTGTTTCCCCTGGTCCTCCCTGTGGCCATGAGGGGAGTGGAAGATCCTGCGAGGCAGCGGGATGGGCTGAGGTGGCAGCTCCTCCTCAGGGATGCAGCCCTCTCTCAGGTAGGGTTTGGGGGGCACAGCTGGAGGCTGAGGCCTGCGGTAGGGAATGTGATGAGGGCCGTGAGTGGGAGCATGGTGGTGAGGCGGTGGCCCGTGGGGGTGGCTGTCCAGCCCGGGGTGGGCATGAGCGTGCGGGTGCGGGTGGGTGTGTGGGTGCGAGGCAGGGCTACGGTAGTGAAAAGGGCGGACTGGGTCCATGGAGTCGATTTCTGGTCCTCCGTAGTGGATGTGTAGGTAGGGAGAGGCCAGGTACTCGTCAGGGGGGGACCACAGGTGACTGGGAAGAGGCTCCAAGGCGTCGTTCCTGATGGGACCAGGATCAGGATACTGACCTCCGAAGTTACTCTCACTCAATGAGGAAACGCCGCTGCTGGCGCTGCCCGACAGAGTGGAGTTACTGCCCCCCAAAGCTGACTGAGGGCTGGTGGGGGAGCCAGGGATTGGGTGGAGAGGAGACTGCAGAGAGAGGGAAAGAAAGGGGGTGTTTCCCTTTACAGTAAACTTTCATTTCAAATGTGTTTTCCAAAACTAAGCTAATTTTTCAGTATTATATCAACTTGAGGTCTTAATGGTGTTTTAAATAAAGAGGAGCAAAGATAAAGAAAAGAGGAACGGGAGACTCAATAAAGTATAAAATTCAGTCAAACAATCGAATAGAAAACAATCATATGTCACTTCTACAAAGTCTGACCAAAAAACAGTGGACAAAGCTTGTACCAAGACTTACATTTCTAACCGTGTCCTGCACAAAGCTGGCAAATATGCATGCTATACCAAAACTAAAGGCTGTTGCAAAGCTGTTTGTAAAAGTCTTGGTATCTGACTACAACAAATGATGATACCTTTCTGAGAGAACGGACAGGCAGGGCAGGAGGAGGGTCACTGTTCTGGTGGTGAAACGCATCACAGTGCATCAGGAAATGTCCTGCAAGGAGAAGTTAAAGTCATACAAATGAGAAGAGCCTCATCTGCATTGCAAAGCAAATAAATAAAGTACATCTCAACACCAGCCTAAACTTTGTTAAATGAATGAAGGTAAATGAAGAAGTACCTGGTGGGAAGGACCTGGGTGGGACAGGCGGCATGATTACCCCTCCAGTAGAACCTGGCATGTAGGACACCTGCTCCCTGTTCTCTCCGTCCAGACCCCAGCTGGTGGGCACATTGGGAAAGACTGGAGCGAGACAGAAAAGCATTTTAGAACCCTGCAAACATCTCAGGTGCACAAAAAATATTTCACCTCGTTTGCGAGTTACCTTTCTCTGGTAGATTCATGTGAGGATCAGCACAAGGCTTACAGGGGCTAACTTGCTGAAGTAAGGCACGCTGCATGTGGTTGTTCTGGGAAAAGAAAGACAGAAGCACAAGTCTTTTTACAAATGACAAACTCCACGGAAACTGCAGCTCAAAATCGTAATGGTTCTTTAAAAATCAACATTACCTAATATTTTGAATTATTACAAACATTTTGCATCTGTAGTGTTTTGCATATTATGATACAGTCGGTCTGTCCTACCTGTCCGTTCTCTGCCATGTTGTAGTACATGGAGTTGTTGGCCCTCTCGCGATGAGACGGCAACAGTATCATCACTTCTCGGTTGTGTTTGGCCTTATCGGGCAATGACGGAGAGCCTGGACAGGGAAAAGACATGGAAGTATACTATTTTCACTCGCAGCAACCCCTTTATATCTAACAGAAATATTTTGTTGTCCTAGAAATGCAGATATTTTAGCTGGACACAATCACAAGATATACATATATTTACTCTGGTGTGACTTTCTGCTGCTGCATTATTTACCTCTGGCACTTGATGGAGCAGAGTTGATAATCTGGGAGGAGTTGGAGCGGATTGAGCTCAGGCTGGAGGACGAGGGGCTCGGCTGCAAAACAGAGAATATTCAAGATTAAGCAGGGGAAAGATTAACGCTAAAATTGTACATGCATTTATACTGCAACAAGAGCAGTAGTTTTCATGTCAGTTGCACTTTAAAATGCAGAATTGTAATTATTCTAATCTAGACTACATGTGTGCCAGTGTGTGTTTGTTTGTGTTTTCTTTTTTTTTAGTCCTACCTGCATGTGTAATGCCTCCTCAGGGTGCTCCCCCATCAGGCCGTCGGTCATTATGACGAGGTTTCCTGCCTCGCTCGACGTGTGAGAGGACAGGGAGGAGGATGAGTGACGGATTGAACCCTGCAGGTTCAGAGGGCTGCAGGACAGAGATAAGGTGGGAGACCATAAGAACGTTTATCGCTCTGTTTATTCACGTGTCCCTATGCATTTTTATTTCACGTGCCAGTTTGAAACATTTTTGAGCAGGAGAGACATTTTGAATAGTGCTGTTTTGTTACGGCAGGATTAAACATTAAGGATGGAGTTAAATAGTTTACCTTAAACTGTATTTTATACTGAATTAATTAAGTATATAATGGCTAAGGTGATAAAATTGCTCCTCGGCTTTGTTGTGTATGTGTAATACCCCCATCTGGTGAGTGGGAACTGGAAGTGGGATTTGGAAATTCTCTGATAAGCAATTTAAAAAATGGATGCATGGAATTTTAAGTGTGAACATTCCTTAAATCCCAACAGCACTTTCCACTGTCAATCCTGTGTTAAGATTAGATATGCAGGATACTTTAGCCCGTGTGTGTGACTGACCTGTGTCTGTGCATGAGGCGGACACTCTCAGGGCTCATGTGGCTGTGGGAGGAGAGGATGCCTCGAGGAGAATTGACCCCTTGGCAGCCTGCTGGGCCAAATCGATCCACGCCAGGCACACCCTGCTGGGATCCAACCATATACTGCTCTGAATATTTACACTGCTCATGAAAATGCATTAAAACACTCACACTGGACACATCACAACTGTGACTTTATCAGCAGGAATCAGGGACTATATATGAAGACCAAGAAGGCTGCCATGTTGTGCTGGTGAAGTAATTGGGACCAGAATCTGCTCAGCAGCACCAGGAGCAGGACATCAATAACACCTCTCCAATACCCGATCTCTACTGTAGAGACTCTGGTTGCAAATGACATCACCAGAACGACATGGCAGCTCCCATTTCCGAGATATTTTGACCCTGTTTTTACACAATGGGAGGAGGTGATGACATGTTATCTATCCTTGCTTACAGCTGATGGGAAGAACCCAGTTCAGACAGAAACATAAAACATGGGTCATATGTGACTTTACTCACATGGTGTAAACCTGTCCTCATCATATGGAACTGGTCTACGAGCTTCTTGTGCAGAGGACGCATCTCCGGATGCACCAGCTTCTCATGAACAGCCAGACCCACTCCAAGAATGTGCACCTGTTGAATGAAATCAGAAGAAAAAGCCACGATGTTAGCACAGTTCAGCGTGTTCACCAAACAGCTCCCCATGAGCTGAACTTTTGAAGCCGAGTCCAACCTGCTCCTGCATGAGATCCTTCAGGTGCGTGATCCTCTCTGTGTCCTCAGGGTGACTGCTGATGTAGTCCTTGTCAAAGAAGGCCTGTTGGAAAGGATGAGTCAAAAGATGAGGATCTCTCACAACAACAATTCATCATTCATCATTTCCGCAGTCGTCCCTCCCTCTCTCCCTCCCTCTGGCCTAGAACTGTACCTCCTGATATCTTGCGATGCCTCCGTTCACAGCAGCATCTATGACGCCGTTGAGGCACATGCTGAGCGGGTTGATGTTGCCGTGATGCTGTCTGTGTTGGTACTGGCTTATCAAAGTCCGCAGCTCCTGGGTCTTATTCTCCACCACATAAATGGCATTTTCCAGGGGGCTCACCTCCACCTTGAAATAAATACAAGTGAGCTTTGCTGGAAAGGTTGAGGAAGCATGTATGTATGAGCAACAATACATCTAAACTCGCTAACATCCCTCTTCAGGTAACAAAGTGTGCAACGTAAGATGAATGAGTGAACGTTTGAGCTCCTCACCACTTCTCTCCTCTCCACCTCCGCCCAGCGGGAGATCCCAGGGAGAGGACGGGAGAGGATCAAGGTTGTTCTCTCAATCCATAAACTCTGTTAAATACACAGACACAAAAAAAAATACTGAGCTTGTGTTATCGCCTATCAGCCACTCCTCGTAATATAAAGAAAACCTAGTGGACTGTTTGTAACAGACGAACAACCAGGCTGGCAAATGCTTTGATGGCACAGTGCAGTAGTAGAGAAACATGTAGGTCATTTCAGAGAAACGAGCAGTCCTGTGTAGTCTGATTCCAAATCTGGGTTACTGTGTCAGAGGAAACTACAGTATCACGCCTGGTCAAAGTCTCTAAAGGCCTGCGGGTTGTAGATTTTTTTTTGGCGCTGTTAGCTGCTCGAGATATGGAGGGTGAGTACAGTAACAACAACAACAAGACCTACGACTGAAATATTGTGATAAACTGTTTAATTTATAACTTAAGGAAAATAGCGTATGGAGAGTAGCGTGAGAGTATTTTCAGCAGTTCTGACTGGATTTGTGCAGGACTCTGGTTAGCTGTGCACATCTTATTTTGGTTCCACAATCTGGCATTCTGGTTTTCAGAAACCTTTCTATGAGTGTTCTGATAGAAACCAGAATATTGTGGTATGTAAGTGCTTTACAAATGTTTCAGAACATTCTTGTTGGTGCAGACAACAGCGGAAATCAAGACCAACTGTGTGCAAATGATAAGAAAACTGGATGCTGTTATAATCCTGTGTGCAGGTCATATGAATAAACACATTTTTCATTTTCTGTCCATGACTGAGATTTTTATTCAATAAGTATTTTAGGTTTGTCGCACTAAAGTCAAGTATATATTTGTGTGAGAAGCTACGTGTGTCCATTATTCCATTATGGAAGTGCAGCTCTGGCGTGAGATATCTGAAACTTTTCCTCTTGACACATTACATCATTTTGCAGTTATTATGACTAATGCACCCACGTCTCAGTCAGGGAATCCTACAAGTACAGTTGCAAATGCTGCTACACAAAGAAGACATATGTGGAAGAATACTTGATCAGAATTTACTATCCAAAGAAAAGCAAATAAACCAGGAAAAATGTCTCAGAAGTCATGGCAGCATATGTACATTATTTTGATGTTTAGCTGACAAGATGTGACACTAACATTATGAAAACCTTCATCAAAATCTGATTCATGCATTAATTTGTTTTCTTTTGTTTCCAGGCAGCTGTCAATCAAATCTAATCAAACCAAACCCACGCAGCTCTGACGAAGCAGTTTTCGACTGTTAAACTAACGGTGTTTCTTGACAGCGTCTATCTTCAGTTCTTGGTTATGTAGCAGAGAAATATTCAAGGTTTATTAAGTCAGAGCTTTTAGAGACTTTTAAAGGAATTACTGCCCAAAAGCTGCAGGCCTTCTCCAGTGGCCACCAGGGGGTGTTGCACCTGCTTACATCACCTGAGTTTGTTAAAGCTAAAAAAAAAAAAAATCAACTGCAGTTTCCATAGAGCTGGATCCATTTCATGTTTTTAAATAGTGCTACATCTGAGCTCTGTATTTTTGTGAAGAGCGCTAAACTGTGAGGCAGAAATGGGCTCAGAGTGGCACTGCTGGGTCACCGTACCCTGAACTCATTCTCGCGGTCCTTGGGCCCCTTGTGGAAAGGCCTGTCATAGTGGAAGCGGCTGACATTGTTTATGCGGTAGAAACTCTTGATCCTCTCAGGCACACGTTCCAGCTGAGGCACATCAGAGATGTCTGACACTGGAGTCACCGCATAGATCTGCAAGTCTAGAAGCCAAGTGTCAAGGAAGTGACAGACAAGACAGACGTACATGCATATTCACAGAGGAGGAAGAGCAGGAGGGATATTCAAAGGAAATGCTTACAGAGAGCGTTTGTTTTCACTGTCTGACTCGCAACTTCAATCCCAAATTCAGTATTTCTAGTTGATCTGTATTAACTTCTAATAAGAATAGTCAAATAATGAGTTGCATATTTCACCAAAACAAAAATGATAAATCAGATATTCAAGTTATCTAATCTATTAAACAGAAAAAAATCAAAACATTTCTGGTTCCAGCTTCTCAAATGTATTCAATATGAGTTTCTCTGGCAGTCTAACAGTGTCTCACAAAAAACAGTGTAATAAATAGCAAAAATATCAGGATACACTGAGCGTCGCTCTGCAGGATGGTGTCGTCTGGTTGGTTGGGATGCTGCATGGCGATGGCTTGTGGAAATTCCCCCAGCATCCTTTGCTGGAAATCCTCAAGCCGCTCGTAGTCATAACCACGACAGACAAACTCTTTGTTCTGCAGAGAGACGAAGGCAACAGCTGGAGTGCTTCAAGACTGACAGTGGCATGCAAAACTGGCAGCTCACATTTTTGAGGCGATCATGCTGATGAGAATCTGTTGCACATGACTGTCCGGCCCCAAGTGAACTAATAATAAATTTCATTATATATATTCAGACTTTCATTTCATATATTCAGAGTTTCATTATATATATTCAGAGTTTTACATATATATATATAATTTCCTAAACGGCATGCAATATGTGTGTGTGTGTATATATATATATATGTAACTGCTTTAGTACTAGTAGTATTCACTGCAGTGTTAGTGTAACTAGTTTTGTTATTTTAGTAAGAGTAGATTAAACAAAAAGCAAAAGAAAAAATGGCTTTATGGTTGGATTCCCAGTCCTGCTGAATAACCAGCAAGAGTTGACTTTTTTGAGAACCGAGTTATGAATAAAGCATTTCAATACATGTCCAGCAGTTTTATAAAGAAATACAGTTTGTCTTATTAAGTCATGTGTGTAGCCATCTAATTTAAGATGAATATTTACTCTCTTTTTAGTACTGCTTTCAATCTCCAACTCTTCATTTAGTGTTGAGCAGCGAGCATGCAGCAGGTTTTAGGGGTTTTGCAACAGCTGCCTGCAGCATCCAAAATCTAGCGCTATCTGTCGTCACAGGCTGTCCACTGCTGCAGCTCTCTGCTGACTATATGAGAGCAGTGAGAACGAACCAAAACAGCCAAAGTTGTGAGCCAAGCAGCAAAACGATAAACTGAAACTCGCTGAAAAGCTCTACAAAAGCAAGAGGAGCAGCAGATTTAGGTGATAATTCTCTGTCGGGAGGTCACTGCTGTACTGACATACTATTATTATACAAGTGTTGAAATGATGTGATGTATATATTAGGCATCATCAGTTACTAATTTACACATAGGCACATTTTTGTTTTGTACACAAGACAGAAATTGGTTAAATAGGCTGTGGCAATAAAATAGTTTTGGGGACACATTTTCTTACATTTTAGGATGATATACCAAGTATTTATTTATTTATTTTTTAAGAGTTTCATGACTAAATCTGCCAGTATGGCCCTGTGGATTTTTCTCTGCTGGCACAAACCAAATATTCTGCTTACAAACTAGAAGCCCCAGTGTGTGACACTCGTTTTAAGTTACCCAACTGCACATGGCACTCGTATAATTAGGAACTGCCTTATGCTGGTAGTTACACATTTAGTTAAAGTTTCAGTTTCCCATCTCGGGCTTCTGCTAGCAAACACTGTGATCGGACCACATCAGCACAATCCTAACTGTGTCAGGAAAGATGAGAGAGTTGGAAAGTCTTACCCTGAGGAAGAAAGGAAACTTCCTGCCATAGAAGCCCATTCGAAAGAACTCCGGTTCAATCCTCTGCTGTTCAATGATGTTGTCATAGTACGCTGCCTCCATTTTCTGTGACACAATGATAAACATTCAGAGGAGTCATGATGAATAATGATTTAATCACACACACTGCTGAATCCTCTGCATTTCCTGATGAGTGTAGGCGTGCATTAGGTAGATAATTAGGACATTGTGTTTGACGCTACACGCACTTCACACCGCATAACAGACAATGACGACGACAGAGGGAGGTGAAAATCTCACCTTCCAGCATCACAGAGGATGCTTGTTTGATAATAATGGCAGAAGCAGAGAGCATGCGAGGCTTTACTTACCCGTATCCAGCTGAGGCTCTGATAATCATATAAAGTCTCATACTGGAAAGCCAGCTCCCGGCAGAGAGAGATCCCATATTCCCAGCACTGCAAAGTCACACATAAACCAGATAAAGGATGAATGGAAGAAATCGTTCATCCTTTATAATCAGCAGAGATCAGAAACTGGCTACTAGATCCTCACACATTTACAGAAGGATGAACAACAGGAGACAAAATGATATACCAGCATTCAAACAATGAAAAGGAAATATTTGAGCCAAAGAGCCATTATCATTTGAAGGTAAGCAAAAAAAAAAAAAACTTCATCAGACTCTATAAGAGTCTTGTTCTCAGACTGAGTTATATTTATATTCCAAAGGGCAAAGCTAAAAGCAGGAATATCACATTTAGAATTGAACACAGCTTCAAAATGTGTGTGAACGCTGCAAACAGGCCAATATAAGTTCTTTATTGTTGTCTGTTTTGTTTCCCCTGTTTACTTTAAAAGATGAATGTACGTCTTGCTGAATTAATATTTCATGGATACAATCACTTGGAAGTTTAAAGCAGCATTTATAGGTTTATTACACATACTGTGCGGTTGAAAGCGGCAGTGAGTTTTATTGGTTGTTATTTTGTTTTTCTGTCTTTCTCCACTCGTTTTACTTTGCACTTCATTGTTCTTCATGATAGCAAATTATTGTGTTTGTTCCAGTTGCATAAAAATGCAATCCTGTCACACAGCTGCTTCATTACCATCAGCAACACTTTCCGGTTCTGAGATTCAGCTTGATGAAAACGTGAACTGTGTGCGGTCAGGATTTCCCAATTAGTCAACATCGCAATAAAATGTCAGGTTATGAAGAGACAGCTGCCCAGTTCTGTGCTGGTTTTCCTCACACAGCTCTATAGTGTACTTGAAAAAGGTAGTTAATAAATAATGTTTATTGTTAATAATAAAACCAGCAATGGCATTTATGTTTATGATGTGGCCAACAACTTCACCTTTCTACTCTTTATTACATTCAACAGAAACACTGGTTACTGTATATGTACTGTAAGGTGCCTAAGGTGTCTTATTATTGATTTATTTTTAATGTATTTCTTAAGTGTACGCTATTCCACACCGTCAATTCACTGAGGTCACCAACCTGCAACTTGCTCTTTAAACACATATAGATTTCTGTTTGTCCTGGATGAACTTTAACGGATGTACAGTAGCAACGAGGGACTCCGCAGGTACAGAACAGCTACTTTTTATATATATATATATATATATATATAGAAGAGCAGCAATAAAAACAAGAAATGACAACGAGTTAATGAGGGAGGCCACTTTTATTTCCTTCTCAGCTGCTCCCACAGTCCAGAGGGCATTGTCCTCTCCGAAGCACAGAGACCAGTCAACTAATTTAATTTTGTGGATGAATACCAGCCAGGGAGGAGTGATTCGGGGAAGCAAATCACATTTCAGCAGACATCTGACCCTCACTTATTATGGTGTGTGCAATGTATGACACTCAGCATTTGCTTTAGTACAGAAAGCTCTCGACTAAATTTAGCTGGCTGTAGTAATTCTGATTTTATTTACAAAAGAGATATATAATCAGCTTGTAAAAGTGGATGCACTGATAAAGATTTAAGTACTAAACAGCTTATAAACTAGTACTGCAAGCACATTGATGTAAAGTCTATATGGATAATAATGGAACAGTTTTAACATTGCTAAGTCATTAAATAATATTTAAAACATATTATGCTGTGGTATCTTCACACTGTAGTACAAATGCTTGACCTTTAGTAAAGGATCTCAGTACTATTAGTACCACATAGGCAAGCAAAAATAATTTTTGAAAAATATATTCGTCGCAGGATAAAAAAAAGAGCGAAGGGCTGCAAAATACTGCGGCTGGCGAAAGATGTAAAACAAGCAGAAAACTTTGAGAAAGATTAAAGACAAAGATGACAAGATTCTGCCTCACTCCCAAAGTTAATGAGGGCAAAATTTAATTATGCTGGGGAACAGCTGCACTGCAGATGAGAACAAACAGCCTCTTGAACACTGTAAAAAAGCGATAAAAATTTAATGTCACTTTCGTTTATCTAAGTTGGTTTAGTTCCTGGTGTGCTCTGTCCAGCTCAACCTACTGATATTGTTCATTTCCTCATTTTTACTCGCTGTGCGAGGCTCAGCTGCACTGCAGTCGAAAGGCTGGCACAGGTCAGAAATGATGAGCCTTTAACATTCCCGCGAAATAGTGGCTCGAAGTCAGTGAAAAAAAACAGGCGTAAAGAGACAAAGCTATAAAAAATTCACTTGCCTTGCCCTTGTTGAAGTAGTGGAGGATTTTACGACTCAGGTTCTCCTTGCGCTGCCACTCGCTCTGACAGGGGTAGTGGAGAAAATCCCTCAGGGGCCGGTCCTCCCACTGCAGCAGCTCCCAGTACAGCAGCAAGGTGAACGCTGCCTCTGTTGTCGGGAGAATACAGGGAGAAAAAAAAAAAAAAGCCAGTATGATTACCTCCTATATAACAAAGCTACAGATGCTGAACAGTTTGCACAGTCTGGCCTCGGTGATGAACTAATAGCTTCCAGACATTTTGGGTCCAGTTTTTGTGAACAGATGGCGTACGACACTAAACACAGTCAGTGGCACGAAGCACAAGTTGCCCAGAGCATGGTGACTGTGTTTTGGTGTAATCGTGGCCAGAAGTGCAAAGAGCACCTGCACGGTTGAAATCATATCAGCCCCTATCACTCCCCATTCCTTAAATTAAAATATACTCCACAAACACTGTGTGGAATTGTGGGGTTTTTTTGGTTTTTTTTTTAAATGTGCCACAGTTTGGAGACGGACAACAAGCTGCTCACACAGAAATAAAAGTTGCATCACTGTGCATGTAGTCGTACAGCTATGCGGCACTGAACAACGAATTCAATGATACAGATTAGCGATGAACAAACAAGAGTCAGACCAGCGGTGTTGTAAACGAGTCTACCAAGAAAACTGGATTCACAAAAATACAGACTAGCTGTCAAATTAGTTCCACTGTTCTTCACATCAGGAAGAAACAAAGCAAAAGTTCTGATTGAGAGCTGATTTCCTACATGTGGCTCCCTGTTTGTGTGTTTTGTGCACAAGCATGAAGACACCACGTGTACATGTCTGCCAAGAAATGCTGGTAAAAGTGCCAAGTACGAGCTAGTAAACATGGGTATAAACAATGCTGCAGTTAAAATGCTTTAAATAATTGGCTTTGCAACTGTTTTATGTGGAAGCAAGTGCATTTGAGACACTTGTTGACCTCAAGGATACACACATTGTAATTTAGCGAACATAGCCATGAATTTAAGCATAACTCTTGTTTGTTTGTCAGACAGCTCCACAGGGCCCTTTCAGGTTTTCAAAGAAAGTGACAAGATTAATCTAATAAACAGACACATAAAATCCACAAAAGCAAATAAAAAGAAAAGACAAAACACAAGAGTAGCTTAATTTAACAGCTAAGTTAGTGCTTCTGTATTTGTGTTGTTGCTGTACCAACACATTAAAAGACAGGCAGCTGTTAGGTTGGTTAGCAGTAAATTACAAATCAACAATCGTAAAAGAGTCTGAATGTGTCGTGTCCCTGAGAGCTCAACATTCTGCACTGAAGAAAACACCCGCTAAAGACAAAGCAAACTAAGAAAACATCTTCACAAATCTGACATGTCGCCTTTCGGAAGAAAACAAATACTGCAAATGTTTCCGAGGGACGATGAAAAATCATGAACGCAGCTGGGATGTGCCTGTTGTTGCCATGGTGACTCGCGAAGTCACCGGAGTTGACAACCTGACAGCGGTGTAGAAAAACGAGATTAAAAGTAAGTTGTTTGTTTGATCTGATCTAATCGCACAGTTCAGATATGCTGCAAATGTGCTGTAAAATTTGAGTTTGATGTTTTCTTAGTTTGCTTGTGTCCTGTGCATTCTCATGAGCTCTCAGGGCCGTCGCAGTTTTAAAAATTAATTAATTAATTAATAAAGGAGGACCTGCAGATGACGGCTGCAGATGTTTGTCAACGTTTGCTTGGTTACAGACCTGACAAAATGGTGGGCATAATAATGTCAGTTAAGCTGCTATGGAACCGTCAGCAGTGGTTGCTAGTAGCAACAGAAAGTTTAAAGCGGCTGCTGGTGGCAGAAAATGTGTTTATAAGCTCAGTCAGAAGTACGGGTGGACACAGAGACAGAGGAAGAGGAGGAGGAGAAGGAGGAGGGAGGCCAATGACGATGGACTGGACAATCCTCTCAACCCCAAGAATTTTCTGGGATTTTTTTGCTTCCGTCACATTTTCATTCATTGTGGGTTCATTTTTCACTGCAATATAAAGTCCTGCACCTCTATGACAACAACACAACCATAGATGAGAAAGGCCTCAAACATATCTTCTGTGCAACGTAACAAAGCTATAATGCCATTCAATCCTAAAAATAGAAAAAGAAAATGTCTTTCATTATTTATTTTACAAATTAGCTATTTAGCTGCTTACATTTTCCATGCTTGTCTCTTATCTGCTTTGTGTAAACACAGTCTGCAGCTCAGCCAAAAAGTCCCAGAATTTTTTGTCTTGAGAATGTAGGTCACAGCTGGCTTCTCCGTGGTGCCAAGGAGCATGGAATTTCTGTTTTTGTTTACAGATTGTGGCTATTGCAAAGGTTTCATTTTGAAAAACAGAATTGAGACTCATGGAATAAAGTGATTTTGATGAAATGTCATGATTTAAAGCTTAGATTTGGGTCATTGTGACCTTAGAAAAATTCCCAATAATTGTTTCTATTGATACAGTTTCAGGCTTTGATAATGCTATCATTTTGATGATTTTAGATAACTGGCCTTTCAAACTCACTGGCGGTTTGTGGGGGTTCAGGGGGTTAATTCACCAGAATTAAGACATATTTTACAACCTTTATCTATAATTTCTACATTTTTTTATTTACTTCCTGTCTCTGGGGTTTGTGTTACATCTATTTTTTAAACTGACTGTAGAGTTTATTTTGTTGAGTTACTGTATCAAAGTCTCAATGAGAAATTCATCCATCTATACACTGCCTAATCCTCACTAGGGTCGCGGGGGGCTGGAGTCTATCCAAGCTGACTTCGGGTGAAGGCAGGGGACACCCTGGACAGGTCACCAGTCTATCACAGGGCTACACTTAGAGACAGACAACTAAGCACACTCACATTCACACCTACGGACAATTTAGAATCACCAGTTAACTTCAACATGTTTTTGGACTGTGTTGGAGGAAGCCGGAGAACCTGGAGAGAACAGTCAAACTTCATGCAGAAAGATCCCGGTGTCCTTAACGGGACATGAACCGGTGACCTTCTAGCTGCGAAGCGACGGTGTTAACCCCCGAGCCACCTTGCAGCCTCAATGAGAAATTAAATATTAAAATATAATTTAACGTTTCTCTCTGGTCATTGATTGTAGCCATCAAAACTCATCTCTGTGTATCAAAATGGCATGTTTAGAAAGATTTTTTTCATGAAAATTATTTCCTCAGGGGATGGCTCACAATGTGCAGATCTATCAAGCCCCATCACTCTCTCCACCCACCTCCACTGTTTACAGGAGCTTGAGCACACCAGCTCTCCTGTGACTCTGACTGTTAAACTACTCTGCACTACACAAGGGCAAATTAAATTGTTGGAGTAAACTGTAATTTAGGAGTAAACCATACATGTTTGAGCAAGAAAGAAGATTAATGACATTGAAAGCCCCACCTGGCAAGTTGACAATTGGTTTCTTGGGTTTGTCATGTTTTAAACCTCACTAAATACTGATTCTTAATTACAACGGAATAGCTGTGGAAACTGATTTAGTTGAAGCGTATAGTCATATTAAATGTATAAACTAGAGCTGGAATTATGAGGTGAGGTTAGAAAAAGTCTGTCAGTTTTTAGAATTTGCTGCCTTTTTCCCAGATGTATTTTTAAAATCTTTTAGGAGACTGTGATGGTAACTGTTGACTGTTTCATCCCATTGTATAGAACATGATTAATCCCAAGAAGCTGCAGATAAAATAAAAATGAAAATCACTAGATGCCAGTCCCACATAAACAGTTTATGATTCATAAAACTGATTCGTGTCTTATGAGTCAGTCGCAGCCACTGATTGCCTTGTTAAGTTGAATCACATCTATGAAATAAGTTTTTTAGGTGGGAAATTGTTCACACCACAACCACACGTGCAATCACACTCAACACTGCAGGACACTAAAGTGTGTTTTAATTATCTTCCCAGCTGCCTGTTGTTTGTTTTACGTAAGTGATGAATGAGGTCGGATTCAATTAGTCATATTTGGCTACGTTTACGTGCACATAATAAAGCTGCTACTGCCAATAATGTGAGTAAAGCAAGAACACTTTAGCCATTTACACTGTTAGATAAGCTGACAACTTCTCCGGATTTCATGTTTACATAACGGAAAGTTGCTGGACCACAAAATGTGCTGTAACCGCCCTCTGTGAACAAATGTGTCACAAATTCCACAAGTGCAACACACATGAAAAGAGTTGGTGGCAGTGAGGGATTGTCAAGCAAAAGCCTTATGTCTTAATGTTAAACTGGCAGCACATAATTATCTCCACCTGACATTTAGACTGTCTGTTCTGCCAAGAGTGTCTCCACACTCCACTGTGATCTTAAGCTTGCAAGTCTCTGTTTCCAACACGCCATTTTCTTATCTATTTTCTTCCTTATCTGTGGACGAACAAAGAAGCCAGTCTACTTTGGTCAAGTTTTTATGAGATGATGCCCCTGATTCCCTCTGGACTGCTTACGGCCGACCTACTGTAATCGCTTGCTGAAAATGAGGCAGTTGAGCCAGAAACTAACAACTTTCTCCCTCTGAACCCCAAAACCTGTCTGCGGATTTGAAAGGCTGGCAATTTTTTTTTAAATCACTAGAATGACCCCATTTATCAGAGCCAGAAACTGAAAAAAACAGAAGGAATTGTTGACTTTTCAACTTTCTGACGAGCCTTTAGTTACTCATGTGTACGTGGCATGCTGTCGAAAACGTAACTAAAACTGAGTTTAAAATTATGATATTTCATCAAAATCACTTTATTCTCTCTCTTTTTTTTTTAAATGTCTCCAAAATAAACCATTTACTCAAACTTTTCAGCTGAACTAGGCTGAGTTTACACAGAGCAAAAAGAAAACAAACTGAAGTAAGTAGTAAAACAACTAGAGTATCCATCCATCCATTATCTATACACCACTTAATCCTCACTAGGGTTGTGGTGGGGCTGGAGTCTATCCCAGTTGACTCAGGGTGAAGGCAGCGGACACCCTGGACAGGTCACCAGTCTATCACAGGGCTACATTTAGAGACAGACAACCAAGCACACTCACATTCACACCTATGGACAATTCACAATCACCAGTTAACCTCAACATGTTTTTGGACTGTGGAAAGAAGCCGGAGAACCCGGAGAGAACCCACGCTAGACAGGGAGAACATGCAAACTCCAAGCAGAAAATTCCCGGGTGTCCTCCCCGGGACGCGAACTGGCGAACTTCTAGCTGCGAGGCAATGTTGCTAACCATTGAGCCACTTTGCAGCATCTATAGTATGTATAGTCTATATTTTTTGTTTCTCCAGTATTGGTGACACCTGTGGATACTTGAAAAAACGTACGTGTTGATTTCAGTTTTTTAATATCAGTAATCAAAGAAATTTTACTTTCTTTTTCGTTTTTAATAATTTGTTGCATTATAACTGTGTCTATGAATTCTGGAAAGAGCAAAAAGTAAATTTACGATGCTAAGAAGCCTTACGTGACTCTTCTCTCTGTTGCATCCATTTTTTTCTTATGTGCTTTTGTTAGTAGAACCCAATTAAAGGGCAGGTCCACCAATGAAAAACAACACTTCATGCTCCATAACAACAACAAAAATGAACAAGTATCTCAGTTACCTGTGAAGTCCTCAGCTTGGAGATGGAGGTCACACAGCTTGTGGATGTAACGGATATACATGTCCTCCTTGTTGACCTCCGATTTGTAGAAGTTCTGGTGTTGAATTTTTAAAAAAGGAAACAATTCATTAAAACCTAATTCGATGAGTGCAAATATTCATTTACGTGTCCAGATTAAGATTGTATGCATTCCATGAAGGTCTCACCATAAGGTTGACGGAACCACCAATTTTCTTGTTCTCCATTTCATCTCCTTTCATGCAGTCCCTATACATAAAAGGTGATATTTTTCCTCATTGCTCTGCAGTTTATCGACATGAACCAACAGCATGTATATATGCATATTAACCTTACCTGTAATCCAGTAATCGCTCAACAAGTCTTGTGACTGATGTGACAAACGAGATTCCCGTTTCTCTCCAGGTCTCCTGCTCAATCTTCTCCAGCAAGCTGCACAGAAAACACAGTAAGACATTCTTACTAAAGATGATCAGCACAGGAAGGCAATAGATATGAATGTGAATGAATGAATGTACACCTCACCTTGGGTAAGGACCAAACAGCTGGGTCCTGCAACATGAGAGCCAAACAACAGCATTTTAGAAGGAAACACTGAAACACCAGCATCGTTCTGAGTATCATTCACAGGCTCACTAAACACCGGTTTGATGCTTACAACAGACTGAAGAGCTCTCTGTGATTATCATCGCCTTTCCCATCCGACACCATGCTGTCCAGCTTATCCATCAGCTCTGCTTCCACCTACACATACGAAAGCACATTCAGCCAAAAGATGTGGGTATGTTATGTGACAAAGAGCCGCCCGTCGCTTTCAGCACACAATCTGTGTTTCAGCGCATAATAACGTCATAATGACCTGTTTGAAGTTGCCGTTTTTCCTCTGCTCCCAATCCATCATGTCATGAAAAATTGGGATCATGATATTCCGGACCTCGGTCTGAGGCACTAGCGTGACACCGAGGAAGGGACCCATCATTCCTGGGATGAAGTGGGGCTTGTTGTCACCTGGATTACAGAGATTAATTCAGATAGACGCCTTTGTTTGCACTGACGTTATGGAAACATACATTGATTTATAACAGGTCATCTGGAAAAGTGAAAAGAATCTGCTGGGTCAAAAATATACATACAGCAACTTAAATGATCAGTTCTGGTGATGTAGAAAGCTGTGCTAATCTAACTTTTCTTAGTGTCGGGGCCTTTCAACCTCTTGTTAATTGACTACAGTTGCTGACTTCTCCAAGCAAGTTTAAATAGGGCGCATCTGATACACTCATTAGACTCAGCCACAAGTTAAGAAAGTCACTTGGAGCCATTTCAAAGCAGCGACAGATCATCTGGACAAACAACTGTTTGTAAGTTTAAAGTGCATCATACAGTTGTATTACTGCCATGATCAGGAAGAAAACACACCTACCTACCACCAAGCATGGTGGTGGTAGTATTATGCTCTGAGTCTGTTTTGCTGCTAGTGGAGCTGCTGCTTCACACAAAATGAATGGAATGATGAAGAAGGTGGATTACCTCAACATTCTTCATAAAAACCTAAAATCATCAGCCAGAAGGTTGGGTCTTGGATGCAGTTGAGTTCCAACAAGACAATGACCCCAAATACACATCAAAAGTGGTAAGAAATGGTCTAAATAAGGCTAAAATCAAGGTTTAAGACTGGTCTCCCCAAAGTCCTGAATTAAAGCCCATCAAATGATCTGTAGACAAGTCAGTGTCAGAAAGCTAACAAATGTAACTGTACGAATTCTGTCAAGACGAGTCGTCAAAGATACAACTAAAAGCTTGTAGACAGCTCCCAAAAGTGCCTAGTTAGAGTGAAAATATCAAAAAGACATTTAACCAGATATTAGCATTGCTGTACGCATGCTTTTGACTCAGCAGATTTTGCAATATTTCCAGAAAACCTATATTAAATCCATGAAAGAACCAAAATTCATGACTGTTTTTTGCAGCAAAAAGGTTTCAATGACTCCATTATAGAAAAATTATAGGAGTCACTGGAAAGTTAAGACTGTCATAATATACATGGTCTTTACAAGTAAGTGTATGTAAACTTTTGTTTATGACTGTAAATTCTGGTGCTTCACTGTGATACGTATCTCAGAATGGTGGGAAAGACAAACCTAATTTTTGCCACATGCTGAAGAGCTCATATGCCATCATAACTCTCATATCTCCATGCCTACAAAGAAAAAAGTGGAAAAAAGTAGAATTTTGGTTAAAAAAATTACATAGTGTCAGAATGGAATGCATACAAAGAACATATAGTGGCTCCTTACTTGTCGAGGACTTTCTTTCTCTTAGCAGGACCAAGCGCCTCCAGCTGCAGACTGGGCTGGTTGATGTATAGTACAGTGAGGCTGAAAAAGGAGTTCCATACCTAAGGCACAAAAAAAAAAAAAGTAATTAAACGCTCCACTAATTGACATTGACATGATGCTTCCTTCACAAGTGTCACAACAAAAAAACAACAACAAAAAAAAGCATTTCCGTGGCGTCGTGTAATGCTAGCCGCTGTCCAGACACACACCTTGAAATCAAAATCTGCCTCTGAGAAGTTCTTGTGCAGCGCCGGAGACAGAAACTGTGTTGTCACCACGATGATACTGCAGAAAGCAAACATTACACTGTCAGCTTACAAAATGAGCTAGGTGCCAAAAATAGATGAAAAAAATTTGCAACACAAGCGTCACCTTCAGAGCAGGATTATCTGAAGAGAGCCTGATCTAATGGTTGGCTGTATTCCCTTACCATCTCCGGGACAAAGACTGCATGACAGAAATGGAAAAGCAGACTCACTGACTAGTTAGAAGCCGCATGACACTCCAGTCTCGGGGGAAGATAGTCAGTTTCATCAGATTGCGAAACACGCAGAAGATCTTCAACAGGAACTCCTGCAGAGGAATATATTAAAAGAGGGTATGTAGAAAGCAGGCCACAGCTAAATGCTCTAATCATGCTCAGCTCTGAGTCTCAGAGAGTTTCTCACCTTCAGCTCCTCCTTGCTATGGAAGTTATTGAGTAGATGGTGAAAGTGGATCTCTGTCATTTGTCGGAGCAGAGAAAGAAGACAGGAAACGTACTCCCCCTGGAAGAAAACGACAGAGATAGACACACATATCCAGAAAGGTTAATCAACTCAAATTTTTACAGAAATTTCCCCCCTTTTTTTATTGTCCATCAAAGAGGTACTTCAAGTAGAAGCTTACCGTTATCTCAGCCGTGCACTGGGGACAGCGCTGTCCTCTGGACGTCTCCACAGAGTGAGATTTGCTCATGATGGATAGCAGAGTCTGCAGCAGCACATCCAGTAAGCTCTCCACCATCATCTCCACCTCATCCTGAACAGAAGACTCCTGAAAGGAAAGAGCAGGTTAAGGGGAGCAGAACAACTGCTGCTTAATGGAAGTGCTACAGTGCTGGGAAGCAACAGCTGCATTAAAATGAGAAGTTGTACATTGCATTTCACTATTCAATTGAACCATGTATACGCTGTGACTTTTTTGTGTAAGAGTAGTGCATTGTACCATGGAGCTTGTCTTGATTATGGAAAAGATGCTGCCCAGGATCCCAGAACAAATGAGCAGCTCCCTCTGCTGGCGTAGATGCAGGTGGATGTGATGCAGAACCACCGGCAGCAAAATACTACGGGACTCTGAGACAAGAGAAAGAGAAAAAAACACTGAAAATGAAACAAAAAAAGCACTGTCTGGTCCTTGGGTTCGCATATATGGACTGAAATGGTACTATGGCATGTTTGAATGTGCCGTTTCAGTATCTTTAGAGAAAGACCTTCACATGTCTCTCACCAGGAAAGAAGAAGAGGCGACTCTCAACTGTGCGAGCAATGGACTGCAGTTTGACTACATCCATAGACTGGCCAATGTCCACTGTGCTGGGCATGCTCCCCAGGGTTCCCCTGACATATTCAGCCACCTCCTGAACTGTGAACATCTGCAGCAGCTCATCAAAGATATCGGGGAAACTGTTCAACAGCGCTGCCTTAAGGGGGAAACAAAGAACAGAGAAGAGCGATTTGTAGCGTACATATGGAATAATTATTCTGTCTCAAAAAAGCCACTCATACATGTATTAAAACATTGCAAACAGCATCAGTTACAAATTTATAAAATTGTTCTGTTCTCAGTGACACATACACAAAACAGAAAATCCAAATTAAGCTGGGTATTAAGAGTGTAAAAGGAGCACAACCAAAATCTTAATGTAGGAATACAGTTTAGATCTTCATACAGCCATAATCTTAGTTTTTGCATATTTAGTCTCAAATAAGCAGTAAAATCTGCAGCACTCACTGCATATGAGTTACTTAATAGTACATAATCCTGTTCAAGCAGGCTGATGGTTGCACAGCATCTGCTGCATTGTGAAACCAACACAGGGGGGCGCTGTGACTTACGGAGAAGGATGAGAGCCCAGGAACATGACAACAGAAAGGCATGCAGCTGATCACACCCCTAAACTGTCCAAGATCAAGCCAAGAATGGGTCAATGGTGAGACAAAAGATGGAAGTATCAGTTGCAGAATGCACAGAATGAAGAAATGAAACAAGAAATATAAACAAAATCAATCAACGAAACATGAACGCAAACTAAGAGGATGAACAAAAGAGAAATAAAAACATTTAGAACAAAAGATAACCAGGACTGCAGAGCAGGTGACATACTGAGAGTCATCAGAGCAGCAGAAAGTGTTTTGTCATCAGGTGTGAGCTGTCTGACCTGTGTGAACACCAGGTTCTCTGAGCTGCGACTGTCCAGACTCAGGACAAATCGAATGGACTGGAAGAGCTCCTGGATGCTCGCCCTGAACTGCTCCTCCTCCATCCCACAGGTGGCTCTCGAGTACAGGATACGAGACTGGACGATGAACTTGAACAGATACTCCAGTGCCTGAGGTGGTCATTGGAAAAAGATGCAGATAGAGACATGCAGTCAGCCAACGTTCACATCATGATGTACCATCAAAGAACACGAACTGAGCAACCAAATCGGTTTAAGGTTAAAAATCAATACATGAAAGAAACATTTCCAATCAGGCCTTGTAACAGGATAGCTCCTCACATGATCCAATCACAAAGGAAGTTCAAACACCACATAGAAAAGCTGCACTCTGTACGTCAATATCTGCACAGGTTTTTGATAACTTCCTTTTATTAGCTTTTCTCTCAGCAGGGAATTCACTTCCCTAGGCCTCATATGGTGTCACATTACTCCTTATCAGCACTTTTGTTTGACCATTTCCTCGTGCCATGTCAATTAATCCCTGCTGAAGGAGCCAGGACAGAAGCAGGAGGAAGTGAAAGGGATACTTTACTCTCATGGCTTCCTGTATGTGGTCCTGCCGGACGACCTCAGCTGAGCGGTCCATGTACCACTTCAGGCATCGAATCAGCTCTCTGCAAGCAAATTAGAGTTAGGACCTTTTGCAGCCATCTAAAAATAACAATTTTATGTTTGTTTCCAACAAAATAACTCAGAAATATTGGGTAAATATTGTTATACTTGTATGCCAAGGCTCCAGCAAAGTGGTTTTGGATGTAGGAGTCCATGACAGGTCTGAAGTGGTAGAAACGGCTGTCCCTGAGCAGGTTAATGATGAACACCTGAGCACACAAACATATAGGTGTTATATCTATTTCCACAATATATTACAGTATGTTCCTTTAATTCCTTTAACGGTCGTACCAGAGACTGGAATACCAGTGGTCCGTATTTATCAGTATTGTCATCTAAAAGACAGAAGAGCGTATCCAGGACATCTCGCAAGAACTGTGAGAGAGATTAAAAAAAAGAACAAATCTCAATACGACTATCACATTAAAGGCTTTTCTGCTGACTAAAATAGAAACGAAGGAAATAAAAAAAAAAAAAGGATAGCCCCTTTATCCAAAAACATGACGATAAAACCTTTATTACTATTATTATTATTCTGAGATGGGAATGTGGCTGGCTCAATAGTCCTAAAGACAATTCTACTAAATACCACAAAATGACAACATGTATCATGAATGTCAAAATTAGAGCAGTTTTCTAGCAACACAAGCTTATTATTTAATTAGAGTATCCATAATTATAAAGGTAAAATGGCAAAAAAATAATCATAATATGATAATCAAACCAAACAGATTCTCACTTGTTTCAAAAAACTGAAACGTCTTTTCTTTTTCAGCCTAAATACTATAAAAGAAGCTTGATATGGCATACATTAACACAGAGGGTTACTATTCCTTACATCCCTCTCATCATTACATAAACAATGTGATGACAATGACCTTGACAATCTCCTCTCCACTGATCTGACGTAGTCGACCGAGGATGTCCAACACTCTGTCTGGATGGGCCTTCCAGTTCAGAAGAGCCAGAAGGTCCACTGAAAGCAGAACAAAATCAGACTGAGTTGAATTCAGTCAAAGTCTTCTAATAAATAAGAGCAGTACGTGAGGTGCTGGATTACCGTTTTGCGTGAGTTTGGTGGAGCAGAGTATTGTGGAGACCCAGAAGGTTTCTTTGGGGCTTCTCTGGAAGGGCAGGTTGGCCGGTAGGTTGGGGCAGCTGTTGAAGTCCTCCTTACAGCAGGGCAGGCTCAGGTACAGACCCTGGTTACTGAAGGTGGCGTTTTCATCACACTGGAGGATGGACGCGGGGAGATCCGAGAAGGTTTGGAAACACATGAGATTTGAATGAAATGCTGCTGCACCAACACGGTGAAACAAAACGTTAGAAGTTCTGGTCAATAACTGATCTGATTAAACACCACTGAGGTGTTGTCATTTCGGTATCTAGCCGGAAAGAACAAAAAACATTTTATTGGATCTTCTGCCTCTCTGTAAAAGAATGAGCCAATTCCAGCAAATAGAGTGTTACTGGGCTGCCACTGAACAACTGGATGTTCACACCATTATCATTCACTATAAAAATTACTCTGAGGACCTAAAACACCATTAAACATAATGATAATTTTCAACATTATGTTGATTAGAATACATATTGCTAGCATACTAAAAAAGGCTGGCATGCGAGACAAATACTATAAATATGCATATAATATTGCACAGAACCAGGAATTTCTCCACTCTGGGTTCGGTACCAAAGAGTGTGAAGTTGCTTCTGTTGCAGATTTGGTCACAGAAGGCTTCTCATAGTGAGCAAGGGCATTGGTACCATTAGGTTCTAGGAGGATCCCAGTTATGTGCTGCCCTCATAAACAGCACAACCTGATTTAAGAAACCAGGATATGATGTTGAGACTTCATATCAGTTTTGAGAAACACCTTCTCCATGCTTCAGAGTGCTCTTAGTAGAGAACATAGCGGTTGGGACAGCGAGAGATTGAAACACACACAAAAGAACAGACAATATCCCGAGGACAAAAACACCTTGTGTGGTGCTGTTGGATCAGTCATCCAGAGCTGCTCAGCTATGACACAGTGGCTACAAATGTTGGCAATGGAGAGCAGGAAAGAAATGATGGTGCATTTCATTAAATGTTATCGTGTCCACTGCTGAGAAAATGCAATAAAGACATCCAGAGAGCTGCCAGCAGTGATGCGATGCCCCTCCAACACATAAACACCCCAGCACTGATTGTTTAAGCAAATAACTTTAAACTTAAAAGCTTAACCCTTAAGAGCTTAACCCTTTGAAACCTTCTGGAGTTTCCTTTTTTGTTGTAGTTCCTGCCTCATTTTAACTCTCAGTGTGCTCACTTTTTACTTCAATCTAAATTCCTGCACCTTTGTAGAGCGAAAAGTCAAAATGTCTTTTGAGCAGTATGACAAAATTCTTAACAAATAAATACCATAAATCATGAAAAAAACACAAGTTATAAATATAAAATTATAAAAAAAATTGGGGGAAAAATGGAATCAACCTGTGCACACAGGTGTTATCAGTACTGGAAAATATGACGGTTTTACACATTACAGATATTTTATTACTTACATTTTAAATTTGTTTCAGTACTTGTCTACTGCTTTACTTAAACACAACCTGCAGTTCAGTCGCTGAATTTGCTAAGTCACTAGCGGCTTTTATGGTTGCGTCAAGGATCACAAATGTTTATGTTTTTTACTTAATCAGGTTGATATAAACCATTTGTTTTTGTAAATCGTTAAATGGGGCGTGTCCAACATGCACATGGAATATCATGATTGTAGGTTAAGCTTAGTGACGTTTTTGGATGAAACAGCAGATGAATAATTCAAGGAAAGATGGACATTTTATGATTTTTTCTGTTTTGAAGTGTTTGGCTTTCGTAAATGGTGTATTTTTGGTGGTTTGTTTGGAAAATAACACGTCTTTTGGGGTTTTGGGGTTCAGAGGGTTAAAAGCAAAAGACATCACAATATGGGTCTTAATATTTACTGCCATTACAACTATATAGATTTTAATTTCATGAAACTACTTAGCAGTTTAAAATGACAACTCTGCATCTCGTTCCACCATACATCCATTGTGTGTGCGTGTGTTATATCTGATCCTACCTTGTACACATACAGCTCGTGGCTCTCATCTGACAGTGTGGTCCCATCTTCTCTCATCAGGGGAGTGAAGGCAAAACCAAAGAGCTTTTTCTCCCCTTTGTCTTTAGCTGAAAGGAAGGACATCATAATATCACCCATCATCCACTCATCTACACAAATCACACAAACTAGTCTCACTCTGAGCATGATTCAATCTGTCTTATTAAACTTGTGCGCTGAGGGTTTGACCGCCACTGCGTTGACTCACTGGAGCAGTGTCTGAACTCGAAGCGTAGGTGGGACCCTCTGAAGCGATCGATGGGAATGGGCAGCTTGACCATCTCGCTCCAGCGAGGGCTGTTGTTGTGATACAGGACGAACGAGCGATATTCACAGGTGTTGGGCTCTCCGCTGCCCAAACTGATGCAGTCCTGCAAAGACAAAGATGCACGGGGAGGAAGGTTACGCTCATCGCTGTTCATGTACTGATGATATGCTGCCTTATAACTCATGTGCACATGTGTCATACTTTGAGTGTGTCCCCGTCGGCGTACAGCACATAGAGGGTGACTTCAATGTTCTTCTGGACGCTCTTGCCACCCCTCTCAAACTCCCCCCGCTCCAGAGTCAGATACAGGTCATTGCGTGTGTCACCTAGCACAATTAAAAAACAGGAGAAACTTTACTTAAAGGGGAGCGCCACTGATTTTTCTTTACTGCTTACATGAAAAAGCAACATTATAATAATAAGCCTTTTGTAGCACCGGAGGGAGCTGCACGAAATTTAATTGCCTCAAGTGATATCACTTCAATGTCAGCTGGGTATTAAAACTCTGAGATTGAAAATGGAAAAAAAAAGAAAAGAAAAAATACCCAGAAGTGTGGAGATGGAGAAGAGTTGAACTCCATTAGAAAGACAAAGACATCTCAGAAAGTCCCCGACTATGCCCTGGTGATGTTCATACGTTATAATGTCCATGTCAGCCTCTGCTCCACAGATGAACTGTGAGCGGTCAACATTAATTAAGCATCTGTGCGGACTAAGATGCGGACTAGATGTCACTGTTCCTTTCGATAAAAATGACCCCGCTGAGTTCTAATACAATGTAGCTCATGACTGCCTCAGCACCTTTTGTGAGGTCAATGTTTAATGGGATAAATATCAGTGGCAACAGTGGAGGAAGATATTGCGGTTATTTATAAAATCAGATTATAGTTATTTATATCCAAGTCATCTCCTTGGGGACAGATGACTCACAAGGAGCAATATTGGGAGGTATTTCAGGCTAACTGGAAAGGAGCTGGAGATGGAGGTGAGAGAGGAGAGGAGAGGAGAGGAGAGGAGAGGAAGATTATACATTCTCAGTAGACACAAAAGCACTGCAATGTCAGCTGATGAAATATTCCGAAATAAACACACACCTCTCTCTTTCTTTCTCTGTCTTTGAGTTATCTTTGAAGACCTCTGCTCTTCACAATTTGCTCAGCACCTGACCTACATGCCGATCTCATGCAAACGGGGAGTAAAGAACTGAGAGTCTACAAAACACCAGTAGCGGAAGAAGTACTAAGTCCTTCACTGAAGTACGGGTAAAAATACAACTTAGTCATACTCCAAGTGAAAGTATATGCAAAAATTACTCAAGTAAACCAAGAAAGGTATGATAAGCTCAGTCTATTTGGTGCAAAAAGTTAATCTAGTAAAAATAAGCACCTGTGTGTGTGATGTTTGTGTATATTTGGCACTGTTAGAATATTGATGCATCAGTTTCCTCAAAATGAAACCGTCTGACAAGTGTAAAAGTGTAATGTTTCTTTGTTGGAGCTTAAACAACATATATTGTAACAAGAGGCCATGAATTGTTCAAATGTTCTCCTATGTTTTGTATGTTTATCCAGTGGTTTTAATGTAAAACTCTAATCTGAAAAGCTTTCAGATGAGTGAAGTGTGGTGAAAGGTACAATGATGAGTAGACAGATTAAGTATCAAGTGGAAATTGTCAAGTACATTAAATGTTTGTGTTGTACAGTAACAGAGTGCTTAGGTTCCATCAGGTGCTGTGAATCCAGCTCACATACAGCTTACCTTAGCACACTCTGCTCTCTTTTACATCCCTCTATTGCTATTTCCTGCTGTTTTCTCGAATTGAATCCTTTCTTTTCTTACATCTGTCTTGCCCTGTCCCTCTCCTCCTTCATCTGCTTCCTCTTTACCCTGATCTGTGACCTTCCCCTCTTTTCATTCCTCCAAGCCATCTGGCCTCTGGTCTCCACCTCCTCCCTGAACCTCTCTGTCCCCATTACCGCCTACTGCTCTCTGCCTCCTTACCTGGCAGGATGACATCTGGGAAACCCAGTTTGCGTGTGAGTGCCAAGGCCCTGTTGAACACAGCCTGGTTCTCCCGTCTGATCTGCTCCAGCTCACCTCGCAGCAGCTGCAGGGAAATGATGAGGCCTGGAGAGGGGCGGAGGGCGATGGGGGGGAATATGCGAGAGTGTGTAAATGGGGGGAAAGGGCAAATGAAGAGGTGTGGAGTTGTGGGAGGGAAGAGGAATTGAAGGAAAGAAAAGCGCAGGGACAAAGACGAAGGGAGATGGGAGAAGGGAGGGACAGAGGGGTATTTAAAGGACATTAGTCAGAATGTGGGGGAGGTGAAGACAGACAGGAGAGTGGATGGAGAGACGTGATCGGAGCCAGAACAGAGGGAGGGAGGACAAAAATGGTGTTGTGGAATTACACAAAGATACGAGGAAAAATATGGGTTCTGTACAAATCTAGTAACATGGACATGAGTCATATTTTAACACCAGAGACACAAAGTGATCTTTTCAGAGGAGCTCACACATCGGCTGAGCTGATTTAGCTTCGCGTTCGGCTACAATATGTTTTCTGCTCCACGTCTTTATTATCAAAGTGACAGTTCGAGGTGGGCGATGTACAATTTCCTGTGATGTAAAGGAATTTTAACTGGCTTTGATGCATTTCATAATATAGAGTTCTTTCTCAGATGACAATTGGAAAATTATAATAGAAATACAATGTTGGTTTTTGGATAATCCAATGAATTACAGTAAAAGTGCCCAATTTTTGATAAATACACTCATTTTACTTTAAGACCAGAAATTGTTTGTGGATTTATCAGTAAGACAACAGAAAGAAAGAAATCCACAGCCTTTTTAGAAATCAATTAATTGTTTACATTTTTTTTTTTTGCTTTTTTTGGCTTCTTTAATATGTAGCTAATTTTATTATCTATGACAGCACTAAATATCTTCGGGTTATTGGTTTATTTTAACTGAGTAGCTCCACTAAAAATAGCCCCTATAAAAACAGTTGACAGCATGTTCAGCATGTCACCATGTTGCTGTTAATTTTTCTGTGTGGTTTTTCAAACCTTTGATCAATGAAAACACAACTCTGTTCATCTCCATAATACTGATGTAGAGGAAGAATTCAGAAAATGTGGGCAAAATAAAACTAGAAGTAACTGTATCTGCCAAACATAAGAAAATGATGATCACATGTTCTGATACTGAGCAGACAAACAACAACATTCATGTGTTTACTCTCTGTGGGTTGTGATAAAACTTCCGCAAAGGGGTGAAAAAAGGGTGAAAATGCAAAAGGTTACAGATCTGCAGGGACAACATATTTACCATAGTTGGTGCTGGGGGCTGAGTACTTGGTGTTGGACTTGCGGATGATGTTCTCGTGTACCTGGTACCACTCGTTCTCATTGTTACATCTGCAGAGAAAGACAAGTTGGGTTGGGCTGTTAACAACGCACCCATTAGTGGGTCCAGATGGAGGGTTCAGGACTATGCGCATGGGGACTACATGAACAGCATGTGTCCCAGAGCCGATTTCCTCTTGGAGAAAAGGTAGCAGCAGGGGGAGGTGCTATCAAGCAGCACATTAGCCCAAATGCACAGCACACTAAGCAAACCTGACAGCCAGCTCTCTACCAGCCTTTTTCATTACTGTGGGCCCGAAGGCCCCTGGGAAAGGCATGGGGAAATGCACAGACTGGAGCGTTATAGGAGCCGACAGTTTGGAGGCAGCTCAGCACTGAATCACTGCTTGCTTTTTAAAGGGAAGGGCCTTTCATGTCAGCTGAGAAATCCAGTAAAAACGACAGCTTTTTATTCTAGAAATCTTCGTTTCACACCGAGCCGTACAGTTAACCTTAAAAGCACGGCACAAGAGAAAATATCACGTAATGGGACGGCAAAGTGCACAGGTGACCTCTGACCCAGAGTGGATGCTGAGAAGGACAGAGGAGATACAAGGAGACATTCTCGCTGCAGACTGACAAGAAAATATGCTGAGCTCCGTGTTATTTTTCCTCTGTCCTCTAACTTTGCTCAATTATCTATGTGTCATCTCTCTCAGCCTCTTCCCCTCTCCTTCTCTGTGCCTCCTTCCTTCGCTGGGTTGGCTGGTGTACAGGAGTGTCTCTCTGTGGCAAAGCCTAACAGAAGCAGCCAGATTCACAACACGCCAAGTTCCCTATCACAGGCTCGGGGTGAGCAGCTATTGATTTTCCAGAGGACACTTCATTATCATTCTGGTCAAAACACACCGAGCATCAACAGCGAAGCACTAGGTTGTCATGCACAACATTTTCGGAACATTCACACTTTGCCGTATCGCTGCGGAGACGCTTTAACTCCGAGATTACAAGAAGCCGTGCAACTACAAAGCAATTAGGTAAGCCGAGGAAACAGGAGCAATTTCAAAGTGTAAGAGAAACATTTTTATCAGATGAATTAAAAAAAAAGAAGAAGAACAATAATAGCTACAATGGTATACTCACGTATAAACTTTAAGCACAAAGTCTTTCTCCTCTTTGAGGTCTGTGATGGTGTGGAAAACATCACTCATGGCAAGTACAGCACAGCCATAAGGTCGTCTGTACTGCACATGAGGTGGGCCTTTCTTTGAGTCATTGAGCAGCATACGGCCTGGAAACAAAAAGAGAAGAGTTGTGTGAAAAAGAAATGCAGACAAGTCATAATTGTGAAGAACATGTTTTTGCACATTGTGCTGTATTTACCAGTTCTTATGACATGTGCAACAATGTAGAGGTCCCTCTTCAAGTCTTTACTGCTAAGGTCCTACAGAGGAATTGAAAATATTGGTGGATTGGAATAAAAGTCAAAATAAGAAACATTTACGTCAAAAAAGAAAAACAAATAAAAATCTCACCGTGAAGAGAGCACACAGACGATCAACCTTCTCTGGATTCTTTGGTCCTCCGTTTTTGTTCAGTTTCACCATGAACTTCTCACTGCAAAAGAAGCCAGTTCACAGTTTCAGAGTGCGTGTCAATCACAGAATGCCTCTATCAATCTGCTGAACAGAGACAGTGCGCAGTCATGTATGTGAGTGTCTGTCCTCGCACGCATACGACATGCACCACAGGACCATTCGTGGCCGTTTCAGTCAGATTCCTCGGCGTACCTGATCTGTTTGGCCTCGCGAGTGTCGTACAGAGAAAAGAAGACGTCCGCATCCTCGCTGATGCTGTTGTAAGTAAAGCTCTTCAGATTGATGAAGAGGTGGTGCGACACGGGGACACGGCAACCGTCACCATGGCGCTGTCTCATGCTATCACCCTGGGAACCAAGAAGAAGAGAGTGACCGCTAACAAGGCGAGTGTGCGACTGTGAGTGAGGCCAAATACCTGCCGTTCTCTATGTAGACACATTTATTTAACAGATCAATGGCGGTGCTGTAACAAGTGAATAATTCATTGCTATAGACTTTACAGTGTGTCATGCTGTTGCAAGTATATGCTATTTACAGTAGACCCAGTGGACACATAATGCAATACAGAGATGATGCGATAGAAGATAGGTGGTTTTGTTCTTAAGAGCTGCAGGGATGGTGCATTCCTGGGAGGAAAACTCCTGAAATTATGTAATATATAGAACTATATCGATAAAAATCTGTTTTAGTGATCACTTCCATCTCATAGGAAATATCTGACATATTCACATTATATCTGTACATATCCACATGTAAATTCATTATGTCTTGTCCAATGTCTTTATCTTTACTATATCTTTATTTTTTTAGCCTTATTGTACTTTTGTAACTCTTGTCCTGCTTCTTTCATGCATTTCTGTATCCAGCTGCTGGAACACGTAAATTTCCCCAGTGAGGGATCAATAAAGTTTATCTTATTTTGTTTGCTTGCTTGCTTGTTTGCTTGTTTGTTTGTTTACGTTGCACAAAAGCTAAAGTGTGCAAACAAGATATTGCGACTCAAAAGGGCTTCCGTACTTGTAGGCGATTTTTTAGGCCAAGCCAAGCTATGTGTTTGAGATTCAGATTCAGATTCAGAATACTTTATTGTCATCCACACAAATTACATCAAGGATGCAAGGATTTGCCTCTGTTTTCAGCTAATGCTAAGCTAAGCTAACTGCTTTATAGTTCAAGCTTTATATTTCCCATGCAAACATGACAGAAGCGTTGAGGTTAAGCATTTTTCTCAAAGTGTCTCACTGCTCTCTCGCTACATATGGACTCTTTCAACTGGTATCCCTCTCAAAATGACATTCAGCGGACAAACTAACGAAAGTGGCCTACAAGTGCCATTTGTGCATGCATTGGGACATATGTGATCCCAGTGGGAATCAGTCCCCACACCCTGGCAGCGGTGGTGTGAGGTTCTCATGGAGCATGGAAGTGACACCAAGACCACCAGGATTAAAGGCAACCAGTAGTAAGGAGTGTGAGAGCGATAGCTTCAGGACAGTCATTTGGTGCAGATTGTTTGTAAAGGAGATGAAAAATGAGAGTTGAAGAGAAAGTATGAAAGGTGTGATTATTTTATAAACAAACAGCTTCGAAATGACTCTACCTGGTTTGTGCTTTGTTGACCACAGTGTCTGCTGGATACGTGCTAAAAAAGAATAAAAAAGAAGTTCAAAAGGAAAAGATGTCAGATCAGTCAGTCCATTCTTTACTCTTCCCACACAGCATTGAACTTATTTACCTTATAGCTGCTTCAGACGCACGCTACCTGAGAGGTGCCTGGGTCGATGCTTCAAATCTGACAAAAACTTCACCTACGTACGCTGCCGAGTGGCTACACTACTGTTCCCGCAGCACTAAAAGAAGCCCACATGAGGCAAAACGTGAGCGTGTGGGAGGGAAGAGGACAAAGCCAGTATCGCCCACATGCACCACTCTCTGCTCAGCAGCCTAAAAGAACTCTTCTGCTCCCGTACCTGAAGAGGTGCCAAGGCCTTGTGCCCTGCCAAAGACGAGCTCACTTTCATCGACAGAGTCAGGAGGCTTTTTGGCAAGGAAGGGCTACGCTGTTGTTTCTGGACAGAGCAGTTAGTGCACAAACATTCTGCGTGCAAAGCTGAGAAACATGGCAATGGGATAATGGGAGGCTGCAGGGCAGTTGGAGAGTGTTTTCATCAGCATATGGAGCTTCAACTACTGACCAGAAAGGATCTCCCTCCCAGATAACAGTCTCCAGCAGCATTACATTAGATTTCATAACATCTGTGCTGTAATTGCATAGTTCTAAAATTGGATCTGCTTCAGCAAGTCTCCCCTCTCTCTCTCTCTCTCTCTCTCTCTCTCTCTGTATAGGTTCGGAAAGTCCCCACATCACTACAACTAAAATACATTTGAGACATTATTTATTTATGGAAACGTGTTTCTAGTCTGGTTTGCAGTTTAAAGCAAGCAGGACTAAAATATGTAATTTATTTAAAACAGAGAATAGCAATAAAAATTTAATTTGTATGTACTTTCCCATAGCTTCACCTGGGCCTGTCACTTTGCATTACGTCTGCGTTGCTAGCTAGCGATCACACTTGCGAGAGTCACGTGCACGCGGGAAAAGGGACACACTCAATATGGCGGCAGGATATGCATAAAGGATAGGTCACATGAGGCAGCTCCAACAGCTGAATTCTCTTGTGAGTCACCTTCTTATGGATGATTTGATAATCGGTACATTCACACATCCGTACACATCCAACAACACGTTCCTATAAGCAAAACCAGGCTGTGCAGCGACAAAAAGGCACACTGTAGGTAAAAAAGCTCACAGTGTGCAAGTCAGCGTGAGTCACGGCTACAGATATGGTTTATGCATGCTGCAGGGACATGTTTAATTGCATTTTTATCATCCAAAGAATACACATTCACTTGATTAATTTATTCTACTTAATAATTCAAGGGATGCATTTGTACAGCATGAATTGGTTGAGAACAATCCCAGCCAACGTACCAGTTTGTATAGCTCTGATACGCTGATCTGATCTGGATCCACCATTTCAAACTCCTTTCTGGGAACAAGGTCTAAGCCAAGGTGCCTGGTGAAACAGGGATTAGGGGTGTAAAAAGAGGAAGAGGGGGGGGAAAAAAGACATTACAACTTTTAGTGAAAGTGAATCAAATGATGTGCACCACACATGAAACCGTTCTCAAGTTAGTTTTTAAAGCCCAGATAAAAAAAAGGATTCTGCAAATCTGTGTCTTTGCAATATCTCCAGAATAAATCTTTAAATATGCCTTAGTACATTTGTTCAAGTAGGATTTTGAGGTACGTGTACTTAATGAATGTTGCTTTGTACTTTGTAGTGCTGCATTTTAGGAAAATATTTATCTTCTTACTTCACTACATTTATCTGATTACCTTGACTATATTAAAGGAAGAATTAATCGATTATTTGCTTTTTGGTTGGGAAGTAGATGAGAAATCTGATCTCTCTTTTCTGAATGTAACAGCCAGCCAGCCAGCAGCCAATTAGATTATGTTAAATACTAAAAACAGAGGCAGCCTGTCTCTGTCCACCAGTATCAAAATCTATGTACAGTTGCGTCTAAACCCAAACAAAAATCAGTGTAATAACAATAACAATGCAGGTTATGTGCCGCAGTAACTTCTTGGAGTCTCCACTGGTTGCCTGGCAACCATTCAGGGTCATGTAATAGTGGTTGCTGTAAGATTTTACATGAAAAGGATCCCTTTGTCAAAAATTACAGATTCCTAAAGACTTAGTTGCTTGTTTTTCTTACATGAATCTTCCTCAGATAATTAACTCCCACATAAGTGTAATGAGGTACAAGATTTGCAATATAAGTATAACAAATCCCTAAGGAATGTGGTGGAGTCAAATTTTAATGCATCAAAAATTGAAATACACAAAAAAAATGCTCTGCACTCAACTTGTTTGACACTCTGTATGAACTATATTAGTTCACACCAAAAAACCACAGAATTCAATATTTAAACAGAAGGTCAGTTTTTCATGGCTTCATCAACATATCCACACAAATTTAGATTAGCACTTTGGATAATTTTATTCTAACAACTGTGTAAGACATTTCCAGTGTGTGTGGAAACCCTGGGATCTTGTAGTGGAAATGGGGACTTGTGGGTTTGAATGGTACTTAACCACTCAGCATGAGTTTGTATTATAGAGAACCATTAAAGTCTATGGGAATGAGGAGGTTAAGCACAGTACTGAGTGAATGTCCTCAATTGCCATGTACCATCGGCGCTCGTATATCAAACTGCAACGCTTCACTTTAGCTAAACTGTGCAGCCCCCAGATCACAGAGTGGTATCTCTGCTGCTATGATCTTTTGACCATGAAATTAAATCACTACAGCTCTCAGGTCAGCATGCACTACAAGCACTGACCTCAACATGCATGGTGAAAGTACTACGCTGCGTTTGGGGCTTCACTACCGAGTGTTTTTATAGTTCGTTCAAGCGTGATACTCACTAATGTTGAACAACTGAGTGATGAAGCTCCAAGTGAATGTGTGTGCACTTTTCTGTGCAATTGTGCATGGAATCTTATATTAAACTGACAGATGGTCCTTGCACATAAAGCTCTTCCTCAGCTGAACCAGAGCCCTCACATCTTTATCTCTGATATGGATGCCTGTCACAGCTCAGTTGGATGGAGTTTGAAACTGGCAACAGTAAGAATATGGCTTTGCAGCTCCTCCAGGGGGATTTGCATTTACTTTAAGCTGCTTCAGATTCACTCATCTGCTAAATGACCATAAAATTACATCATAGCAATGCTGTTACACACCCACCACTTCCAGAGAAATATTATATTCCAAGGTGGCCAGGGTTAGAAACAAAGGTTTGTTTTAGAGCGTGCCTTCAGTTCGTGCGCTCAGTATAAGAGTTACTCACTCATTGCCCCAGTCAAGCCGTACGGTGATGTGTCGCTTGATCTCACGAGTCTGGTCCTGGGCGAGGTGGCCCTGGATCAGCTGCCGACGCAGGTCGATGAGCTCATTCATCACATGGCGCAGCTTATGGAACAGATCCACCTTGTGTTTCTGTGCAAGCAGCAAAGACAGACTCAGCATTTATGCATGATACTAATGAAAGTCATCCCTCATGTTATCTGTGACATTAATCATCTGTAACTGCATTTACCAAGCTTGACACTGAGCCTATATCTAGATGAGTCAATCTCTGATATATTGTGATATACTTTACATTCAGCTCAAGTATATGAACAACTTAAAATCATGTCTCTTATTGAACCCCCCGTGAGCCTGTGCACGTAGCAGAACAATACATGTTGCAACTGAGAGTTAAGCCCACTGGTTTCATTAATGAAACGAAAAAATACATTTTCCTTATAAATCTGCTTTGACCTCATCACATTAATGAATTTCATCACCATTTCTCACAGACCAAGGACAGCACTTTTAATTCAGGCATATCCTCTGTTCTCACTAATGGTATGACAGGCCCACATTGCCACCCAGGTTTGTTTACATAAATGCAAAGATTAAGTGCCGCCACAATGCGCATGTAAATTTAATGAGGATAAACACTGCATGTTCTCAAAGCCTGGTGGCTGCTGAAAACAAAGATTTTTGTCAGGGTTGATGAGCCCTTTTGGACCTCTATTCTGCAGGGCTAATTACATACATTATAACAGACACACAGTTATGCTTAGGCCATTGCTCCCTGAAGTAATGCCATGAATTCTAATTGGCAACAATAAGGTGAAATGTATCAACATCAAGCCAATGCTACATCCTATTATTATAGATGCAACTGTGGCAACATGGCCCATATCACAGAGGGGGTGAGCACCAAAACCAGCGCTGTTAAATCAGCGCTTCATATTAGTCGAGCTTCAGAGGAAGTTACATCACCACACCAATGCCTCGGGCTGCTTAGTTGCTCAGAGCATGAGCAGTCCTCAGTGAGAGGTTATGTAAAAACTCGCTGCCAGCTCTGCAACATAGCCACTCAGCTCCAAACTCAAAACCCTACCAACCACTTCTGCCTGCCCCCTCGACACTTAGCAGGATTAAGGATGCTTTGGGTTTCCAGTAATCACTTTTGCCCGGCAAGTAAAAGCTGACTGAAGGTGGTGGATCTTAAGATGATGCAGAAACTACTAGAGTCAGGCCAAGATCAATCAATGGCTGAATGACACAGCATGAAATCGTATATGACAGGTCTGTAGGCCATTATCTGTGTCCAACCACCATTTCTGTTCCTACACAGATAGTATATGAAAATACAGGCTGACAGTCAGAACGACAAGCTATGGGGGAAATATCTAAACGAGCTGTCACTGTATGTTTGGACTATATTTCAGGCGAATCACTAGTCTTCCTGGAAAAACCTGGTTATGCTCAGCGCTGAATTATGTTCAGGGATGAAAAACAAAACGGGAAAAGCGTATTCCTCGGAGGAAGGCAAATTAAACAACAATGGATGCAACATCTTTGCAGAAGCTGTTGATCTTTCAACTCCCCTGGAAATCTCGATAATTTTAGGTGCGTTCTCACATTTAGTACTTAGTATCATATGAGTGCAATGGACTGTAATGTATCGCTACTGACCACATAGAGCTGCTTCCACAAGACGCCCCATTCCTGCAATGTGGAGGTGGTCTCCGTGATAATGGGGTCCTCCAGGGGCACCACTGTCTCGCACAGCCTACGGCAAAAAAAAGCACGAATGTGAGATCAATCCCTTAAGAATCAATGCTACTGATAGATGCCAAAAACAATGGATACATATTACATTCAGTCTGTCACATCCTGGTAACATGAAGACGCTTCAGCCTCTTTCGTTAAAAGAAGTCAAACAATGAACATTTGTATTGTGCATTTTACATTGATTTAACTGCCTTGTGTTTCAAACATGCATGTGATGAAATAATTAACAGAGAATAACAAAAAGAGATGCCTCATTAACAGCAAATAATTTGTCTCACAGCAAATTATTTTGCGTTAATTAAAACATATTTGGAAGTCGGCTCCAATAGCACATTCAAATCATTGTACATTGACATAATTATCTTGTTTATGTGAAAGTACTTTGATCACTTTTAATAATAATAACAAAAAAGAAGCAAAATCAGTATTGATGTTGAAGATCGAGGCCCTGGTATTATTTGGTATCATTATTTGGTACGCTCTGGTTTGGTTCACAGTTTAAGAGTCACACTATTACTGGGGTTTATGCTATGCTAAGCTAAGCTAGCAGTTGATAATAATAATAATTGATCAGATTTATATAGCGCTTTTCTGGACACTCAAAGATGCTTTACACTGTCAATTATTCATTCACACATATTCATTCTGGTGGTGGTAACTACGATTGTAGCCACAGCTGCCCTGGGGCAGATTGACAGAGGCGTGGCTGCCATTCTGCACCTACAGCCCCTCCGACCACCACCTCAAACAATCCATTCATTCATCCATTCACACCAGGCAAGGTGGGTGAAGTGTCTTTCCTAAGGACACAACGACCATGAAACAGGTTACAGGGCGGAATCGAACCGCCGACCTTCCGATCATTGACCGATTCGCTCTACCATCTGAGCCACAGCCGCCCCCTGATGGTCAGTAAATACCTCCCATTCATTAGCTGCCTGCCTGTTAAGATACAAAGTCTTATTTTTTATTTTTAGACATGTCTACTTTTAGGAACAGGGTGGAGCTCTCCAGGAGAAAACCACAACACATGTTCTTCTCACGTCCATAAGGAAACGTTAACACAAAACTTCAATCTCACGTTTGCATTTTGCTCGCAAAAGGATCAACTTTGATACTGTATAATGTTTTTGGAACAATCCGAGCATCTCCATCCATTACAAAAAGAGTCGGGGTGATTGTCTGTGGCGGGGATGCTTTGGGAAAACTACACAGATGCAGTAGGTGTGTCACCTCATTAACTCCATGAGACAGCAAAGCAGATTTCCCAAAGTGCAACTCCTGGAGCGAGAAACTGTAATAATGTCAATTTCCGAGTCTGCACTTTTAATTGTTTGAGTGCAAATGAGAGTCCTCCTGTTATGTGGTAACTCAACTGGAGGATGTGATATAACAGCAAACTCCCAGTCCACAGTGAGCCGCGGATCCCAGCCTGCAGACAGAGCATTACATCAGGCTGATAAAGAGCCCTGCCGCCTGTTTTTGTCTTCGTCTTTATTCTGGCCTGTGCAGCCATGGCCGACTATTGTGATGAGATGGATGTAGATGACCGCTGTGTGCACAAGCATGTCTGTGTGTGTGCGTGTGTGTGTGTGCATGCATGTCGGCAGCTGTCAGGTGGTAATTCTCCTGAAGATTGGATTGTCACTAATCAGTGGTGAGGCGAAATTAGATGGCAAAGGAGGGAGGGACACACATCCTTTGACATTGATCAGTTGATGAATCTGTATCACAAAGCCTGTGTAATGAGAGAAGGAGAGCTCCATCAACTCCGTCAAAGCCAGTAGGTCTGACCAGTAAAGAACAAACATATCATCCTCACATCATCCTCCAGTATGTCTCAATAAAGGTCTGATAGTGATGGATCTGCTGAGAGAAACTGCTGCTGATGTTATATAAGGCAGGTCGTCAGTATTTTGAGCTGCACTCCACCACGACCACATAAATACTCTGTACTGCAGTGACTCCCAATACCTTTTTAACTGTCTGACTATTAATAAACAAATTTAAAGTTAGTGGCACAGATAATGTTTATATGTAAGGTGTTTTTGTTTTTCACTTTAGTGAAGCTGTTGGGTTTTCCTGTCAGTGGTTAAAGAGCTGGGCGAGATTAATCCATCTATCTTTATAACATTATGAGTACTTTTATATTGCAGTATTAAAGTATATAGAAATGTTGTACATTGGGTAGTAAAAATCTTTTCCAATTCTAATCCAATTATCACACAAGAAGTCTAACGGACTGCCTCGAGGCCTCTAATACAAGCAGTTAAAAGAGATCACTATAAAATCATATTGAACAAACTAAGCTGCTTAAATTGTGTCAAATGGACATGTTTGGTTCCATATGACATGCATAGCGGCAAAAAAAAAAAAAACCAAAGCGTAAAACTTCCGCGTTTGAGCACCTCTCACCTGAGCTGAATGTAAAATGTACACGTTCACATAATGAACCCACAGGAGAACTTGGTGCAAATTCTGACACTGAATCAGTATCTGTGGTGATACTGGCATAAACAGTCCATGCTCAAGCAAAATCTTAGGTATTTAGTTCCAACATTAAATATTAATGACTGAAAAAGCTGCATTACAGTTGAGGTTTGGGGGGAATAAACATTCTTGGCTGTTTTTTTTATTAAGAGTTTAACTTCTTAACATTCCCCCCTCCTATACTTAAAAGACTAAAAGTGTGGATGCATTTTGTTCATTGGACGCTTTAGGTGAAAATAATGTCTAGCACATAGGGAACTTTGTGTACCTATAGAAGAAACAATGTGTTTGTTGTGTACACACTCTTTTGCTGCCACTGCTGCTGCTGCTAGTGTAACTGTGGTATCAGTATCCTAAAATGGTTTACACAATTTGAATCAGGAGGCTTTGTGCTTTCAAACGATGTATAATTTAGCTTCGCTAATGTGCTTCATGAGGACTGTGTGAGAGCGGTTTGATCAGATTTGTTTAACAGGACAGGCAACAGATGCGAAACACCCCACAACTGCCGACACACTTTGAGTCAATTGTTGCTCAACCAAAGTATAAATGCGGAAATCTCTTAAGTGAAATAACCCGATTGCTTCTGACTTTGGCAGAAAATAGTCAGTTCAAGCAGGAGCCCATCACCTAAAGTAAGAATGTGATCAAGAAAATAGGTTTTCACTGCCTTTAAATACACTCAGTTTCAGTTGCACAGCAAAGCTTGTCCTGCTGCAGACAGTGAGGTGTACAGATATTACAATTCAGAACAAAGAATGGTATCAGATAGGGAAAATATCCTGAGCTGAACTTTCAGAATCAGTATCAAGACAGAAAAAGTTGGTTCTGTGAATCCCTACTTATAATGCTGCACATGTTCAAGTAAAAACACTGCACCATAGAACTTACCCTCTGTTTGTCACTGTAGATTTCTTCAAGTGGACATAGCTGACTGGGAAAATACCCTGTGGACGGAGGAAGGAGGAGAGATGTTACTGGGTGTGACAGGATTACATTTTCTAATTCTCCTGCACCACATGACCAAAATGTAGACTATTGTATTATGTTTGTGTTATTAGGCAGTTTAACCTAAACCATGCGGAGTGCTGCAAAGGTAAAAAAGGAGATTTTATAGTTCTGCTGGCGACACATTATAAGCGGAAGGAAATGCAAGATCACACATCCTTTATATATGTTTGGATGTTTTCTGCTGTGTGCAAACATTTCCTGTGCGAATGCGAAGCCCCGTACTGTTTCCACACACTGCAGAGACGGGAGGCAGAGCAGTGTGCAGGATCCCCATTGTGGCTCGGCTTAGCAAGGGAAGGGCATGAGAGACTGAGTGGTGCCAGCTGCCCCCCTTGCAGTTCATCTTTCTTATTCTAATCTGCCAGATGTGAAGAATTGGCCACAGTGAGCACAACTAATTCTCTCAGTGCAGAGAGAGTATGGGGGCGAATGAATGTGGGCAGCAGAGTACATAACAAAATGGAGGGGTGTTAGTAGGAACTGTAAATAGCTGATGAGAGTAGAGAAGGACAGCATGTAGCCACTAACACCTACATTTACCAGGACTGGACAGCTTTTGTGCTTTTCTTTGAAACATTTCAGCAGCATCGCATAACACTTCAGCTCCTGACATTTCAGTTTAAGGCAGAGTGGACGCGCGAAATAGCAAAAACTACCTGCCGCTTTCATATTTTAATGATGCATCTGCCGTTCATGACTCTGATGAAACAGCTCTTTGTGTTATGGATGTACAAACTTTACTTCTTTTTTTTTTCTCCAACTTTGCGCAGTGACTTTCCAAACTGCTCTGCTGCACTTTATCTGTGATAAACATGATTTACTGTACAAACAGTTTTATGGGAGGTAAATATATAATAGCCATTTAAAGCAGAGTATTGATCTCTGTCAGCTGTGATAGTGTTGTGCTTTTTATGTACCTATAGTCTCTTCTTACTAAGCATTGTGCATCGGATTAATCATAATGATGCTCCCTGGAGAGCCCCTAAACTGAAATGGTTTACATTCAAACCCTCCATCCTGCCTCATATCTGAGCTTCCTTTCTGCCTGATCAAAGTCAAAACAAGTGCCATGGAATCTGTCCTGCAGCATTCACAGAAGAAAACAAATTCTGAAGTGTTATATATAACAATTAAATTGTCATTTTATGTTTTTAAAAACAGCTTGTTTTGGTATAATGACAAGTTTTCACATTAATAATTGCACCATCTGCTGGCTGAAAGAATTCTGCTCAGGAAGGAAAACAGCACAGCAGCAGTGCAGCAAGTGCAGCATGTTTGAAAGCACACAGCGCTGCTATGTGATGCACACACACAAAATATCACTATTCTTTCCTTGTCATTGTATATACCGTGTTTTTAATCACCATTTGTAAATAACATCTTGAAGATGGCGCTGCTTCTCATGCTTCTGAGCGCCGAAGTCAGAACAACTTGGTTAAACTGGTGCCTTTTTGAAAGCACCTCGAGAAATACAGGTCAGGAAATTTCTATTTTTGCCAAATCAAAGCTCTATTCAATACATTAATCAGCCATTAAGGTCTTTGTTGTCTAGACAAAGTTATTTCTGGGCTGCACATCTCTCACATCACATTATCATTCACAAAAATGCACTGGTCTTTGATTGAAAAAAACAAAACAAAATAAAAAAAACCCTTCATGTAGAGATCACATTTTAATGGCAGGGCTGCCACTTTTACAGATGTGCTGGTGACACTTCATTTGTCTGATGAAATCTGAGTTAACCTTACTGGCTGGCTGACAATTTAATATATTAACAGTCTTTGACAAATGCTGCCTTGGTAAAGTACACAAGAGTCACATCAGTGGTTACTCATAACTGTCCTTTGTGTGTTTTAAACATTGGCATTGTTGTTCACTCATTGGAAGACAGAACACTGTATAGAGTCCACACAATGTCAAGTCAGTTTACTTGTGTATTCTGTTATAATTACCTTGATAGAAGGCTTCTTGGTAGAAAAGCCTCTATACCAACCTAAAGAAAGAACAAAGTACACATGAGAAAACCTCATCCTCACAGCGAAACAAAATATTGTACTGCACCTTTACTTGTGGATTATAAGAGTAGGTTACGTTGCTTTTACATGTGAACTCTCAGGAGACTTTGTGTAGCCAAGCTGTGTTGCAGCCAGTCTGTCTGGGGTACATCTGTGTGATTCCCACAAAACTGGATAAACTGAATATTTTTAAATATGTTTGCCTGCTCTGTAGACCATTAAATGCAAACTATGTTATTTTAAGAGAAAGTTAAAGGTAAGATATTGCTTTAAATTTTTTCTATATAATTAGGGCCAACATACATATGTCCTATTGGTACTCTTTCTAGGAATTTATTTGTAAATTTTGCACCCATACAATTAGGTGTTTTATTTCACCATATAAAGGCATAAATGCTGTTTACAACTCTCTCTTTATGCTGTTAGGAATAAGATTGGTGAAATACAGAATTATTTATTTTAATGGCCAAAAAGAAGTCAAATGCAAATACTGAGTCTTAAAAACTGTAGAATACAACTCAACCCAAGTGGCTAAAATTCCCACAATTCCCAGACAACATGCTTAGCAAGACACAGATGATCCATGTTTAAAAAAAAACAACAACAACTCCATTTCACAGTCTGCATTGCCAGAGAATAAAAGATCTCACTGCTTTTACCTTCACTCTTCTCCAGAATCTGCACCGTTTCCCCAATCTCCAGGACCAGGGCCTGACATATTGATGATCGGAAGTTGCAGATCACTGCGTGGAAAAAAGGAAACAAAAGACTAAAGTTATGAAAACATATTTGACTACACAGTAGTGCTATGTGAGTGTGAACTTGCAACAGAAATTCCTGCTGATTAAGATCAGTGCTTGGCTTCGTCTCTGTGCCCTCTGATTAAGCAAGGTGCGTCCCCCGTCACCGTCGTGTCTCCACACACCAAGTGTTTCAGGGTCGTAGCAGGGCAGCTACAGCGGTTTTTAATAAGCTGTTTAATGCAAACATCTAAACACAATGTCACACAGGAGCCACTGCTTAGCGAACTGTAAACAAGCTCCCACCCTGAAGTGGGTAGTCATTTTAATAGGCAATTAATTCTTAAGCGACCTGATTTTGTACAATGTTAAGTTAATTGAACCATCTCCCAGAATAGAGCCCACATAAACTGCTAAGTAATATGACTAAACGCTGATCTATCATAAGTCGGTATTAGTGTAAATCTTTTATGCCACCTGCTCTTGTGCTACATTCAGTCTTTGACCACACACACAGTAACATCCTGTGACTCAAACGCTGATGACATGATTATTCTTTAGGGGATGGACACCACAGTAAAGGCCTTAACAGTTTCATCGCCTCCGGAGCCTGTTTTTATCTGTGCAGCGCTGCAGCTCGACAACATGAGCCAAACAGTACACAGGCCTCAGTAAAGACAAACTTGTTTAATAACGACGACGCTCCGCTGACGATTTTAAAAAACCTACAAATGGTGGCCCTTCAAGGAGAGTTTTGGTGTGAATCATTATGCTAATGAACTAGCCAGGGGACCCAGTGAGGGGGAGGAAGAGAAGGAGGGGCTTCGGCTCGGCTCCGCTGCCTGTTTGAGGGTAACGAGTGCTCAGTTCCTGTGCTCGGGTAACTATGGCAACAGATCATCCACAAACTGGAGGGCTTTCTTCACTGTAACTGCTGCAGGGATCTGGGCATTTTAAAATGGTAAGCTTATGGATGCGGCATAGCACAGGAGTTGGAATCAAGCGCATCGGGCATATATTAAAAGAAGTGAGATGGATGGACTTAAAGAGTGTCCTTGTCACCTTTTTCAGTCTGCCTCAGGCCCTTTTCCAGCCAGGGCTAAGTATTTCCTATTTGACAGTCCTATTCTTTAATGGCCTCTATTTCATTTGAATTGCAAAACCTGCACTCACACCATTTGAAAACTCTTCAGTGGAGGCCACGTCAGAACAAGATGAGACTGTCATGTTTGAGAGAGCTGGGCACACCGCACAGGCTTATATTTTCATAGTCCTCCCTCACAAAAACCTCCAAGCTGTGTAAACACGCAGTCACACACTCGTTTCATTGTGCCTAAAAGCTGCGCCGCATTAGCATATCCTCAAAACATAACCAACAGAAAGAAAAAAAAAATAAAAATCATCTTTAGACTTCAACATGTTGAACGTAGGATGTTGGAAGGACTGACGGGACAGGGAGTGGAAAATGTTGGCAAAAGCAAACATTTCTACTCAGCAACAATATATCAGTCCAGACTGTCCCTCTATTCAGTTGAATTCATGATCCACATGGCATCTGAAGGTTGCTATTGTGTAACCACTAACTCACTGGGAGGAATTATGGGGATTGAGCACAGGAGGAGACTTCTGCTGTCCTCCACTTTCCTCTTACCTCCGTTCTTCCATGTACGACACACACGTACACCGATCAGCTACGACATTAAAACCACTGTTAGGTGGAGTGTACGTCAGTGCGTTACGATTCAATGTGCTGCTGGGAAACCTTGGGTCCTGGCATGCGTGTGGATGTTACTTTGACACACACCACCCACCTAAACATTGTTCCAAAACCAAGCACACCACATGGCAACGGTATTCCCCAACAGCAGAGGCTTTCCCCAGCAGGACAGCATACCTCGCCACACTGCAAAAACTATTCAGGAACAGCTTGAATTTGACAAAAAGCCTGAGATGTGACCCTGCCTCCAAACTCAATAGGTCCCCGATCTGATGGCACATCTGTGAAATCCACCAGAGCAAGTCCGACCCATCGAGGTTTCCCCCCACAACCCACAGGACCCAAAGGCCAAGGTCCCAGTGCCAGACACCACAGGAGACCCGTGGGGATTCTGTGTCCATGGCATGACGGGTCAGAATCTTTTTGGCAGCACAAAGTGGACGTTCACAATATTAGGAAGGTGGTTTTAATGCTGTGGTTGATTATTAGTACTCTACTTTCCTACACATCTAATGGGGCAAGTTTCATTTGCAAAGGGAAAAAATGACATGTTTTAATCTTCTGGCTTTTCTCACATAGTAAAACTGGTCAAGTATAGTATTTTAAGAGCTGTTTGGGGGGTTTCAATCCAGCCCTTATTTCAAAACATTTCGCATGAAACTCAAGTAAAAACTGAATATGAAGATCACAAAATACACTTTTTTTTTTTTCCAAAATACACTTAAGTCCAGACTAATTTGGAGGCCCACTCAGTTTAGGTGGTTATGGATTGTCAGAACTTATATTCTTCCACTATGACACCACAGAGTGATATGAAGAGTTGGTGTTACAGCAATATGATGGCAAAGAAAATAAACTGGGCTGTGACTTTCAGTTGCAGGGAAACAAAGTGAAGACGTAATGCCTTTTTGTAAATAATTATCAGCATGCATATGGCTGCATCATTCTTCCAAAAACTGTAATAAATTGAGTTTTAGATAAATGACAAAGCAGTACTACTAGATAAAGCAGATATTTATGGTCTATTATCAACAGGCAAAGTATAAACGCAAAGCGCACAGCATCCTCTATTTTCTGCATCAATTTGTTCTTCGAATCTACTAAAAGTTTTTACAGCATGACAACAATTGTTTAAGCATCCAGTTTTCTGTGTTGGCGTGAAGTGAGAACACAAGCTGGAGTTGATTTTCTATAACAGCGCCGAGTAACCACTACCAGCAGCTCTTGCGTGGAAAAAAGTAGCATTGTTCTTGAGTTATTTTATGCAAAAAGTTCTCGTATTTAAGCGACTAAGTTGAGTCCGTCTAAGGCATCGCACTGGCCACCTATTACAGAGAATATCAGTAACCCATCACAGTTCAGAACAGGCATTGGACTCAGATAAAGTGGTGCTCAAATGTAAAATAAGACTTAAAATCATTTAGTCAGCCTGCGTGAGAATCAATAACGCTCTTCCTCTGTTGTGCCTTTATTTTCTAACTCACTGCTCCTCACCAGCAGTGCTGCCACCCATGGTGTGTAGGAAAAAAAGCCTAATATAGCCTAACCAAAGCGGTCATGTCATGTGGGAACAGACTCAGTGCAGTTTTTGAAATAGGGAGCCTATGAGTGAACACTAAAATCCTTGTTGATTGAATCCTGCAGTGATGCAGTTTAAAAGAGGCTTTTATGCGATGATTGCAGATAAATGTGGCAATTCAGAGCCCTCCACCGTGTTAAAGGAGAGAATGGTGGCGCCGCAAACATCGTGTCTGTGTCAAGATGTTGGTCGTGTATCGCAAGTACACACTTGCATCACATTAGCAAACAGCGATGTTAATGAGAGTTCTAAAAGTGTTGAAGTCACGTTTACTGTGCAATACTATCAACAAAACTACTTAAACTAAAATCGTAAGCAGTGACAGCATGTGTATTCAAGGAAAAAAAAAAAATCACTGTTCTCTATAGAACGTCAGTCTATGGTAGTTTTGTTTGAGTCTGACTTTTAACCTTTTTCCCTTATCTGCGCTTCACTTTTCTGTTTACTGTCACTCTGTAAACCCGCTCAGGTGAAATGAGAATTGTCAAGACAGACGTGTCTATGTTCTATCGCTGTAATAAAATCTTTTTTTCTTTTGTACAACAGAGGAGGAGAAGCTTGTCTTGCCTCCCAGTGTAAATCCTCACTATTGCATACTGTCATGTCTCGAAAAATGCTTTATGTTTTATAGTGAAGTTGAAAAGAGAGCATGCATGGCCTGATGACCTTGCTTGAGAATTAGTGATAGACACATACAGCACCTAACAGTACAACGGCCCACAGGGGAGCAATATTCAGCGGAAAAGGGAGGGGGGATGTCATCAAAAACCTGCCAGCACAACAGTAAACACTATTATGGCTTATAAATTGCCTGCTGTATTTTTAAAACAACTGTGTGCTAATGGCACCACTGTACCGAGAAAGCTTTTTTTCTTTTTTTTAAATCAAAGAGAACACTGTGCTCTTCTAAACTGCAGCTCTAAGATGAGCTTATTTTCTTGGGTTTCCTTTTAGTTTCACTCTCAATTATAAGTCCTACAACTGGAGTTGAATTGCTTAGTGAGTGCGTCCTTAAACCATTTCCAGTAATGCAATGTGAGTATGCCGACCACGAAGGTCCTGTGTAGTCCCGTCCCAGATCGAGCTGAGTTGAAACTTACACAATGGTCTTTGGACTTCGCCCACTGAGTCATGTAGTTCAGCACGACTCACTTACTGAGACACATTACTGCACCGGAGGCTTGCTAACCAGGGGATTTCTTCCACAGAGGCAGAGGAGCATGTTTGATTCCAAATCAGCGTCCCAGAAATCAAAGCTACCACCCAACTGCAGGGGGTGTTTGTAACTACCAGATGATGACCTTATCGTAAAAGTCTTTTGAATATCTGAGCACGCAACTGCCACACGTGCGACGCTACCTATTTTTGTTGTGCTGATGTACAAGTTAGGTCAGAAACTACAATACTAATGAAGATTGAACGTTAAACTCTCCGGTGCGGAAGGGTTAAAATCATGGCTATAACTGCAGAGAAACGCTGCTTTGGGGCAAATCTCTCTAATCCCACTATCAGTTGAACATATCATTTGTTCCGTCGTGAACACATTTGATCCTCGAGTTGTCTATTTCAGATAATGGTGCCCCAGTCTGCTCGATTATTTCATCTGCTGCTGCTGTAGTTTGTGTCTGAGCCGCGTCCATGTGGCCACAGATGAAGCCTTGTGATTCATTTCACTCCCTGTCTCATGTGGGCAGGTACTGACTTACAGTCAGCACTCTTTCCAATGAAAGTGTAAAAAATGTTGCTGCTTATATGAGAAAAATCCATCAGTGACTCATTAGTAAATAAGTCAATGGAAGAAAAACTTGTAGAACAAAAATCATTTCAACAGCACATTACTGAGGATTGAAGAGTGAATTAACGGTTAGCATTTTGATCATCTGTAATCTAATATTTAAATCTTACAGCCTCAAAGTTAGCTTATATTTTGTTGTTGCTGACATTTCACAGAATTATAAACTGAGAAGCCAGGCAAGGGATTACTAGATTAATTGGTGATTAAGATATTCATCATTAGTACTTGTAGAGTGGAGCTGGCCGGCACTGCTGCTGTGGATCAAATCCAGGCCTTTTGTTGCGACTCCACAAGTGATTTGCAAACTAATATTCCCTGCATAAACAAAACCAAGAAGGAAAATAATGAACAGGTAGCGGTTCTAAGAAATCCATTATGAGACGGCCTTCAACTGTTAGAGCCTGTTCAGATAACACAGGAGTGGGGAAAAAGAAAGGCCTGGCTGCCTGCTGACACACCACAGCTCTGTTGGTGCACGACAGCAAGGATGATAAACGGATGATAAATTAAGGAAAGACGATGGGGGGGGGGGACAAACATACAAAATGGAGACATTAATAGCACGGATGAGGCGGGAGAGGAGCCGATAACAGGCTGTGGAGGTCTTGTATTTGCCGGTTAACGCAACAAGCGCAGCAGCAGCAGCAGCGTGGGCTCCATCCACAACGAAACACCAACATGTCAACATGTTATCCAAGGCGAATGAGGAGTAATATTTTTCTACAAGGTACAGTATGTACTGTGTATGGCGGCTTTTCCCCGCAAAAAAAGAAAAAAAAAGGGAAAAGATTCAGCACCGCGGAGAGCGTCATCTCCACATTTCAGCACCGCGGACAGCGCCAGGTCACTCCGACTGATTCGGAGGCTGAACTGTTGCTTCCCCGCACACACACCAAAAAAACAACTACCTCCTCCTGCCTCCTACCTCCCCCCCTCTCTCACCATGGATCTGGGCTTTATGGGGAAAAAAAAAAAAAAAAAGAACTGCAGTGATTCTACGATGAGATGAGCACAGAGGCGATGGGGGGGATTACTACACATGAAGTGGTGATATTAAGGTGGACTGCCATCGGGGTGGGCTCTCTGCAGGCTGCAGCTTTTATGAAACCATCATGACGAATGTAATACCTCCAAACAAAGTGTATATGTGTGGGCGTGTGCATGTAGTCAGGAGAGGAGGGGAGGATGAGGAGGAGGAGGAGGAGGAGGATGATGATGATGATGATGATGGGGGGGGGGAGTATCATGTGCGAGCCAGCATGAGTAGCCCTGCAAGTATAACAAGCTGTAGAGCATCTGGACATGACTCATTCCCCCTAATGAACACCCACTATAATGTAATCATACGCTATAGACACTTTTGCCGTGACTGTAGGACTCTGCGGTGGATTTAGAAATCACCTTATGCTGGTTTTTCTATTCTGCCTCTTGAGGTTATTCAACAGATCGCTCGTAAAAAAGCTGATCTTGCACCCTCTTCCTCTCTCTCTCTCTCTGTCTGGGGGTCAAAGTGCTCACATGCATGGATTGTGGTTGGATCAGTGCAGCTCCTGTTCGTTGCAGCAGAGCTTCTTTTTTTTGTCTACAGGTAGACTCCAGCTTCACTCCAGCCTACACCTGTTGGAGGGACGCAGTCACGATGCCCCCTCGTGGATTCAACACGAATCGCCTCCCCCCCTCTCTTTCTCTCCCCTCTTCTCCCCCTTCATAGGCTCTAAAGAAAGAAAATGCTTCTTTTTTTAAAAATCAAAATCCAACACTGACTCATTCTTTATTTCTTTTTTTTAAATTATTATTTTTTGGTCTTACAAAACCACTCAAACTAAGCGCAGATTTCCACGCTCCGCCTGCGGTTGTGTATAAACTGCGATGGCATCTTTAAGGTGGTGGGGTTTGTAGGCTGTAGCATCCCACGCAATTTCCCTTTCTATGCAGTCACTGGCCGTGTATATCAGCCATTAGAAGAGTATGTGTTTTTAACTGGGGGGGGGGAGGTGTTACGGATTTAGTAATAACCAAAAGAGGCAATGCGGAATGACTAAAACTGGGTGTTTCTCGTGCGATCACAATAATATAAAAAAAGAAAAAGTCAAATCAGAAAACGTCGTTAATTAGCAATAAAAAACAACAGCTGCGTTTGACTCACCAACTCCGATTTTCTCCTCTTCTGTAGGTATCCACATATTTGGTTATTTTCCCTCCGTGAGAGCGAGCCACATTATGTCGATATCGTGAGATGATGCTGCTGCTGCTGCCGCTGCTGGGGGAAAAAAATGGGAGCTGAAGGCTACAAATTTCTCCTGGCTGCTCCTACATTGGGACTACATGTCTCGACCGGAATCAGTATCCTGACGTTTGTGTTGTGTGTAGAAAAAAAAGAAAGAAGAAGGAGGAGGGGGATGAGGAAGGAGCATCAAAAGCCTCGATATCTCTGCTCTATTATGTCCCGGCGTGTGTCTCCAGTCTGATGCAGTCTCCGTGTCCAACCTAATGTAACGCACACGCAGGGACGCACGCACGGCTGCACGCACGGGTTTTTTTTCTCTCTCTCGCTCTCTCTCTCTCTATATCTGCTCTCCACAAAAGGTGTTATTATTATAACAGCCGCATTTCAAGAGGAACTGGAAGATATCTTTCTTTTCTTTTTCCTCGAAGCTTATTTATTTCTTTGTTGTTCCTCGCGTTTTCCTTTTTAGCCAATTGCGCGCAAGTCATCGACCAAAAAAAAAAAAAAAAAAAGGCAGGGCGCGCTCGGTTAATTAGCGGGTCGCGATACTGTTTACCGGTCCCAAGTGTCGAGCTGGAGCAAGAAGGAATAAATAAATGCTGGAGGGGGGGAAACTGCAATATACCATAAGCTGCGCCATCTTCGTGGTCGTCACATGACTTGTTTTGTCAACACTGATGTGTCAAGCAAATATATGCGCCCTCTCTCTCTCTCTCTCTCTCTCTCTCTGCATGGCACTTTCATCCATCACAAACACAAACTGCATCTTCTCCTGCTAGGATGCCTGCCCCCCCCTCCTCTCTTTTTCTTTTTTTTTCTTCCCATGATTGAATGTGTTACTTTGTTGGAGCCATAAAGTAGCTCAACATCAGGCCATGTGGGGAAGCACCTTTCCAGGTTTGAGTCATTTCAAAGAAACGGACCCTCCACCAGCAGTGCTTTGTCATAGTGCAGTCATGCTCCTACACACACACACACACACACACACACACACACAGATGAGATGCAACACATTTCTAACGGTCAATCCCCCCCTTCCCTCCTTTTTTCCAGTTTGATGGATAGGTTTGGCAAACTGGATTTCCCATTAGACCTACATCACACCACCGCAGCTTGATTAATAAATGCCATTCACATAAAACAAATGGTGGAATCTCATCTTTTTTTTAAGTTGTAGTTATTTATTCACTTGTGACTTGTTCTTTACAGCAGCTTCAGGTTGTAGATAAAGGAGATGAACACTTTGGATTTGACGATAGGTTTTCTCTTTGCAGTTGATACCAACTGAATATTCACAATTTTCTTGTCTGTGTGTAGTGTTGAGCTACATTTTCAGTAAATGTTCTATCTAGACATTAAGGTCTGTTTCAAATCCTCCACTCTGCTGGGAACAAAACTATTAACCCTTTAATGTTCTCATGACATAAAACCCCCCAATTTAGACAATCAAACACAAATAAAGTGATAGAAAACACCTACATATAGTTGTTTCTAATATATAGAAGGTAAATTGCTCTAAAACAGAACTTGTGAGAAGACATAATCTCAGCGTTCCCGGTGGAAGCTGCAGTGCACACTCTCAGACTGCAGATTTTGACCAACGTAAAGAGGAAACAGTTTGACTGTAAGCTGATCGATCTGGCCTGTGATGACGTATTTGTGATGCAATGAGCTGTAGCTGAGACTTGTGCACTAAATATCACCGTGGTGACTGATAACATGGTGTCATAAAGTGAGTCACTGCTAATAAAAAAGTGTGGGGTAATGACTAACACTATAAACATCAGCTTTCGTCAGTGGGGGAGAGAAGACTTTAGATGGTTCATTTAAGTTAAAAAACCCAATACAGTATGTAGAAGTACATCTAATGAATATATTAAAATATAAGTACTGGTTTGATCCCTCTGCCTGATATAATATTATAAATGACATCATTAGATTATTAATGTTAACGCGTCAGTAGCTTGTTACTGCTGTAGGTGGAGCTAGTTTTTTGGATAGTTTTATATTCAGGCATCTGATAAATTTGAGGGGTTTTCACATGATCAATGGGGGAGAAAAGAAGAAAAATAATAAAGTTCTAATCCAGAAATGTTTAGTTTTCTATTTCTTCTAGTCTTTGTGAGATATTAGATCATATGAATAACTATTTTGGAATGTGGAGGGGGAAAAAAATGCTTTTTATATTTCTAAAATGTGACCCCAACTATACACACACTGTTTTTTGTAAGACACCAGGAGCCTAAAAGGTTGGAAAACTCTGGTTTATTCTTTAACAATGTGCTGTATTGTAAAAGCTTGTCATTATAAAATCTTCATACTACTAGTAAATAAAGCTGTAGTGAAATAGAAGGTACAGTGTTTCCCTTTGACATGTCAAAAAGTAGCATAGAATGGAAATGCCTGAGTAAATGCACTTTCCACCACTAGCTTTCTGTGAAACTTGAAGCTTGTGGAGTCAGAATCTGATGACAGACCTGTTAAATATTTCAGAACAGATGAAGGTAAGAAGAGTTTAAATCACATCATGACACAGAACATAATCCATAAACACGACCTGTAAATAAATACTTGAGGAACACTATGAATGTTTTGTTTTAAAAATAGTTCCTTCGCCAGGCACAAGCGTGTGTGTGTGTGTGTGTGTGTGTGTGTGTGTGGGAGGACAAAACATTTTAAAGAGCTTTAAACCAGATGAGTGAACAGCACAAAAATCTGTCACACGGTATCTCACTCATTGCTCAATGCAAGCCTGGACATCTCTCATGCATTGAGCTGTCTTGTCCTATAGACAAGGCAGTCATGACAAGAGAAATAGAGTGATTTGGTGAATATTGAGCGTCCAGCGAGTTTGATGTAGTGTGGGAGGGAGGGCAGTATTGAGCAGGGTAATTTCTCTCCATCATAGCGACGCTGTGACTGACTCCCATCTGTCTATTACTTCAAGTGGAACACTGTGGGCGGTGTTCCAATCACATACATAAAGCTGGGGGAGTGTGGGGCGTTTTATCAGCTAAATATGCATCCCAGCTAATAAACATTTAAGAAAGAATTAAACATGACAAATTACAAGCTTCCACCATAGCTGCAGAAAATGTTCTCGAGCGAAACCAGCGTGCACAAACGGTATAAATTGTGCCACAAAGCAAAAATGACTTGAGAAAAGCTCCAGATACTTATCATTCCTCTAACGACATCTTTACTTTTTAAGTGCTGTGGCTACATTTAGCTCATTCTCTGATGCGGCACCACTGTGAGGATGAGACACAGCGGCTGCCTGATACAGTGAGAGCTGCTATCCGTTTCAATGCTCCCAAAGCCAGTGGACAATAAGAGGCAGCACAGGAGGTAATAAGAAGCATGTCCCACCATCTCATCCATCATCTGCTTTCGCACAAACACACACATTTCTTTACACTTTTCAGGATCTCACATTTCACACCACTACATGCTCTCTGTGCGAATAATCCGTTCTTGCACACATGGACACACACGTGCATCTGCAAGACACAGTTTGGGAGACTTATTTGTTCTGTCTTAATGTGCTTCTGCTGACTATTTTAATGTGTTCTATTATTAACTGCGGGGGAGGCCACAGGGAAATTTAGTGGCAAATTCCTGCATGCATAAGAGTGCTGAGGAATGTGGCTTTACGAGGAATCACTTCCGAGGGATGACACCGTCGTAAAGACGCCATTATTCACATGCAACTAACGCGCAACATAACTAATATCACAAATAAACTCAGCTACTTTTCGCGCCTATTGCAAATAAATAGGACTTTCCTGCATTGTTATTCCCCCATGAAAGCAGTATTGAAAGCTGTTATCTCTTCTTGCTGGAAATCAAATTACCAAAACTCACTGCTGAGGCAGACTGTTGCTAGAATTAACACATCATTATAACCTTGATTCCATCATCTCACTGAGATTAAGATCTCTTCCACTAAATAAACCTGAGAGCGGCAGACGGAATATAAATAAAACAAGGGAGAAGACGTGCAGCAAAACACGGTCAGTCACACACGGATCAATAGCGTCAGAAACAATTACAGACACGGTTAAATGCTTTAATTAATCCTATGGCGTGAGACTTTCAAGTTAAAAGTCCTAATTTATTCCGTTTACGTGGTGCCAAGTACTGGGAGGCAGTTCCAGTTCGGTATGTACTTATGTGGTATCAGGGGCTGGCCAGGACTGTTTGGTATCTGCTCAGATGCGGCACAGTTTTTAATTTGAGAAGAGATTGAGGCAGATTTAGGAGAAGACATTTATCAACAAGAGCAGTAGTGTGTCGTGTGCCAGTGAGGTGGAACGAGCAGCACGAGGGTACAGAATATCCTCGTAGTCAAGTAGACATGATGCTCAGTTGTCGCACGGTTTTCTTGTCTTAAAGGGAAAAAATATTCTAATAAAAGAACCCCATTTTTTTAAGTTTTAGATTGTGAGACAGCTGCCCCACATGAGTTATGGTTAGTTAAATAGGACTGGCATTGTTAAAAAAAAGACTGAATCATTTGATGTATTCTGTTCTGCAGATCTAGAAACATTTAAGCAATGTTAACATGACCTCATTTTGTTTTATTCCTCTATGCCGGAATACTTATATGGTGTTTATAGATTGTAAATAATAATAAACTGAGCACAGAACCCTGTGGTAACCACTTTGATGCAAGATCATCACCTATGTTCTCACAAACCAAAGGCAAGTTTCTAAAAGTTTGGACTCAAAGGTTCCTTTCAGTGTTGTTGACAATCACAGCTTTTGTGTTGGTTAGGCCTTGACACTGGTTTCCCATTAGACACTCAATCCTTTTTAAGAGTCACCTCTTTTGTTTTTCCTTGTTTGAGACACCTCTCCGACTGGCCACTAGTATCATTCCCACTTCATTAATTAGGCACACAAAACTAATTTGTCTGCTTTATTTATAGTAAAAATACTTTAGATACATACAAGCTGTACATAAACCGTCTCAAGAAAACTCAACAGAAAAGTAAAATGAATAGATACAAGGCAAAAAACATGAGGAAAAATCATGAAATGTTTGCACTGCGCTCAAAGTGTGCATGTGCGAGGCATTTGTTTCCACACTGTTGACAGTTTGAAGCTTCCGGCCGACGTTTCAGAGGAAACACACGTTTGAAAGAGTTTGCTGAATTTTGCCACAATTGTATAATTGTATTATTTGAAGGAATTAGCTAGATTACTTCAATTCCAAAGGATGAATTGTACTTTGTCGCCACAGCATCCCTTTAATGAACCAAATTCACTTGGATAAACGCTACGTTTTGTGACATAAATTAATACTAAATTTCCATTATACGATGGCATCTGTGCTGTTGTGAACAGCCCTGAGCCCTACAAAATGTTGAGAAGCATCCACTGAACTCAAATCCTTGTGTGGCCCTAGTAAAGGTTTGTAATGCTAGAGAGCTGTAGAGGCCTCTTTCTGTCTGTCGTGCTGACAGCGAGCAGGTGTGTCAGCGGTTTTGCTGCGGTGTCCACACTAGTTAGAGCACCCAGCTGATTTAATTTCTCTATTTACATAACGAAATCAAGAGGCGGCATTCACAAATGGCACTGCTGTGAGTGGTGTTTTGGTCATCAATTTAAGTTGAAAGTCTAACCTGAAGGTGGGTTTTGTTGCTTGATGAACCATTGGCAACATGTTTGTGCATTAAATTAGCTGCCAGATTCAATACTTCGGTACTTTTTGGTGATTACTCCAGGCAGTCTGACAGAGTGCAAGCTTGAGAGAGTGTCAGACACACGGCCCCGTAATGTAAGCCGTTTCTCCTACAAAAGACTAATCTGTGACCAAACAGAGGCTTACAAAGTGAGTGAATCAATATCAAATGAAGAGGCTCATTTAAAGAGCCATTAATGTGATAAAATAGAAAACTTTTCTTTCACTGCATCTACACACTGGCCGTTTCACTCTTCATCAAGCCCACTTCTGTTTTTATAAAACTATATCATATACAATCATTTTTGCCAAACAGCAAGTCAATTTGTGTGCATTTGTTTTCCCCCCTTGATCTCTGCGAGCTTGTTCTTCCTTTGTCTTGTCACTCTAAGTGTGCAGACACCTACTGTTTCAACCTGGCAGTGCTCCAAGTTATCTCGCACATTATCCGCTGATATTATCCTCTTTTCGTGGCTGCTGTTCTGTAGCTCAAATGTCTATGAGGCAGAAGTCTTGACGTGTTGACTGGTTCCTCAACCCTAGACGCCGATGGTTCCTCACTCATTCAGGGACAAGATGATGTCATCCTCAAGGTCGGAGTTGTCGGAGCTGTCTGTTTGCGCGATAGACAAATACAGATTTAGAAATGTGGGAATACAGAGAGTTTATGCTGAACAGGTCAGTGGATAAGGACTAAAACTGCTAAAATGGCAAAAACTAAGCAGCTGTGGCACAGTCGAAGGAGCTCCATATCCACTCTTTTTTTTTTTTCTCACAAATTTCTTCTGTCAACATCTGAAATACACTAAGACAGCAGTTTTAAAATTCCACTGGGAAAGAAGGCATGAAAACAGAAACTGGACCAAACGTGAATGTTGCTGCATTATTTACTTGAGATCAAGACCCCGTTCTTCAAATGTAGCTCAACTACACCAGCTAACCTGCTGTTATACGGCTAAACTGTTAAAATAATTCCTCTCTAGCTAAGTGAGCTGTTTCAAAGTTTTCTTCAATGGCAATTGTCAGCCCCTGTTTTAAACTAAAAGTAATAGTTGAAACAATAATCTGGAGCGTGTGAATCATCTGGTTGCACTTGCATGAAGCTGCTGTGTTGCTACCCACCATGCATTTGGAGAGCATATTCATGGACCCAAGTTGCATTTTATGTGAGTTTTTGCATTTTTATTTTTATATTGGGATATTTATATGATAAATGCAAGTTTATGACCAGTTTGCTGGTTATAAGCAAGCTAACTGCTAATAAGCCTGCACTGATGCATATTTGGGCTGAACATCTTTTCGCTAAATTTTAAGCCAACAGCTGAAGATATTAAACAACCAGACTTCATGTTCAACTAAACGAGACAAAAACAATTAAAAATGAAGAAAATGAACAGTAGATGATAACTGAATAATAAAATTCAGCAATATTTGTAAGAACCAAATTGAACGCCATGCAATCAAAGTGCTCCTTACCGTTGTCACCATCCAGATCAACGTCGTCATTATCCGAGTCGTCCTCGTCATTGTCGTCATCATCCTCCTCATCATCGTCGTCGTCGTCCCCAACGTCGACGTCTTCTTCGAGAAGTCGTGCTACCTCATCGTCAGAGGGGGAGAATTCGTCGTTCCCGTCGTCCTCCTCTTCATCATCTTCATCCTCTCCACCGTTCTCGTTCTCCAGCTCTGCGATGAGGGGATCTGTATCGACGTCGTCATCGGAGTCCTCATCATCATCATCGTCTTCTTCCTGATCGTCATCCTCCTTCAGTACAATAACACACAAAGTCAGTGATGAGGATTTTTTAGAGTTGCCTAGAGAAACCAAAGAGTTGTTTCTTTATTCAAATCAAAAGTTAGAACCTGATCCTCCTCATCTTCCTCCTCTTCCTCTGCAAGTCTCTGCCGCCCAACTTCATACAGCCGGCACACCGTGTCAGTGTTGACGGAGTCTTGGTTCTATGGCACAGATAAGGCACTCTCATGTCATTTAAGGTCAATTTTCCAAGCTTTAGAAAACTCACAAACATGAAAAGCAAAAATGTACCTCAATCACAGCTAGGTAGCAGTCTTTTGTATCTGTGCAAAGGTCAAATATATTTCTTTTGACATCAATAGTGGCTGAAAAGTGAGGAAAGAACAGCAGACAATTAGCAAATCTGATGTAAAAAAATAGCAAGGAAACAATATTACACCATTTAGAAATGATTGTCTACTATTAGAGTAGTATAGCACAAACAAAATTGTCTCCCAACAAAGTACGTGCATTACCAAGAAAAACTTTGGGGGGAAAACATCATTTCAAGTGAGCTGAAGACAAAACGCTTTACCTATTGGTTTATAGTCTGTGGCATTGAAGGTCCTGAACGATGAACCAAACGGACTTTTCATTTGCATTTCCATCATGTCGTCTTCGTCATCGGCTTGCAACATTGCTGCAAAAACAAACAGTCACAGAGGGACAGAGAGAGTAAATAAAAACTGAGCACAGCGAGCTGGTTAACTGTGGTTCTGGCTCCAGAGCGGTGGAAACGGTTGTTGTACGGGCCGAGCCATTACGGCACGCCTATGGCTCTTCCTGTGAGGTGGCGTGAACCAGCTGGATCTCTCTGTTGCCAATTCAACATCGAGCCTTCTGCTCACATGGCACTGACTGACTCTGTGGTATAAAGTGTGCGCACGTACACACACACACACACCTACTTCTACAGGCTCTATTCACACCTCTCTCCAAATACACACATGCTCACTTTGCTTCATAATTACCAGCCTCACCATTCAAGCACACCTTTCACACACTTTGCACTGACTGTGAAGTGAGTTGTAGGCTTGATGCCAAATACGCTGCATTCCCCATCATGCAGGGGGCTTCTATATTTACCTCCATAGATGACGGTGCCGTTGTTGTTGAAAACTATTCTGCATTGGTCCAGAGCAGGAACCGTGTGGAGGAGGTGGAAGGTCCGCAGGTCCCACTGACTCCAGCTAAGGACCATGACGATCTTTTTCATTTGCATCAACCAAATCTGCTACAAGTTTAATTGCATGAAATGACGATTAAAACCATCCCCAGGGCAATAAAATCAATTTTTAGTGTAATAAATATTTAATGTTTAGCGGTGCAATGAAGCCCCCAACAGTCATCCCATCACCGGAGCCACTTTGAATTCAGTAAATGATAAAATCGTTTTTTTGCCCAGTGACAAACAGGCGTTTCTTGAGCATCAATAATGCAATCGCTTTCACCTGTCAATTTTAGCAGTTAATATGAAAGACTTTTTCAAGGCATTTTTTTGCAAGTAGTAACACACACAGATCTATTAAAATAATATGAACAACCAGTTTCATTGTTAAAAAAAAATTTAGCAGCCACAAACTGAAAACCTAAATGTTTTCATTTCATAGCACACAAATTTTGGTGAATATTTATACAAATCTACACACAGAAATTTGCTCCAAACTTACAGAACTGTCCTACAAACCATGCCAACCATTAAAGGATACAATTTCTGTGTTTATGATCACTTCAAGGCCATTAGGATGAAACACGCCACTGATGTTCATGTTGAACTTGTCAAACTTGTGGATGGCCTGAGCCGTGCGCACATCCCACAGCACGCCGTCGTTCAGCACCAGGTCATCTGTTGGGTTGAAGGTCGCACAGTTCCTCTTGTAGTTGTTAGCCAGGTCTGGATTGTTCAGAGTCAGAGTTACTTGACCCGTCTGGATGTCATAAATCTGAGAAACGGAAACAATGAGAGTGAGCATTCACCACTTTATTCGTTTTGCTGCATGTATTATGACAGATAGTTAAGTCAAGAAAACGCTGGTGTACGTACACGTGCTATATGTTCCTTAGTCCCTATGACGCGATCTTGTGAAAGCTTACTGAACTCCACGTAATGGTCACCCAGGAAGGAATGCCTGAAGACAACGAGAGCAACATTTCAACATTCAGTTGAAAACATGGGGCCAGTGTTTTACAGCAGAGAGTTTTAAACCATGTAACTGTAGGAAGATGTAGAAAAGCTCTGAATCAATTGGCAGCATCCAAGTATTGCCTTGGTTAAACTGTGCAGTGATTCAAGTCAAGTACTTGTGTTCCATGTACTGAGAACTGCAGCCCGGAGGCTGTTAGTCTGTATAATTAAACAACATGTCATTTCCTTTTGGCATTTCCTTCATCCAACAGAATAAAGCTGCTCTACTATTGGGGCAAGAAGATCGGATGCAGTGGAATCACAGACAGGTAAAGTGAGTGAACTTTGCTGATTGACACTGTATGGTAAGATACTCATACAATAGTGGTCTCTTATTATTTGAGACTCCAAATATTTCAATATTTAGGATTTTTACTTACAGAAATACAAATCATATCAATAATTGAGATTTCTTGTGAAAACGTCGCTTACTTCATGATGAACACTGATTTCATGCCCCACAGTGCAGACAGAGGGTAACTCCAAGAGGCTGACGTTAAGAGAAGAGAACCGTCCTAAAAATGCAAAATATGAAAATAGGAATGTTAAAAATCCCTTTTCAGATGAGTTTAAGACACAGAATTACTCAGCTTGGAATAACAATTTGAGTCTGATGTTTTTTTTTTCTTCTTCCACATCCACTTCTTCTCCAAAAATCCAGAATCTATGAATATGCAAATGTGTTTCATTTCAAAAGATTAACTACTTGATGTACGATGACTTCTGAAAAATCCTTTTTCAGGGTTTGTGTGCTGGAGGCTCAAAGTTTCTTCATAACACTCGTTTAAGATGCACATTGAACCAACCGTACTAATTGTGATGCAACAAAATGATGATATTCAGTAAATGTGTTAAACTCAGATTAAGGGCGAGCACAGACAAACTTTCCTCGTTCGGCAGATGGATGTGAAAACAACCTTCTAGTGTCAAACTCATGCTGCAGAGTGACAGGAAAAAACGTGCAAAAAGAAACAAAAAAAAAAAAAGCAAAACATAATCGCTGTTGATATACTTGCGGCTTTCTCTACTGACCCGTGACGGCTCCAGGTGTGTGATGGCTGAACTGTGACAGCTGTAACTGGCTTCCTCCTGGCCTGTAAACACGTTGTAGAGTTTAAGCTGCCCCGTGCACGTCCCGAGCATCAGGAATCGCTCACGAGCTGAGAAGGCACAACACATGAATCCACTCTCATCCTCGTCCGCCTCCCTGAACACGGAGATAGGACGGAACCTGGACAGAAAGAAAATAAATAATGTAGACTAATGGCTGTGGATGCTGATAAGGAAGGCAACATGAATGTAGTGAAAGCTACCCACCTGCTGAAGATGAGATGTCTGTCAAAGCATCCTCCATCTACACCTCCGTATTTCGGATATATGACCCTCCTTGTGTGTCGGGATGTAAAGTTGATTGGTGCTTGGCGTCTCTGTTTGGGCTCGGGACATTGATGAGGGGTGAAGAGAGAGAAAGGAGGGCAAGTCGCAACAGGGTTTTTACACCGTGCGTGCTGCTCCCTCAGGTACTCCGTGATAATGCTGTCTAATGCAGGGGGGGAGGGCAGGTGCCTGTCAAGCTGCTTTTTCATGGCTGGACTCTGGCTAAAGGCCCCGTGGTCAGATTTCTGCCGCAGCACCCGAGGTTTCTTGCAGCTCACTGTGCTACAACCCGTTTGCCGTTCACGAGAGAAAATGATTCGGCCTATCAGCGGAGAGCCGTTGTTACAGTGAGGAACAGACGTTGACGGGAAACACGTGGAAGAAGACCCAGCGGGTTGCGATGTAGAGGGACGTGTCTGTGTGTGGCTGGATCCTGGGGTGGATGAATGAGAGGGATGGTTTCCGAGTCTTGATCCGACCCCGTTGGCCAGCCGTGGGGTGCGGGGCAGAGTGGCAACAGGAGAGGCAGGTGGCGGAGGCGCGACAGGAGGGAAAGCAGAAGCCGAATGTGAAGAGTGAGACAGACATGCCATCGGGAGATCTGCCTCCTTGGTGAGCGCCGTGGCCGTGTCATGAAGACCTTTGGCCACAAGGTGGTTCCTAATAAGCAGCAGCAACTCTTTCTCAGGGAAGGTGATCCTGGACTGAGCGACCACACTGGCCCTCTGCAGCCACGCCAGAGACACGTCGGTGCCGATCAGCAACGGTTTCCCAGAGATCCTTTCTATCAGCTCAGCTGCAAACTTACAGAACTTGACATGTTCGCTGCGTTTGTCCTGGAGCACAGGCTCCTTCATGAGCTGTTGGATGTGTCCGCTGCTGAACAAAGGCAGTTTGCTGATGATCTGTCTGACAGAGCTGGAGCGAGACAGACCCACCAGAGCTTTACATGCCAGAGCTCGGATCTGATCTGCATCTGTAATAGGCATCTTCACCATCAGCAGGGATAGCAACACCTAGAGGACGGACACAGAATATAAGTTATAAACAGCGGTTGTCAGAACAGCGGGCAACTGTGTGAAAAGTGTTTTTGAGTAGAAATGGTCCCCTGACTGAACTGAACCAGTCGTGTCCAAACAACAGGCTAATTCTGTGAAAGCTAAAATAGATGCTTCAGTCTTTCTTTTACCAAAAGGAACACAAGATCAACTTTTAAAAGGAGCAAAAAAATTAATTTTGTCCCGCAATTCCTTGCTCTTTCCTTTGGAACACGTAACCCTGCTTGTGTTTCTCAACTTCTAGATTATATCTGTCAAATCAAATGTTGGTAATTTGATTCTAATAAAAAGATATGGTTGTTCAAAACTGATTTTAAGAATTAACAAAACAGTTCTTTACAGTTTGATTTTGCTGGTCTCATTTGGAAGATTTAGATTGCCTGTTTAATATTAATACTATTTAGCGATTGGTAAGTTAAAGTAAGTTTAGGCCATGGCAACTTATGTTTCTTGCTCCCTCAGAGTTGGCTTTTCATAATATCTGTAAGGTCACAACTGCAATGGCGCGACACGATACGCCCAACCTTCTGAAGTGCAGTTCAGTGGCTGTGGAGCAACTCTGCCACATTCAGTACATAAATGTGTGTGTTTGTTGGTCAATGTGAGGATTTAAGAGGTGTTTAAAATGAGTGCACTGTTCTCCATGAAAACAGCATTATATAAACCCAGCCTATTTACCACTGCAGCACAAGGCAGCATCTGTCATTATGAACAAATATACCTGAAAATATGCAACCTGATGCACCAGATGGTTTGTTACACAGAGCCATCTGAGAAGTTGTCCTTGGAAACGGTTTCGAAAAAAGCAGGCACTTTAAAAAAAAAAAAAAAAAAAGAACTTCTCATAACCACTGGAATCCAGCTGCCTCGTGTGGTCGCAAAATATGAGAATAATGCACAGCTTTAGAAACCTCTATGTAGCACAATGATCAGAAACACAACGGTCCACTTTTTGTCACGAAGTTAAAAATGTCAAAAACCACCTTAAAACATTTATTTGTTTTAAATCATTCAGACTTTGGTGGATGGCATATGTTAACTCTACCTTGATGCCGTTGTTGGACTGCACCACATTCCACATCTTAGTGAGAACACTCTCGCTGGCTTTGGTCTGCTGTGGCAGGCGACGGCGGGGGGTGCCTGCAATAAACTTGCCAATGCTGGACATGCGCTTGTCTGGAGCACAGACGCAGTTGATGACGACCTGCAGAGCCGACTTCTGAATCTCTGCATCATTCACAAACACCTCTCCTTCTGCCACTGCCAGGACAATACTCATCCCTACGAGAGGAATCCAACAATTCAATGAAAAACCTCGCAGAAAAATAATACTTGGGATTTATGCCATCTCTCAGCAGAACTGGACACAGATTTCATGAAATAAACAAAAAAATAAAATACGGAGCTCCTGTATGTTATCATGTTCTCTGGAAAGTGATAATAGTATTGATTTTATTGGGCTACGTTCTTAAAAAAAACAGTAGAATGCTCAATTAAATGCTAACACAGTGCAAGTAATTCTCTAAAAGCACAGTGACACACAGTAAAACCTGAACAAATGTACCTATTTAGTGACTACTGGCAAAACATAACTAGAATGTGACTTATTTTTAAGACTAATACAATCCAGTTTGTAGCAAAAAGTACAATTTTGATAGATGAACACTAACTGAAATATTGTCACACTGGTAACACCTACCAACAGTGGACACAGTGGATCCTCCCTCATCAAGCACGGCAACAGCCTCAGACAGCAACAGCTGGGTCTTTGGAACAACTGTGAGGATACTCAGGATGTCAAGGGCATAGCGCACAGTATCACTCCTACAGGGAAGGCAAAATAATATCACAATATTACCGAATAGTCAATAGCTATAGCTGAAAACAGGTCAAATGTGTATGTATATGCATGGAAAAGGCAGTTAGCAATTACGAGGATAACTGTTGTCTTGTGTTGTTAATACCTGCCATAGTAGGTCCTCCAGTCACAGGCAATGGAAATGAGCTGCAGGAGGAGCTGGACACATGACAGCTTGTGAAAGACCTCCGCTGGCTCCCAGTACAGTCGGAGTGGACCGTACTCTATCAGAAACTCCATCATTTCCACCACTTGCTCACGGCTATAGCTGACCGCCTGCAGAATGAGACAAGAACATAAAAGATCACGACAGGAACATCCAAAAACCAAACAGAGCAACTAAAGAAATTTGCATTGTACATATTGAAATGTTTATTTATATAAATAAGATGTCCAATAATTGCATCACCTTGTAGTGCGGCTGCGAGTGAATGGGGGCACCCCCCTCTGTGCGCTGCAGCGATTGCTTCACCTGCTCCACCTTGATTGCCAGATGGGCCTCGAAGTACCTGCGCAGGGCCATGCAGGTGTGCTTGGCTGTCTGCCTGCTGGAGAAAATCTCATCATCACTCAGGAGCGCTCCCTGGTCCTCAGGGTTCAGGATCTCCAGCGTGCTAATCTGAAAGCAGTCAGTTCATATTATACATCACTACAGAGCCAGCATCTGCTATTATAATTTCATACTGTGCTGACTGTTCAGTTGACCAGTTTTCCAAAAAAAAAAAAAAAGTATTTCCTTTGAGTGATACAGATGGTTAAGTTTACATGGTTACAGGGAGGATTGCTGGTTTGTCTTACCAGATTGACAAGGCGTCGGAGCCCGTCCTGCCTGTCAAAAAGCTCCAGGACAGCACGGAAAGAAAAGGAGATGGAGAAGAACATGGTAGCGTGGCAGCAGCCGGATGCATGTGAGCATTCCAGCAGCCACAGCGTGTAACCAACCACATCTGACAGGATGGAGTGGGGCAACATGCACACCTTGGGAGGAAAAGACACGGCCATGAATGCAAATGTGAACTGCCACTAGGGTTGGGTAATACTTTTTAAATGAGGTAATTATATGTCTTAATTTTAATAACAAGATGAATGGGTGAAAAAATATACATCATCATATTATTTAGCTTTCAACAACACCTATATACTGTACATAAAGTAGAATATAAATGTCTTAATTCATCACCCAGCTTTACATACTATATGCTGTTGATACATTTCTCTAGCAAGAAGCAAAATTATGGCAATTCTATATGTGTGTTTTGGTGCTCATTGTGTACCCTTTCCATGGCATCCTGGTTATAGGCAAGGTAGTAGAGACACAGTGACACTCCAGTCGCAGCCATTGAAGGCCTGGGGATTTCCAGCAACTTCTGAACTCCTCCATGAGCAACAAACTCTGCAGCAAACTTCTTGTGTAATAAAAGTGAAGCCAGATACTGCAAAGGGAGAAAAAGAAAAAAAAAAGTCTGAGGAGCTTGTTGTTGTGTTTCAGCATCATGAAAGGTCTACACATGTGAGAGTGTTTACCTTGAGAGCCTCGAAGGTGAGCTGCACATCATTGGTCTGCTTCAGATCCATATAATGCATGAGTAGCTCACGAGCTCCCATCTGCATGAACACTGCCAGCAGCTGTAGACAGGAGGAGGACACCGAGAACACATAAATCACATGGGTTTTATTTACTATGAAAATATCTAAATAGCTAGTTGCTTGAATTTACAGTTCAACAACAAAAACAAAGCCTGCTAATCTTTAGCATTTTATGTGTAAATGAAAAATGCATGAGGTCACACCCAAAATCTACTTTTTATAGTCAGGAAATAATTTCTTTAATCACAATTATGGAAGACTGACATCTGCTGGCACATTTGTGGCAAGACAAGGGACACACATTTACTGCCTGAAGCAATAAAACAGCTACACATGCTGCTCAGCCACATGCTGTATAAAGCCATCTAACTAGGGCTGCAACAAAAGGCTATTTTTATTACAGTTATCATTGGTTTGAAAATGGCCAAGTATAATTTCCAACAGCCCAAGAAGACCATCAGTTCAAGAGTCAGTTAAACATAATAAAAGTTTTATAAAAAGCATCAAATCTTCTCATTTGAGAAAATGAAACAATCCTTTAGCTCAAACAAACTGAACATCAAAATAGCTGCCCATTCATTTTCTATAATTGTCCAATTGTTGCACCTCTGCATACTGTATAGGCTGATGAAACTGGACCAACCTCCTGATACTCCCCCAGAGGTGTGAGATACTGCAGGATGAGCCTCTGCTCGATCTCTGGGGTCAAAGGGTACAGATGATAATTGTTGCCAATCACCCAGGGGCTCATCTCAGACCAGCTGCTGTTGGAAAGCTCACTGAAGTTTCTCTCTGGCTCTGGCAAAGAGAAATTCAGCTTCTGTTTTGAGGTCCTGCCACTCTCTCTCTCTGCTTTCCTTTTAAGGTAACTGCTGCCATCAGACATGCCTGGGTGCATCAGCAAACCTGGGGCAGACATGGGCTTCATCTTGGTTTTAACAGCTGAGTTAGCACGGCTGCTGGTCTTGTGAGGGGAGCTGAAACGGAACGAAACCTCGTTTTCAGGCTCAATGGTTGAGAAGGGAATTTCGCCATCTTCCGGTGGCCCCATCCCCTCCTTTTCAGCCCCATTTCTACCCGGTGTGAAGGGTTTCTCTTCAAAGCCTCCATCAACAGTCTCCTCATCCAAAGGTAACAAAGGCTCACTCAGAGTCTTCCTGGGGCTGGGCCGTTTGATTTCCCTTTTGTTCTCAGCATCCTTATCCTGAAGCTCACGCAACCGATGCAGCATCAAAGGCACCTGTCAAAGTAAAGCATGAAAAACAGGTTGATAGACAGTTGCTACTTCACACCACCTACTTTAAGATCAAATTGTAGGATAAAATTATCATCAATTGTTGTAACACGCTGTCTATCATTATATGCTTTCAGATTATAATTGATGTGTGAGACAGCAGAAACCCCGACTGACCAAAACAGAGTTCTCCTCTCTGTAGTTGGCAGCAATGTCCTGGTTCTCCATGGCACCTGCCAACAGGCCTGTGGCATAGATTCTGAGGGGCTGCTCAGCCTCCTGAGCCCACTTAAAAAGCCTTTCAACTATACCCTCCTGAAAAGAGGAAAAACACAGAGGAGTGAAGAATATGAACAGATTCTTTTAAAAAACTTGAAAATGTGGAATACATTTGATATAGTGCAGTTAAAAAGGAATGAATTATGGCTTGTAATGCATTTTTACCAAAAAATAAAAAAAGTTCATTTTTATTTTTTGAGTATGGCTCCCATTTTTAAGTAAATCTTTAAATTAAAAAACAAAATGTACTGCCTTTAAAAATACTGGCTGACTATCTATCTGTGTCACAAGAAAAATGTTTACAGAGTAGCTAAAGTGTAACTAACTTGCAGGCTGGACTGTGACCCCACAAACAAAAACTGGTTCTGTCCCAGTTATCTAAACTGAATGTGTTGCTTGTCAGTGTTAATGGCGAAGTGATAACAAATCTTACTGTGACTGTATTATGTCTGGCAACAAACTATCAAGACCACTTTGTCCCTTTTTTCTTGAACCAGGGTTTCATAGAGAAGTTTTCGGTACACCCCTCCCAATAAATGTCTTAGCCAGCTCCTACCAGTATGTCACACAGTGCTATACCAGTGCTAGAGAATGGTCTGGCTATGCAAGACAGGGCAGCACCAAAAGAAAATCACCAGCATCAGAATTAATAGAAAACAAAATATATATAGTTTTGTCGATTGGCGTTTATTTACTCAACCATAACAGGTATTTTTGTATATCATACGTATAGATTTCTGTCAAATAAGGTAACATAGACTAACCATTCTTACTCTAGGGCAGAGTCACCCCAAAAAGGCCTATTATGAGCCAGGAAAAACCCTGTGGACCATCTCCAATTTCAACTGCTTTAATACCAAGGACAGCAGAGATTTTTTTATCAAGCAAAGCTAGGACCTCGTCTCTTTTTTTATGCAGCTTTTTCTCGTGTATGAAGGCTAGCTATGTCATTTAAGTCAGTCTAAACAGAAATCCAGCAGTGAGTGTGTAGACATGCATTACTTTGTAAACATGTAAATACTGACTACAGCATGTTGGATACAGTTGAAATACAGGACAGACCCTTTTCCAACAGGAAACACAGGAACTACACTGTAATCTCATAACGAAGTAAGGAATAATTTACCTTTTCTTGAAAGACCACGGCTGTCTCCAACCCAGGCATGATGTTCTGAAGCAGGCGACAAGCTGCTGCATTCAGGGAAAATTCTCTGCTGGTCATCACATAGCTGTTCACCAACTACAATAGGGAGGAAACACATTTTAACCATCTTCTAACATTACTGCCAAAAAAACTGCTTTCTAAAAAAAAAAAAAAAAAAGGAAACACTCTCAAATATGTCCATCCATTCTTACCGTGTTCATGAAGTCATCATTCTTGAACAGGATCTTGAGGAGGTGCCCCAACACACACTCTGGATCAGCTCTCCCTAGTGGCCAAGAGAGAAATGTCAAAAACATACACAATATGACAATCAGAAGTTAACTTGCAATTATGTGATTTGAGTTTTCATCTTTCATGCATACCAGGATGGCGATCATCAAAAGGATCGGGGTCAGCCTTGTGGTACTCCTCTGTCTCTTTCTCAACAAGCTCTGAGATTCTAAAAGATACAGCACATCAGCACATTTACCTCTTGAAGTCGCCCTCAGCTCGTCTGGACCACATCAACTTTCTATGGGCTACTTACTTGGTGAGGAGGGTAACCAGCTCCTGTGTGCTGCCTTGCTGCTCCTTCTCCCACTGTTCCAGTAGAGCAGTCAGCTCTGCCTTCGAGTCCACACTGGCAGATGCCGACGCCATAGCGCAGCCTGTCACAATGACATGCACATAATATATATTTAATTCACTATTCATGCATACTGCTTTACAAGTCAGTCCACACTTATCTGCTATTTGAGAGGGCTACAACAACGCCTGCAGGTGCCGTGACTCCCTCTCGTAAACAGTAACAAAAAACAACACCGAGATATTATCACAGAGCTGCATGAATGTCGGGTGAAACTGTCATAAGTTGTGTTTCGATGAGGTCGGAAGAATAAAGAGCCAACAAGCGGTTTGGCTTCACCGCTTCACAGACGACTGAGCGTGCAGGTGCAGCTGTCCTCCAGGGACTGCAACTGTCAAAGTTGTGCCGGTTAAAATATTATTTTAGCATGCTTTTCTGATTTGCTTAAGGCAAACAATCTCAGCTCAAACATGTTGTGTGTTTTCATACATTTACTTAATGTTACACCTTGTCCTTAACTGCACCAGGTAGTAGCAAACTCACACACTGCCTGTTGCGATGTTTGGCTAGTCAGACTGTGGCTAAACCGGAGCTAAACAAGGAAGCTAATCGGCATAGCTTGCTAGCAACACTCTTAAAGTCGTCGGTTTTGAATTCCAATGATATAGTTTACATTATGCACGAGCTGTCCAGACATGCACAGCTTATTGGGTCACATTCAAAGCGTACTCGAACTACGCGAACCTGTCTGCACATGTAACATACCACCAAGGTACTAGCACGAAGCATCACAGGTAAACCTGGCTAGTTAGCTAGCATGCTAACTTTACCTCGTTGCTCCTCTCAGTTCTTGCTCGGTTTTGTCAAATTTACAAAGGATTGTATCCACCGATATCAGTCCAGACTTGATAACCGTTGCGTGGGTATCAACGCATCGATTACAGTTTCACAGCCAAAGCTTCATTTGCTTTATTGTAGCTTTGTGTTCACGGTTTATTATCATTATGGCGAACACGTTCTTCACGTCATTTCGCCAGCGACCGTCGACTATTAATGACGACACAACTCAACAGCAAAACATTGCGAAATAACATTTAATCAAATGGACGAATTATTGTAAAGCACGTAATACAAATATTTGTCTTACAAAATCATACACATTAGAAAAATAGATCGACATTGGAGTAAAAATCAATTTGTGTTGCCACAAAAGCAAACGGATTAGGTGCAAATACATATTGCAAACATTTAAATGGCACTGCTGCAAAAATATAATATTCAGTATCAAATAGTTGGTTTTAATAATGACAGAAAAATATATTATACTGCCAAATGAGAGCAAAAACACTGTTGATTCAGTAAACATAATATGATTATGATGTATATTGTGTTCGTAAGCATAGTTGCATTTTGGAGTATGCATTCAAATAGCATGTAGAAATTGTCTGACATTGTCTTTAATCAAATAACAGACTTTCTGTTTAGCCTTGAAGAGCACTTATTCAAGTGATTTCATCAGTTCTCCTAACTTGAGAGGTTTCCATTAGTCGAAAGCCTCTATTTAACACTTATGAACATAAAACTTTAACAAAGTCATATTTGTCCACATGTCAGGTAGCATCTCATCAATCAGAAGAACTGATTTGTTAGTATGTAAATCCAACTTATTGTTATGTTCACTGGCTTGGAAAGGAAATAACTCAACCATTTTGATTACAATATCGAACAGCAACAGGTTGCCGGATAGTTGTCAGCATGAACTTTGAACTCATTCCCATAAACAAAATAAAGGTGGGAGTTCCCTTTCCATGAGTAGGTGACCTTGGTGACTGGGATCAGCTCTATTGTTTGACGCTGCAGACAAAACAAAACACATGTTACATAAGAAACAAAATTAGGCTCGGATGAATCAAGTATTGTTCAGTTCAAACTAACCATTGTTTATGAATTTATTCAAGTAATATAAATACCTGTTGTAGAATGCGTGAGGTCTGGGAGAACTTGGCCTGGTGTTCTTGGACAAGGCGCTGAGCAGCATTAACCACTAAATGATCTGGGAAGCCCATCACTGGGTATACCTGCGAAAGGTAAACACAAAAAATGCTGAGTGTTGAAATATAATCAGTGTTTATATTGCTTTCATTTAAAAGCTGATGTCTCATCCAGGATAACAAAAATTGTAGTGTGTAATTTGTTGTGAGAGTTGCAAAGACATACAGTTATAATCTCTGACAGGAAAGTGCACTGTTTATAGTGAAAGTAGTACATCAGCAACTTCAGGAAGTGTTCAGCTACAGTGCTTCTTTGAGGTCAGCAATGTTTTCACAGCTCAATGCACGAAGAGTGCATGTGCACGCGAAGTATGATTTGTGTGGAACACTTTATTTTTTCAGATCATGGTTTCAAACAGATTCTGTGTAAACAGCATGGAAGCTCAATTCATTCAGTAAGTCAGGCAACAAATTTCTCACCAATTTCTAAGCAACATGTTCTTAAACATGATTTCTCCACCACCTTTATTTTGAAGAAGCAGTCTTTTACCATGTATTGAGAGTCTCTGAAAAGCTCCTTGCCAGACACCTTGCTCAGGTTGTCCACCTGAAGTCCACTCGACTGCTCCACAACGTAGTCATCAGAGTGGTTAGTCCTGCAAACATACAAATAAAAAGAGAAAATCCAGTTCAGATTCACAACCTTTGAGCAGAAACTAGCAATGAAATGTAATCATAAATGTTGACAACTTTCAGATCATTACACAAGATTATTCATTTGATGATTTAGTTAGAAAACTCTTGACAGATGAACAATTTTCAAGGAAACCGCACCATTTCACAGTGAGGTTGATGTAAACCAGAAGCTGCTGTTTTCCACGGCAGACATCACATTGCTTTGATCCTTGCCCATGACACTGGTTGCAACTGTAACAGAATAATTTATTATAAATATCAGCGTGTTTTAGAAAAAGCACAAACTGTACTGTTCATAGATTGCTTTATCTGACACTTTCACTTTAGAAATCGAATCTCTTACTTTTCCCGTCCTCTGCCACTGCAGTGGCCACAGCGATCATCTCCATGACGGTAACCAGATCCATTGCACACCCAACAAACTTTCTGTCAGGGGCAAGAAAAGAAACTATGTGATCAGATTCTCTTTCTAAAAGTCTTTGAATGACTTTCTCTGTGGAAAATACCTACATTACCAGCACCGGCACAGTCTTTGCAAGGTTGTCTCCCCATTCCCACACAGTTGTGGCAGCTCTGTGCATGAAATATTTCTCATCAGAAAAAAAAATCTTTTAAAGCATTTATCTAAGACTTTTCTTGGATATTTTTCAAACATGTTATATGTAATTTACCTTCACAGATGATGTATATGGAACCTTGATAGTCTGTTTCCCATTCAGAAAAAAATTGGGGGCTTGAGCAGGAATATCCCATGGCCCTGGAGGTGGTTGGGTATAGGCATCCACTGGCTGGCCTAATGCAAATAAAAGAACATACTAGAATCACAGGGGGTTAACCTGAAATAGCTCACTGAAAGCAGAAGTAAGATTAGAAACAGTCAAGCAGTCAATCAACAGAACATGACCCTGTAAACTCCAGGTTGATTCTGGACCTTTTTAGCCCCCGTCACTTACTTGGCTCATTTTTCATTGCAATATAAAGTCCTACATATCTATGGAAACAGCACAACCATGGCTAAAAGCAAAACAACAACAACAACAACAAAAACTCAAAAATGTATTTTGTGCACTGTAACAAATTTTGTCATAAATTATTTTTTAACAATAAATTGAAGTTGAATTTCTTTTATTTACTTTTTTTGTAAAAATGTAAAAAAATAAAATTAAAAAAAATACCTAGATGAACGTGTACAACATTTTCCCAGTAGACTGACAAGTGTTATCAATACTGAAAAAAAACCCAAGGGTGACTCTACATACTATAGACATAGATCTACAGACTATAGATTTACTGCTGACATATTTAAGTTGTTTCCATATGTGTCTCCTATTTGCCAGATCAGTGAAGCCAGTAAATGTTTAGCATGTTACTGCTGGTCATAGTTGAGTCACTCATTTATCTCAGTAATGTTGAGGAGAGCAGAATTTGGAGGGGTTTACGGGGAATTCTTACTGGAAACCCCTTTTCCTACACAAAAATTTAAAGGAGACCAGTAGAATAAAGTAATGATGACTATATCACAATTTTAAGCTTATGTTTGGCAAATTTGGGGTTCACAGAGTTAATAACAAATATGCTAATAAGCAAAATGTTTGACTTTGTGTTTCAGACTGTTGGTGGGACAAAAAATGCTTTTTAAAGTTTTAGTTACAGATCCCAAGCATAAGATTCAAAACATGACATTAATGTACCGTTGTATGGCTCCTGACTCCAGTTTGTAGATCTTGTTTCAGTAAAAGTTTCCAGGCGGTACTAAGATAAAGCAGAGGTGAAAAAAAGTAAACAAGAGTAATGCGCCTGCTGTGTACAGTTAGCATAAATTATCTACATAGCTATTCATGCACTGAACAACAAAAATGGCTCTTCTGTTGATTGTCACTCAATTCTAGCAGGTTTTTCAAACACACACACACACACACACACACACACATAGGCTACTTTCTCTCACCCTGTACGTATTGAATGCTGCCATATCAGTGATCACTCCATCCTTCGCTGGTGAAGAATTGTAGCAGCATTTGCTGGATGCAAACAAGATAAAGGCCTCCCGGGCAGTGTCTTCGGATATAGATGGAATACTGCCAGCAGTGACCAAGTTTTGTTAAATTACAGACAACTTGTTAAATCACGAAGTAGTCATTTACATGTTAATTGTAAAAAAAGACAACGCTTGACTGCAACATCAAACCAATTAGTACAAGTACAGAAATAAGCACTCCTCCAAAGAAAAATATTCTAAAAATATAATTCATTAGTTACATTTTCAGAAGCATTTTGAAATTCCAGAACTCTGTTCTACTTGGATCAGACTAGACTTTACCCTTAGATAAACTTTATTGATCTACAAGGGAAAGTGTTTTATCACAGTCGCACAAAATAAATAATTATATAAGAACATACAAAAAATGAAATATGAATAAAAATAAGGAAAAAAGCAGGCAGGAAAAAATGCAAAACAAAGATTTCCATTTGTACAATTCACAATTTTACTTTTTTTTTTTTTTTTTTTAAATCTACCAAGGTTTTCGATTTTGTGGTATAACCTACATCATATCTGTTCAATCTGTTATAAAGTTACAAAACAGAAATTTCTTCTCCTTTTTGTGACCAAGTCTTTCATGTTATGAAATAATACGTGACATGTCATAATAGTGTAATCTATTTAAGGGAAATTGTTACAGCACAGAGGAACTGTTGCTTCATAGATCACACTGTGGAGAAAAAAAAACTCAATATCGTTACACATCATGTTAAATGAAAAGAAATCTCCTTACTTCCAGTGCGGCTGTTCGGGTCCCGGCTGAGGCTGGGGGGCCGGGACAGAAGGCATTGGAGGTGGCAGAAATCCACCTACAACAGATATTACAATATTTTTTGTCTTCCTAGTCATTTCTTTTTATTAAACAAACGATTACAAAATTCTGTTTTAACTGAAATGAACTGAACTTCAACTTAACACATTCATTTAAAAACATTATAGGAGTTTTCAGTGGTGTTGAACAGATTGGGGTTGCCAGCTGCCGAGGAGTACGTGCAGCATACCGTACCTCCTCCTGCTACTGTTCCTTCATAGCCAGGCATGCTGTCAAACATGCTGGCCGGAGGAGCGCTGGGGCCCTGGGAGTCAGCCACGGGTGGGGCGAACATTGCTGAAACAAACCAGAAGAACCAGTTCAGTCTTATACCGATATAGCCTTTCAAAAATCCTATAAATCTTCACTCATTCATAAAGTTTTTCACGCATTTCACGAAATCACAACTCTTTGGACACCCTACTGTGCATCACTCAGTCTAATCATAAAACTCAGCTGATTTTTTTGGAACACTCCCAAGTGGATAGCACATGTTTCTACCTGACAACCTCCTAAAACTGCGCAGTGAGCCACTTACCTTGCGCCTCCGCGTTGGGATACATCCTAAAAGGTGTTTTTTTACAGTCACACGCTAAAGACTTCTGGCAGTGGATGATCGCTCAGTAAGCACAACGGTGAAACTCACAGCAAACACACACTCCTACTCTACTACAAACACTGCTGAGGTGCCAGAGACCTAAAACAACCTGTACGTCCGAAATTACGTCACTGCCGCGCCCGGAAACAGTTTTAACGCAACTTTTTTTTTTTTTACCAAAAAAAAAAATCTTAGCATTCAGTGCAAAAGTTAAATTACACACCCACACAAAACAAACAAACAAACAATAAATAATAATAATAACAATAATAATAAAGTGAATCTTACCTGGTGCACCGCTTGCTGCTGGAACATAACCGGGGTTGGAAATCCCGTAATTAGTCGGATGGTTGCTGTAAATAACGGGAAACGAAAGTTAGGCCACAGAAGTACAGAGCAAAGCGAGCTACGTGATTTTTGTTGTAAAATATAGAAGAGAAACTTACCTATTGATGATCTGGCGCTCCATTTCAACACGTTTATCCGCAGCTAAATGAGGAAACACAAACCGTCCAAATCGTTTTACGTGTCCTCAGATCACGAACAGGCAGTATAAAATCATCATGTGACATAAAAACTGATCATTTACCTTTGATTACGCCACACCTCTGCTTGCAGCGGATTTAAAACCAGCTACTCACAGCTTCTGACAGTTAAACAACACCGAAACCACCTCTTTTTTTGTATTCTAGATGTGGGTGCTGTTGTTGCGTTGAAGTATTTAATAATCAATGCACTGGCATAGTGTAGAGAAGTTCAGAGAGCCCACCCAAAAGAAATATAAGCAGGAAGTGCGCACTAACCGCTGTGTATGCAGATGTGAACAGTGGGCGTACAGATGTGTGTGTATGCAGTTAAACAATATATATATATAAGGAATAAAAAAAAAACACTCGAAACAAATAATCTAAATCTTTAGTTTAATAAGTTTTCAGAAACAAGTGTCAAATTCCAATGGACCGCTTGCACCTTAAAGTAGCGTTTTGTAGTTCGAATAAACTGCAGTACCCATAATGCACTGTAACCCTTCCGGAAGTCCTTTTCTTTCCCTCCGCCGTCGTTGAAGTCCCTTTTGGATTTACATCGGCGGGTGAGTTGACAGAATCTATGTTAATCCGCGCAATTTAAGGCAATATTTGACCATCCTGACACAGTTTATCAGTCATAGACATTTACTCTACATGTACTAACTAAAATTGACCGTTTTGTTTTTTTATACAGTCACAAAAATTCGCTGTAGAGAAAAATGCTGCTACTGTAGCGGCTGACCGGCTGCCCGTGAAATGGGGTTGTAGTACTCAGTAAAGGCCTGCTGTACAGCGTGGTTTACAGTTAGCATTGTGAAATAGCTACAATAAGCAAGCACAGCATTTAAAAATTAGAATTTATATTTATACTTCAGGCAAACTGCTACAGCGGAGTGCATGTAGCAGAGTAGCATGTGTAGCAAGCTAGCGAAACATTGACTGCACCGTAGGAGCTAGCAAGCTAACGCTGGTCAACACGCTTACCTTGAGTCTCACTTCGCAGCAGACTTGATGTGTCTTTGGTGTATTGCTGTTAATTACACGCTCTGTGACTGCTTTTATCGGCGAGGCAGGGTGCTGTCTTTAAATGTAGCAGCGAGTTACTCGGAGTTGACTAGATGCTATGCTAAAGTTGTGTTTTCATACGGTGGTACACTGGGCAATTCAAGCTAATACAGTCATACAATTGTAAAGCACTAACCTTGTTTTGTGTTTGTCCTCAGTCACCATGGCAGCCCTCAGACCCCTCACAAAACCCAAGATCGTCAAAAAGCGAACCAAGAAGTTCATTCGCCACCAGTCTGACCGATATGTCAAGATTGCGGTAAGTGGGACATGAGAGATCCTCAGCTGGTTGGACCAGTGCTTCTAGCTTCAGTGGTTGACATACTGATGAGTTGTATTTCCTTAACATTGTCCACATCTCTCAACAGAAAAACTGGCGTAAGCCCAGAGGTATTGACAACAGGGTCCGCAGGAGGTTCAAGGGTCAGATGCTGATGCCCAACATTGGTTATGGTAGCAACAAGAAGACCAAGTACATGCTGCCAACTGGCTTCAAGAAGTTCCTGGTGCACAATGTCAAGGAGCTCGAAGTCCTGATGATGAGCAACAAGTAAGTTGTGAATGCTTATACGAAGGAAGTAAACTCTAATGCAGATAATGCTGTCACCTCAGTGGTGTAGATGTGTTTTAAATTCCATTTCAGCTCTTAACAAAAGTGAAAAATGTAAAGAGAATAGAACGTCTAATTATTTTCATTCAATTCAATTCAATTCAATTTTATTTGTATAGCGCATATTTACAACAAGTAGCCATCTCATAACGCTTCACAAAGGCAGAAACAGAAACACCCAACAATCCAAAACATCTGGAGTCTCATACAGCTGAACCCTAAATTATTCACAGCCATGCCAACGTTTTGATTTATAGTGATATTTTTGTTTTATTTGTTAGTAACAAATAAGCGTGAGTCGTTTTCCAGTTCTCAGCAACAAGGATTTGAGGTGATTAGACTTAAAATAGGTGAAATACTTTAGTTCATGCATTTTTATACAGCGCAAACATTTCAGCTATCAGTATTTGGTAAAATTGTTGAATAACAGATGAGCTTGAAACTTGTTTCAAAATTGTCCATGTCAAGCATTCATTTACAGTCTTCACAGAAAACTTGGATGTAATCTACATTTTACAAACTTAAAATCAATTGAGCAGTAAACCAATGTGGAACGCTTGTGTTCTCAATCTTGCATATCTGGGGAATTTTTACTGAGTAAACAATGCTCTTTTCTAAATGTAGTTCATTCAGTGTGTGTCAATGATTTGTAGTACGTAGACATTTTGATGGGAATAATCACAAATGAGGACGTCGTTCTAAATGTAGGAACTGTCATGAGGAAGTCCACCTAAGTTTTATTTCAACAAAGCTTAATTTTGCAACAACCTAATATTGGAAATCTTGATCTGTTAAAGGAGTGAGGTTTTTAACAATTGAGTATTTAGATGGAAGCCATCAGGCCAGAGTCGGAGTCTGCTAGGATCCACAGGGAGTTGGTTTTTTATTTTATTTTATTTTATTTTTTAATGCAATTTTGCTGTGGTGTATTTAAGAAGATAAGATGCAAGTCAAAGTCTACCTCTTGACACCTTTCCTCTGAGCAGGACTTAGTTGACAATTAATTGATAATTGATCGGTGATAATTAATTAATTGGTAATGTCCACTCTAATGCGTCTATCAATTCTTTTAACAGACCTTTATTTAAAATCTTCAGTTCGTTGCAGCAGATGTTTTTCTTTGGTATTACTATTCACACTACTCGTTTTTGGTTCCTGTCAGCTACAGTGAGCACAACAGAGCTACACTGTTGCGGCAGCTGCAAAATCGCTTCGGTTCATTGTAAAGGTCTTCAAAGATCCAAGGCTTAGAGGGTATGGGTGCAGTTCTGAAGGCGAAAGAAACACACAGGTCTACGTGGCACTTTGGCAGTTTCCATGTATTTGCTTCTCTCTTTTTCCCTGTCCTCATATATACTATATTTTAACACAGCTAAATTCCCAGTAAAGCGGGAACCATTTACATATTTTTTCTGTTGTCAACAGTGGAATGAGTATGAAATAGGGACTGAACTGTGTCCCATTAGGACTGCATGGTGTCACTTCTGAGCTGCTGCTCTGCGTTACAATCCAGATTTTTATGATTGCAAAATTTTCAGACAAGCTCCCTATACACACAACTTTTTAAATAATGAAATATGTGTATTTGGCTGTATTTCCATAATATTCAGTGTTCCTGCAGCTTTTTTCTACTTTATTAGAAACTTGTACTTTGTAGTCTGGCAGTTTAAGCAAAGGCAGGTAATTTGATTTTAAAGTGTATCATTTTCAACTTGTGCAACGTTGGTTAACAAACCAAACGCATGCAGTTGCTTCAGCATAAAATCCTGTTCACACCTTTTGCTTCTCTAACAGTTCATTTCCACAGAATCAAGTAGACCATGTTTTATTAACATTGTTTGAACTGTAATATTTTAATGAAGAAATTTGTGGAAATGGCAAAGATTTGCTTTAAATGTTAAATGAACTGTGTGAAATCTCTTTAAAGCAAATTTTGTCCCTTTCTAGTGCGTTGTCTGGCTCTTTTCATCCACTTTTTCTAAGGCAGCAGCTTAGTTTGAGCAGCCTGTTAACATTATTGAGTACACAAACCCATTGAAATGCTACTTTTGTCAATAAGGATATGTTTTAAAAAGCTCAACATCAGCTACATCTAATCAAGCAAAGCCAACCATCAACTGATATGTAGGTCACTAGCTGCACTGTGAACCAACATCCATCGTTAACCATTTTGTATCGTTTCACTTCTGTTCAAAATGAGCGCATTCAGATGAATGGTATACTTCCATATTCCCACTGTTTTAATCGTTTGGATGAGTGAGAAATCTCCAAAGGGAGATGAAATACATGTTACAAATTTTGGTTATAATAGTTTAACAGTAAAAAGTCAAAATTATTAAAATGCAACCAGGAACATTTTGTAGAGGCAATCACTTTTAATCAGTCATAGATTCATGGGCTTCATGACCTGCCTTCACTGGCATGTTTTAGAGACACTGAGAATTTAGTGCGGTAGTTTACCCTGTGCACAGACATTTGCATTAGAACTGGCTTTTCATCTGCCGTGTATGTAAATACAAGTACAGCAAAAACACAAAATCAAATGTCAGTTAATTTTATGTAATGAGTGCATTGTTTGTTAAATAACTTGGATACAATTTTTAGTTTACAATGGCTGTGTAATATTAGAAGTGTGGTTTTATTTGCAATGTTCTAGCCCTGAAAATATTTCAAATTGAAAACATTTAAATGAAAACAGTTGGTCGATAACTAAACCTTGGTTTCTTTGCTTTTGAAGGACTCACTGTGCTGAGATCGCCCACAACGTCTCCTCAAAGAACAGGAAGCTGATCGTGGAGAGGGCAGCTCAACTGGCAATCAAGGTCACCAACCCCAACGCCAGGCTCAGGAGCGAGGAGAACGAATAAACTGCCTATTCAAAATAAATGCTTTAAAATGGAAACTGGCTGGTAGTCTGTTTTTCTGCACTTTGCTGCTGATCAACAGGGTTATTGTGCAGGTCAGGAAATCTTAAATGTGTAAAGCCAGTTTCAAGTCTGAATCTTGAGCTGCTTTCATGAAGGGGAAAAGTCCATGTAGTTAAATTTTAGATGCTGAAGTGATGAATGGAAGCACATAGCACGCAGACAAACTTGAGCTTGTGCTCTGGCAAATGTGTTGATGGGTTATCCAAGAACCCAGTATTGGGGTGTTTGATCATGTGTAGGGGTGGCTGAGAAACAACATGAAAGTGATCAATCCCACCCAACTCACAAGCAGCCACAGAACCGGATTACGATTTGATGTTAGCTGGAGTTACTTGTACACCTGAGGAGTTGGCTTTAACTTCTAGGGTGTACCAAGGCCTAAATAACAAACACAATGAAAGAAGATAAACTACAATAAATAATGTTACCTTATTGTCTGACAAAAATTATGAAAAACAAAGTCTACAAGACCAACAAAGCCACTCACATATCAAAAGCTGCAGGTGGACATGCAGGTTGCAAGAGTTTGTCATGTCTGCACACCTACATTAATAAACATGCAGGCATCCACACCTGGCACACGTCGTTCATAAGTTCCGCTCTGAGGAAAGACAACATACCGGTTACACAACAAAACACAACCGCAGTCATGCTGTAAAATACCTGAGATGTAATTTTGTCAAATGGAGTCACCGTTACTTCTGTGGTATATTTAAAACAACATCCGTTGAGCCAAAGTGCTTCCCATTGGAGAAATAAGAGTGGCATTACCTAACAAGTTAAGATAACAGGGTTAAGACACTACAGTATTATGTATGAAGTGTATTTATGCAAATAATTTATGTATAATAAGGTTTAAACCCTACAAAGTTACATAAAATACAAAGTCACCCAACTAAATTGAAGAGTAAGGTTTAAACTACATAAATATGGATTATATAAATGTACCTGATTAATAAAAATAAAAAGTTTTCTTTAGTGTTTAGTCAAGTTTACTTATTTATAACATCAAGACAAGTTTGTTTCTGACAGTCATTTATATTCGTATTGATGGTGGAGGGTCATCCAATTTCAAAGAAGTAGAGAGGTGACAGTTAGTTTGGACGGTAATAGTTCATAGGTGAGACCTTTCTTTGTGTTGTATGTCACATGGACGTTAAAATGATAAACTCCTGCACGAGTTGGCATCTAAACTGATGGCTTCAGAGTTGGTTGTATTCTCCCTTGGGTTAATGGCATTATTCCTCACCTCCTTCCAGATGACTGGACGCTGGATCAGAACAAAAGGGGCAAAATGCCCGAAGAAGAGCTTTGACCCATATTATAAATGGAGGAGGCCACATAACTTTGTGTAAACGCTGTTCTCCTTCCAAGATGTGATCTAGGCAAGCTTTTGACAGAATACTTTACAGTTTGAGGCCCTTTGCTCTCAAAGAACATCCTGGACTTTGGCCTGGCCAAATAAGTTGCATTAAAAATCGCAAATGTGATCTTAAAGCTGTGTTGATACTGGATAGATGTGCTGGAGGCAAACTGCAGCTGTGGAAAATTGGACATTTTAGTTTTCCACATAATTAAATGGCAATGTTGAATAGAAGGAAGCATCCTGTCAGTGAAGTTTAGGAAAATCTGGGGAGATTTCATATTGCTCCTCTATTCCATTGGGGCCTTTTACTTTGTAACAGAGTTGGCTTTACAGATGGGTATTTTCACATTTTTTGAAGAAAGAGGAGTACTGATCATTTGTGAAATGTGTTCCAGGCAGGTTACAATAAATGTTTTCTGTTAAATACCTGAAATGATGCTTAATCTTAACTACAAGGTCCCTTCACAGCTACAGAGGACATGATGCAGTTTTATTTTTTTACACACAGAGCAGTATTAACCGTGGTAAATTGACGGAGTGCCCCTTTAGATAACGTGCCGCGTAAGGAGGTTTTGGAATTGTAGTATTTAGTCAGTTTGACATTATGGATGAGCATATTCATACAAATCCTCTGCTGACATGCTTATATAATATAATCATTAGATTTTTAAAAAAAATTATCAAAATCATTGCCTTGAATTGGCCTGTTCAGGTTGTATACTGTTTTTTTTTTTTGTTTTTTTTTTACGATGTTCAGAGCCGGTTCCCTGCAGAGAAAGTTTCCATTGCATTCTGGCAGGCAAGCTGTGCCCCACAGCCCTGAGCCCTCTGCCATCTGCTCCTGTAAAACTGACATTGCCAGAGATGCAAAAACATAACATTTATTTAGCCAGTCAGCTTGTGGCTGCTTGGATGTGGAAGTAACTTACCAATGACGGTTGGAAAAAAAAACAAGGCGCAATGTTGGATCTGAGTCTTTTTTAAAAAACCTGCACCTGTTTGTGGAGCGGCCTGGAAGACTCACCTGGGAGGACTGGACGTCCTCCAGAGAGGGAGGAGAACATGAGAACAGCAGGGCAGGCAGGGACTGCAATGTCTGAGAGATGGTGAAAGCTTCAGGAAGAGGACAGAATCTGTTTTTTCCTTTTCACTGGTCAAAAAATGAACATGTCAGCAAGGGTAGTGTTCGGAAAAGGGCGCCTCACCCCCAAACAGCTCTCCTTCGCCTTCCCTCAGACAGATTCCCTGAGGAAAGGCAGCCGGTCGGCAGGAGGAAAGAGGAGGATGTTTTCTTTTTCTCTCAGATGTCGACTGGGCATCATCAGAGGGAGGACCAAAGGTAAAAACCTACAGGAAAAATATTTAACCTTAAAGTTTAATGTTTATCAAGACAGTTTTATGGCTCCAGTCAAAATTTCTTAACTTTGCTAAGTAAAATAATCACAAACTTAAGCAAATTATCTGAACTAATTTTTCAAAAAGGGTCAGACTGATTGTAAGTGTGCTGCAGGCCTGTCAAACTTTGTATTTCCTTGACTAAAATGTGGGATTTTTAATCTTAGTGGTGAACCGGAAAGCATGTTAGACATGTGTTTCCTCTGAATCTTTCCTCACTCGTTGATCTGCGCTGGGTGACGAGTGAATTAGTCATTTTGCTCCTTCGACTTTCGCTTGCAGCTGGAGTCGATCACCATAAGATGGCAGTGTGGTCAGTTTGATCGATGACGAGGTTGAGATTCAGGCCCTTCTGCCCAGAACGGCCACATTGTCAGTGTAAAGTTAAAACGTGGGCTATTTTCAGGGTTAGTTTACAATAACGGAGAAGGAAAATTGGAAAATAGGTGCTATATAGAGAATACGGTCACACTCTTCTTGAAGATCTTCATTATTTTCCACCTTTCTCTTAACCTTTCTTTGTTTTCTATTGAGGTTGAGCACTCCCAGCATCTGTTTGTGCGCCAAGGTCACCGCAGCACTTCTTGTGTTCCTAATCTAATCAATCTCTCACACGACATCAATAATGTTGATTTCCAGTCTCGAAGAAGTGCAAAAGAGTCCATTTTTTATTATAACCAAACCTGACTGTTCCCAGAGGTTTTTATCAGTCTGCCCCATCTCCCAATTCTCTTTTATTCTGCTGGAAATTAATTAGTCTCGCTCTGAAAGACTACGCTCGCTCACATTGTAAATGGGGTATTAAGGACAAAAGTCTCTGAGGAAATTATCTACACCAAAGAGTACTGTGTCCACTGGAACAGCTGACTAATTAGGCTCCATGCAACAGCAGGTAAAAACATGGAAATGTTTGTTTGTAATCGCTTTACGCATCTGTACATGAGGCCGCTGTAGAACCGAGGGTATAGTTTCATTGTGAATGTCAGAATTGAATGTGTTTTGGTTGCGCTGTGTGGTTTTGTTGGTTTGGCACCTTTTTTTTTGTTTATTTTTCTCTGCTTTCAAAGTCTCAGTGATGCTCTTCACAGGGAGCCAAAAAAACAAACCAAAAAAAAAAACAGGCAGATGAGGTTCAGAGGAGCTGCCAGTGTGGCTGGAAGAGGGTGGTTGTTGGTGGTTGGTGGCTGCGGGGGTCAGGAAGTGGCAGGCGTCGAGGCTTGTGTGCATGACAAATGGTCAGACAGGTGCAGCCACGGGGCCACAGTGTTTGGGTGGAGGCACCTCCGCGGGTCGAGGATTAGCAAAGGGCCCTTAAACTCTCCCGAGGGGGAGGGGGGAAGTGTGACAGGTCAGGCCTCAGAAGAAATACATCTGAATTTCACAAAGTTGCTCAGATTCCAAGTGTTCCCGGTTTTTCTTTCTGTTTGTGATCCATGCATTTATTTTCACACCATCACAATCAGAATCTGTCACTTGTGCTTGACAACTGCAGAGTGTTGTGGATCAGTTTTAGTGGCTAGACATGCGTGCAGCTGTTCTGCACAGGCATTTTGCATATGGATTTGCTGCTATGTGCTTGTGTGTGTGTGTGTGTGTGTGGGAAAGAGAGAGAGAGAAAGGCATTGTGCAGATACAAGCTGTGTAAAATGAGTGCAGTCTCTATGTGAGAAAAATGTGACACTGTGCAGGGCTGACAATGAATGTGCAGGTGGTGTTAATTGTGCCGAGAGTTTAGTGTGTGGGGTGTGTGCAGATTTGTCGTGTCTAATCTGTGTGTGTGTGTGTCTGTACTGGATGTATATATGTGTGTGGGAGGGTATGAGGATGTGTTTGACTTTGTCGGAAATGGATAAAGTGTGTCTGTGTGTGTGTGTGTGTGTGTGTGTGTGTGTGTGTGTGTGTGTGCAGGGGGGAGGGAGTGACTATCGTGTGTGCCTGCCTCACTGAACCCCTCTGGCACAGGGAGAGAGAGAGAGAGAAAGCATGCAAACACACTCCAGCTCTGTATGAGAGAGAGGAAGGGCTATGTGTGAGCTCATGTGAGTGTATGAACGGGGCATGATAAATCCTCTGGAAAACTGACGGACGATTAATTAGAATAGCTCAAAAACGGGACCACGGCGACATGGCAAGAAAAGGACATGAACCGTTTCTCTCCCTGCTTTGGATTTTATAAAAGAGCTGAGCAGATAGTAGTTGTATATTTGTGAGGACTGAGAGGAATCCTCTTGTAAGTTCAAACAGGAGGAGGACGAGAGACCATCTGAGGATCAGAATTTGCCCTCTGGGGCTCCAGACTTACAAACCAGGGACGTAGTTGATGGAAATATTGGACTTGGAGTGAAGGAACAAAGATGTTCTTCTTGTTCGATGTGAGCAGCTGAGACCTGGACTCTCGGGTCGCCTACTTTTACCTCAGGTGGAAACTCAGCTCTCTGCCTGCTATTAAAGATCAGCAAGGTTACTTCCAGAGGGGGGCTGCGCTGAATAACCACAGCCATGCTGTGTGGTCTGAGGAGAGACACCAAGAACAGCATTGGTAAGAGCACCACACTTGGATCTTTAGAGTCAAAGGACACAGCTCATATTCGAGGCAGCAGGAGGTCACTGATCACCTGTAAAGAGCTGCTTATTTCTTAGCAGCTGAGTTACCACTATAGCATCCTGCTTATTGTCGTCTCCCATCCGCTTATCCAAAATGCAAACAAATTTGATTGTGGAATCACTGATTGCAAGAGATGTAGCTCTACATAGCATCCTGTCGGGTAACTGGGGCAGATATAGCAACATAAACTGGGTCTGGAAGGGCCCCAGTTTATAAATAAAGTTTTACATCTGAAAATAGCATTGTGATTTCATTGTCATTGTCAGCACCGCCCCCATATTTAACCTACATTTGGATTGGATGGCATACAGTGCCCTGAATTAAACCAGGAGTTAATTAACTCACCACATATTTACGCAGGAAGGAGGAATTTAATTTTCACTGGCCAGGTACTTCAGATGCAGCGTCTCAAGCGAATCGCATTCTTGAGACAGCAACTGACTTCCTCCACGAAGAAATCAGGGCTCAGATTAATTTTCTGTTTTGTTTTACAATGTCATTTTTGGGGGCTGTTTATAATCAGTCCCATCCTGATGTTAATTCCGGCTCTGAAGGGGAGCGATGGTTATTTTAAGCTGGAGGAGGAAGGCTTGATGGTACAGTAGCAGTCAGTCACGTGCAGCTCGTTGGGTCTGCGTAACCCAGAGCTAATGTTGCCTTTTGACTGCAATGACAGCTGCTGGACTGTCAGGGCCCCCAGGAGCCCGCGTGGCTACGAGGCTTTCGCCTATTATGTGTTTGTGATGTGTCACTCACTTTGTGTGTGTGTGTGTGTGTCTAGCCTCAAAGCCACTGGACATGGTATTTGTGCAAGGATGTGGGTAAATCTGTGTGAAATACCATATTATGCATGTGTGTATTCTGTACATCACCATAACATGCAAGTCCAATAGAGATATTTTTGTAGTTGGGGTCTGACTCATGCAGCTGTGTGCACACGGAGGCTGAATTTTCTGCTTTCCTCCTTGTGTCCCGAGGCTCGCTAAAGGTTTCAGGTCAGTGAAGGAATGACAAAGGATCTTTGCCTCTCAGCTGTCTAAAGGCTTCATCTTCAGTCGGACAGATGTGTGGGCTCCATGTGGACAGTGATGAAGCAGTGGGCTTGATGCCCTCTGAGCACTTGTTTCCCCCAGTCCAGTCTTGACAGAGCAGCACGGATAACAGAGAAAGACGTCAGGTTAACTAAACTGGCATTTTTCATGTTGAGCTGATAAACTCTCAGACCTGAGATGTAACCTCTTCAAAAAATGTAATATCTCTGACCTCTAGAGCAGTGGGTAATGTTTTGACCTTTATTTCTTTATTGCACTATACAGTTCAACAAGACAAAGGGTTTTTGTCTCTTATTATTCTTTTACTTGCCTCAGTTTTGTAGTAAATCAAGTTTTAGGGGATGCACACAGTATGATGTTGCATGCAGATGATTCAATGAGTCATGCAGTGGAGTTGAATCTCACTTTTACCGGCACCATTTAAAGCATGACCAATTAGCTATTAGTAATTACTGTTTGCAATGTGTCTGAGACAACTGTGACTTATTGACTTTTCTACTGAAGAAAACTTTAAATCTTGATAATTCTCAGGCATCTCTGGAGCTACAAAGTTTGTGATTTTGACTGATCTCTTGATTTTTGGGCATTTATTCCAATTGGATAATGGAGCTAATATGACACTCACTGAATGTGAGTCACACAGGATCGAAAATTAGTCCCTGCATTAGTTCTGTGCCTGTGTTTTACCAAATCAAGGAAACAAACTAACATAATTAACATTGTGCTGTTTTTAGAACACCACTAGAAGCAGCAGCCCGTCTGTGTTACTCTCAGCATGTCCCCTCTTTAACTTGTCCAAGCCTCGTGTTGTTAATGAATGAGGGCCGTTAGTAGAAGTAAGATTTTAATCCAGTGTCCCCACTGTGCAGTACTGAAGCAGTCATTGGAGACTTGTGCTTGTGAAGACTTCAGTTAGACGCCTGCAGTGAAAGGCAGTAACATGCCCCTGTCCACTCTTTAAAAGAGGACCTGGCACAGCTCTTCTTCAAGTTTGCAATATGATGTTCAATCACTGCACTAGAAAGCTGAAAAGGTAATCTGCAGTGGACAGGATTAGAGAAGTGCAAAGTCAGTTTCCTCATCACTGTGGCTGCTGACACGGTTGTGCGGCTGCATTCAGGTTCAGAAAGCTGGGCAGTGGCTCTGCTAATCTGAGGACAGCCCTGTGCTGTGTCAAAAAAAAAGGGTCCCACTGTGGATGAAATTTTTTTTTTTTAAATCAGTTTCTCTGCAGAGCAGATTGAATGTGTCCCTGCTTTCTGTAGCAGCTGCTGTAAATGACATGAAAATGATGATTTCCTCTCCATGCAAGAACACTCCATTAACCGCATGCTGTTCCTTCAAGAATATTCCCATGCTTTGGTAGTCGCGTACATCAAGCCTGCCGCAAATGTATTCGTGTGTTAAATGGTTTTCAAGGGTCTTTGCTACAGACAGAGAGGAGCTATTTGAAACCCTTGACCCTTTTATAGAATTGTCGTGGAAACAGAGTGGGGTGACCTTTCAGGGTCGTGAGTTCAGGCCGATCACTCTGGTTCGGTTAATGCCTGACGGATGTGCCTGTTGGCTTAGTGCTGTTTCCCTGCCAGAAGCCCCCGCATTACCCAGGGTGAAGTTCAAAGCATGAAAGTGTGGGCTGCTGTCATGATGTGCAATGAGCGGTCATGTTCATTTAGCCTTCTGCTGCAGAGTTTTGCTACACATCTTACCTCGCTGCTGTCTCCTCAGATGAAGGACCATACTCAAAGGGGAGCAAAGAGTCCGGGGCAACTGACCAATCCCATTCGTCCCGGAGGCGCAGCCTTTCAGGTACAATACAGTCAAACCTGACTTCACATCTTTCGGTTTTGTCTGTTGTCTGATTCATGCTGCTGTGGCCCGTTCACTGGGGTCCTCAAAGAGAGGAAGAGTCATGCCATCTTTGACTGAGATGTGTGTGTGTGTGTGTGTGTGTGTGTGTGTGTGTGTGTGTGTTTTGTGTTTTGCTTGATGTTGCACTGTTTTAAATGCTTAGATAAGGTGAAAAAAATGCTTGTATGGCAAACCTGCCATTGGTACTAAACTACACTTAGTAGACTTCACATAGAGCGATTTAACAGCACAGCACATTGTGAACAGAATGAGTCCTGTGATGAAACTGTATAACCACATATTCATCAATTGATGCCAAACTCATTTTCATTCACTTACAATGAATACAATTGGATTTCAATTTGTGGCTGGATTAGTTCGACATCATTTTCAGTGAGTGTCTTTTTGTAATAATGCATTGCCTTTGTCTCCATTATCAGCATTTAGTGTGGTATTAATAAAATTGATTCCATCCACCTTGTCCTCCTTCTGAACCTGCCACAAAGATTCACTCAGATTGAAAGATGTAAAGGAACTCGAGAAAGGCAGGAAAGTGAGAAAATAAAGTATAAGGTCGCATGTCAGAGAACATTTTCTGTGAAAGATTCAGGAATGGAGTCTTTCATTGCCTCTCAGAAAGGGTGATTCTGTCAACCAGATGCTAATGCTGACTGTGGATCTGTGCCTGTGTCTGTATCTGTCAGCAGAAGAGTATCGAGGAGTGACCACAGTGGACCTGATGAAAAGGGAAGGCAGCAGCCTTGGCCTCACAATCTCCGGAGGGTCTGATAAGGATGGCAAGCCCAGAGTGTCAAACCTACGGCCAGGTGGGCTAGCTGCCAGGTGAGATCTCTGCTCTGTGATGCACTTAAAAGCTGGCAACCACACCAAGCTGTCCGGACTTGTTATTCTGCCCCCGCAAACATACACGTGTTGCAAAGTTACACCAGCTCGCCCTAACTGAAAGACTGTAGGCGTTGGATCAGCTTGCTGTCGAACCAGAGTGAAGCTCCACCTGTTTTTTTGTTTTTTTTAAAATATATATATATATGAGTAAAGTCCCCAAACAAACCGCGTAGATGTGTCTCTAAACTAAAATGTAAATGCATATTGTTATTGTCATGTTCGTGACTAATTTACTGTACAGTGGTAATTGTTCAGTATGAGTCTTTGCTGAGCTACTTTTGATGTTCAGGCACTGCTTAATTAAGATGAAACTAATTTTCCCCAACATCAAGCACATGAAAAGAAAATGTAGTGGGAGACTCACATTTCATGATGATTAAGCAGCACGTGGCTGAAGTGAAACACACACACACACACAAACGCTTTTGTAAGAATGACACAGCCCCTCTGAAAATGTCTTGGCCAAATATGCCGTCGCTTGTCAAGTCCAAGGAAGTTTAAAGACAGACACTGTGCTAATTCTTCCAAGCAGCTTGTCTTCCCACAGCTGAGTTCATGCTTGTGTGGAAGTGCTAGCTAATTTACTGGGTGGAGAGACACGCAGGCAGACAGGAGAGCAACTCGGCAGTGACGTAGTGTGATGAGACTGGACCGCAGTGACAGGCCGCTCAGCTCTGCTGGTTAAGACGTCTCTCTCTGTCTGCTGTCAGTGCTGATTGGCAATAGCCCAAAGGTTACAAGGGCAAGCAATGGCAGAACATCTATTTAATTAATTAGCTCTCCAATGAGCAGTGTGTTGACTCAGAATGTCAAATGTGAGACACCGTGTACAATCACCATGGCTCTCAGCCATCCCACTCTAGAATCCAGTCCACTTTCCACACAGGTGGCTCTGCATGTTCCTCTGCTTACTGCAGGGACGCTTAAAATCAATGTGTCTTTAGAGTGTTCCTAGTTGGGAAAGGGAGAGAAACAAAGATGTAAAATCACACTAGAACTGACAAAATGCATCCTGAGATTATTCTAGCTGACTTTATCCAAGTATCCTGTTATTTATGCAGGAAAACCATCTTCTCTGATGAATGCACGAGTCAAAAACATGCCAACTAGGGTCAAACTTGCCTCCCAAGACCTTAGATAAGTGAAGCAAATTGGGTTCCTTTTGACATTAGGCAATAAGTACACTTTGCATTTTTCAAATTTGAAAAAGGTGGGAAATAAAGCGATTAGATAAAGGTCCAGATCCAGAAGCTAAAACCCAAAGTATGAATCCTGACTTCAGACCTGGAAATCCAATGATGCAGGCAGGGTCGTAATTTGAATGTATGTTTGTCTCCGTACTGCAGGTTCACTTAAAATCACATTATCTTTTCTGTCATGATACAAATTAAAACAGCCAACTGTGATTATCATTTCTGACTCTGTCATACACAGAGACATGATGCACTAAAAACCACCCAGAACACGGAGTCAGATTAGATGTTTGCATCTCGTTTTGATTGCCGGATCAACTCACTAATTACGGGTTGCTTACAGCAATGAGCTGAACGTGTCTGTAAAGCTCCACAGTCTGCAGAGTTGTTGACATCTCTCTCTGTCACATTACAAATGTTTGCAGTTTTAAGGTGTTGAAACTCAGCCCCTCGTTAAGATGCATTCACAATATCAGGTGCCACTGTAATGTAGAACTGAGTTGATAGTTGTGATTTAACGGTGCAGATTTGCAACTTAGGTAACAAATGTTCAGTGAATCTGGAGCTTCTGGAGGCCTCAGGGCAGCAGCCTGCTTCTCCCATTTAGTAACCGAATGTTGACCTTAATGGTCTCTCCGTGACTTTCCACAGGAGTGACCAGCTGAATGTAGGAGACTACATCAAGTCAGTGAACGGCATCAACCTGTCAAAGCTTCGCCATGATGAGATTATCAGCCTGCTGAAGAACATCGGGGAGCGAGTTGTGCTGGAAGTGGAGTACGAGCTGCCTCCATTTGGTAGGTGAAGTCTGGGAGATGAATATTGTGCCTGCATCGTTCTGATTTAATCTCACCAGATTAGAAAAAATGCTCAGCTATTTAAGGAAACAGATGCTTTGTATTTTTAAATGCACAGAGATAGTATAGTGGTTGATAAATAAGCTTATTAGCTGAGACTGTAGACCATGAAGATCCCTGGTTTATGACATGTAAACCATTTAACCTACACAGAGCTCAGCATGAAATTGTGCTATCTGTTAACATTAACTCTCAAAATATCACGTAGAAAAAGGTCAAACATGTAGGAAGAGTATACATGAGAGCTGTCATTACAGGCTGTGGAGTTTTACTTTAAAATACCTACAGGAAGCATCCCCCCTCCCTCTCATCACACCTTGAATATTGCTGTGTTTGGTCTGCAGCCAAATAGACAAGTAAAAAAAGAAGAGCCGAGAGACAGAAAGGGGAGAAAACAAAGGTGATAGGTGCTACACGAATATAAGTTACTGCACTGCTGGGAAACACCTCAATTTGCATGTGCTAAACAACCTTAGTTACTAGGAAATGTGATCAGCCACTAAAATAGCAAAATAAAACATAAATTAGTCCATTTTGTGCATGTGAATTTTTACATATTTACATATTATTGTGGAAATTTTGATTTTTTTCTCAGGGGGATTCCACACTCTGTGACAGATTTGGTCGGCCCCACATTGTTGACTCCTTCAGAGTTCTCAGCTCTCACTAAATGTTCTGAGGCACCAAAAATATTGTAAAAATAACAGAATATAACTATCTTGTAAAAAAAAAAACAGTCAATTTTCCTGCTGTAAGTTACCAAGAGATCACTTGTATTAATTAACGTGTAAAACAACAACATTACCTATAATATGTAATAATAATAATAATAATAATAATAATAATAATAATAATAATAATAATAATAATAATAATAATAATAACAACAATTTTTATGTGCAAACTGCAATAATTGTACAAGATATTTCTTTTTAGACTAATAAATGTATGGAATATTACAAAACCAGTAACCAGTATACGAAACCATTTGTTTTTTAAACTTTCATATGTAACTTTTTTTTTTTTTTTAAGTGGGAAAATTGCAATATATTTGTGAATGCATTTCAAATCACAAAATGTATGTGTGTTTTTAAAAAAACTAGACATGCCAATTTATAGTCCATGTTTATGATGTAACTGATTTTTCCATGTGTTCTAAAATATAAATGTAAATATATATGTAAAGGAACATCTGTAAACTCAAAGGATAACATGCTGTAAAATTACAGATTTTATTTCATTCATTCATTCATTCATTCATTCATTCATTTGTTTATTTATTTAAGATTAAGCTGTCTTTATTTGTCTCCCTTGGGGGATATTTGTTTTAGACAGAGGGGTCTGCTGCACAGACACATAGTTATTTATTAATGCATGTGTTTACGCTCACATTTTAACCTTACACATCTTGGCATGTTTTTTTTTTATCAGCAAACCACCAAACCAGGGTTTAAATGCAGATATATGCAGAATTTCAAAAAAGCTGTTTAATGTTTATTTATGTGCATGTGAAGACCAGCTTTACTCATTTTGGAACAAAGTCATTACAGCTGTGTTGAAAGGGTAGTTAGAACCTAAAACCTGTTGGCCAAATTAAGTTTTAAGTTCAACAGCTAGAAATCTTTCAACCTGCAAATCACCAATTCAACGGTTATTGGATTTAATTGATCAAGGCACTGGAAACACAGTTGGTCCCTCATTGCTGCACTGTGGCTGTAAATCATTGGAACAGGTCAAACACAGAGAATTAAGTTACCCTCTGAGATTCATTAAATCATATTTCCACAACGATTTCTTCATTCTCTTAACTGAGCGTGTCTAGATGTTACTAAAATTACACTTTTGGGAAAGCTTTATATATCGTGAGTGTTTCCGTTCTTTTTGTCTAGCTGTATGAGTTTATAGTAATAATGTTATGAATCTGTCATTTCCTCTTTGCTCTTAGTCCAGACCCCCTCAGGAGTCCTAACCAAAACCATAGAGGTGTGTTTACACAAGGAGGGAAACAGTTTTGGGTTTGTCATGAGAGGTAAGTCGACAGGATGTTGTTTTTTTGTCAATAGAAAATACTATGTCTTTGCTGTGTCTCTGTGTTTTGTTAATATTGCTTTTTGGGGGGTTTCGTTTTCAGGAGGCTTCCACGAAGACTGGCGCCGGTCTCGTCCTCTGGTGGTTACCTACGTCAGGCCTGGCGGTCCTGCTGACAGGTAAGAATGTAGACGTCAGACGTTGGCAAGTGTGCGCTGACCATCGTGTTTGTGTATGCATATACAAGTGTAGCGATCTATGTGGCTTTTATGCTTTGTATGTGTTGAACATGCATGAATGAGCCTATTCAGATGATTGTATGTGTGCATGCATGCATGTTTCTGCATTGTATGTATGTAGATGTAGAGCCTAATGAATGTCTTTTACTAATTGTGTTATTTTTCCCCACCATTAAAACCTCTGTTTGCTATAAAAATTTCATTTTTAATATTAATGCATCTAAGTGACGTTAAAACAACAACATTTCCATGTGCACACTACTCTCTCTTTTGCATCCGTGTATGCTCGGGCCGCTGCATGAAACTGTGGCTGTGACACATATAGAGTATGTTATCTCCAAAGCAGAAAGGGCACCGCTGGTCCCGAGGCTAATGCAACATTGCACTTTTCCCCATGAAAACCGAGAGAGCACCAAAACGCTGGAGCAAACATAATTCAACCATCAAAGACTTTACGGCCGTTTATCTTGTTTATCCTTCATCTCACCTGGGAGGAAACGCTCATGTGGAACAGTTTAATCATGCACTGTGACTGGTGTTCAAACGCTTGTATGAGCATCTTGCTCTGGTCGACTGTGTTTTATTTTTTTATTTTTTATTTTTCTCTCTCTTCTCTTTCTCCTTCTGTGTTTCTCCAGAGAGGGAACGTTGAAGGCCGGAGACAGAGTATTGAGCATAGACGGGATGCCTTTGAACAGAGAGAGGCACGCCGACGCTTTGACCATGCTGATGCAGAGCGGCCAGGAAGCTCTGTTCCTGATTGAGTATGACGTCTCTGTCATGGGTGAGCACACACGCACACACACACACACACACAGAGCCACACACACACACACACACACACAAACACACAGAATATGTGGAGGCATTGTAGGGCAGCATTGCTCTGAGGGTAAATAATGTGGCCGTTTGGCAGCGTGGATGTAAGTGAGTGTCGGTGCTGCAGACGCCAACAGGGGAGTCACACGAGCCCGAGAGCAGCAGCGAAAGGGTAGATGGGTGATATGCGGTGCTTTATTAACACGTGTGGGTCTAATCTCGTTAATAATGGCGTCTAACAAATATTTAACAACTGGATACAACATTCAGGGACAGTATTAGCTGTTTCTTTTGTAATTTTTTTTATGTGACCTTCAATGGATTATTGTTGGACATGAGCAAGAGGCAGACATTTGATCATTTGTCCAGAAGCACTGATGACGCTCCATGTTTCAGGAGGCAGGATGACAGACTTTCACAGCAGTGCATTAACCCCCAACCTACCTTTTGTTTTCCCTTAAGGAGCTTTAAATCATCTTAGCCCTCACATCACTCATCGAGTTAGCTTGTTCCAACTTTTCATTAAATCTATATGATGATTACACTGAGAGAAATATTCAGACACAAGATATTTGTGGAGGGGCCCTGTTTTGCACTTGAGCCCACATTTTCCATGAGGAACATACACAATTTAAAAAAAAAAATAAATTCAAACACAAGATTCTGTTGTTTTTTTTTATGAGCTGGTCATCAGTTGGACATATTCTGGGTATCTTGGGGTCTATTCTTGTTTTTTATGTGTTTTGTTATGAGGTTAAAGAGGTACACCAATTCCAATTATCTCTCTGAGAATTTCCATTATCGCTGGCTACATGTGCACCCTATTTATTCAAAAATCATCTGGAAAAGATCTCTAAGAAAATTGCATAGACTGTGATGAATTATGCAATCTTCATTTTCTATCTTTTGATTATGGAGATTTTTTTTTACAGGAGAGCTATCTACATAAGCCAGCTTCTAACCTCTTACTGTCTATTTTCTTTATTTGTGCAAATAATTGAAGATTTAAAAAATAAAGCAGCTGAGGACCAAGATATTCGTCATGTGTAGTGACCAATAATAGTTAAGCTCAAAAAATGCTTTGGGCCAATCAAACCTATATTCCCCAAACTATTTTTAATTTATTTTCCAAGCCAAATAAACTCCACCATCTTTCACATACCCAGTTAGTAACACAATGTTTCAGTTAATGCTCAACCTGAGAAAACCACCATGAGGGTTATTTTCCTCAGACTTAAAAATAAAACCCCTCCAACAGCACATATCAGCATTATTTCAAGCTCTCACCTTATAGTTTTTTAAATTGTTTCTTCATTTCAGTTTTGTTGGGGTCATTCTGTTACAATAATGTTGTTGAAAGGGAAAGAAAACTTGAATACAAACCAGTTTGAGAGCACAGACAGAATCTAAATATCCTCACCGTGGCTTAAATAGTAATACAATATGCCGCTAAACACAGGCGCTCACTACATGACTAAAAGCCTAATTATAACCTCATTTGGCCATGGTGACTAATTCTCAAGATTGCACACTTTGCATTGGTCTGTGCAAAAATAGGGCAGGTCACTGAGGACAGTTGACACACATTATCGTTCTGTGTTTGGGAATTCAGGATTTAAACCTCCTGCCTCGACGCTGAACCAGTCAGAGGGTTTCACATTTATAAGAAAAGATATTTTAGAACTGAAATCTGAAGAAATCAAAACAGCAAGTTTAAACTTTATGCTGGTTACAGCTATTCTTACTCAATGTACGCCTCTTCTCTGAAGCAATGCTGCATCACATCATTTTATGCTGAGCAGTACAACACTTGCTTCGTGCTGCAAAAGACCAGCAACTCACTCAAGATGCTTAACTTTCTCCTACATAGATGTATCCAAAATGACACGTCCCTTTGTCTTTGCTTCAGTCAGGACAGTTAAATGTCAAAAGGAGCTGTGTCAAAATGACAGAGGACAATGAATTGTGTTTCTTTATGTCACTTCTCACTGGGACTCTGAGTACATGCAGTCATTCAACAAGAAAGACAGATATCCTCATAATGTTCAACAACAACGACTCAAATGAAAGTTTCATAAAAGCAGATTCATGAAAGTGAAAATGAACTCTCCCTTAACATGTCACTGGTTATTCAAACATTCCTACCCATCTGGTTTATAACAACTTTATGAGCTTAGTGAATGCTTTTGTTGGGGATGAATACATCATCACCACTTGTGCTTTCTGGATCATTTATAGGCCTTTAATAAGAAAAACATTAAAGGTGTCAGGTTTTGGAAATTCCCTCTCTAGCGTGACAGTTTTGTCTTTTTTGACCAATTCTTTGATTGATTTGGGAGCAGCAGGATACCTGGAACAAAATCAGTTTATGAACTGCTGCAGTTATTAGCATTTATTAGTTATTAGCATTTATGTTTGCAGATTTGCAGACTGACTGACTTTCACTAATGACTCATTATAAATGACTCAGGAGCCATTTTGTGGACCGTACTCACACTTATAACTGAACAGCAAGTATAAACTCCATAGTAGTCATTCAGGGGTTTTCAGCATTCATCAGTGTGACTGAATAGAAACATACAGCAATGTCATGTCCAAAAATATTTTATTTAAAGAGACACAGTGTGACAAGAACATTTCTGAAACCACAAACACAGCATACATATTGTATATGTGGCTCAAACAGAAACGCTTACAACATAAATTCTTAGTGCAGTCTGGAAACAGCTAACCCTTTTTCTTTTTACTGTCTGCAGGCTGCAAATAAATAAAATTAGATGTAAAATAAATTAGCAAAAAGAAGATTCTGGTGTCATAAACTACTTTTGTCATATTGGCTTAACTTGGTGTGTTCGTCTGGTGGTACAAAGCTTCATTTAATTATATAATTAATGGTAATATCATAATAATACTGCAGTTAAAAGACTAAACACTTTTTGGTTCATGTGTCCTACAGCCCATTTCTAAACTCTGATCAACAAAGCAAAAAAACAATGAAGCTATGAATTCCAGCTTATAAATGCTTCATAAACCGCCTTTTTAAAATGTGGTACCACAGCCAAAGTCGATATATTACTGAGTAAAGCTGCAAGAAATGCTTCTAGTGAACTGTCAGCAATTGTGCCAAAACTGTAATTCAATGAACAATCTGCATCTGATCACATTGTGCTCGTCCATGACCGTCTTGAGGTGTTTTTATTGTCACTGGCATTTTATCAGATGCAGTCAGTAACCTCTACCATCCTGTATCTGTCCATGTAATCTGTTTCAGAGGCAGTGCAACAAGCCTCGGGCCCTCTGCTGGTGGAGATCGTGAAAGGTCTCTCAGCCAGCTTGGGGATCAGCCTCACCACAACAATATACAGGAGCAAACAAGTTATTATTATCGACAAGATAAAGGCCGCCAGTGTGGTGGAAAGGTGAGGTAAAACCTTTTAAAATTGTTACCAGTCCGCTGACAGTTTCCTGACAGAAAACTTCCTGACACGGTCCAACCTCTGTCGTCCTGTCTCAGGTGTGGAGCGCTGCATGTAGGCGACATCCTCCTGTCCATAGACGGGACCAGCACTGAACACTGCTCGCTGATGGAGGCCACCCAGCTACTCGCCAGCACCTCTGAAATTGTCAAACTAGAGATTCTTCCAGCCAGTCAGAGCAGACTTCCAATCAGGCCACAGGACACAGGTACGTCCTGCAGCCGACACAAAAAAAACAGAGCAAAACCCTGTTTTGTAGAAGAGAGAAGCCACTGGAGTTGCAAGAATCAGCAGTGAAAGGAAAAATCCTTCAGATAACTGGCTATATTACAACTGCAGCTGATAATTATTTACATTGTTGATTAATTAAATTTTTTTTTTTTTAGATCAATCAATTAATTGTACAGGAAAAATATTCCAAACTTAAAGATAATTACATTTTTGTCTGACCCACTGTCAAACCAACAGACGTATTCCATTCACTAGATTATAAGACGCAGAGACCTTGAGGAAGTGAAAAAATGTATTTAAAAAAATTGTGTTAGACATTATTTCCTCTTTTCTCTCTTGTCACAAATCCGAGACCAGCAGATAATGTCAACTTGGAGTTTATGTGCAAACACAAGGCTGGCAGACTGTGGGTCGACAACAATGAGAAAACAGGCAGGAAATAATCAGAACCCTGCATGGTGGGAAAGCAATGGCAAAAACACACACACTGATAATCTGGCAGGGTGTAACTGGTGGGATGGTGGTATCTACGTGGAGGAACTAATGAGCAGAAGGGCAGGAAAGGTCAGGTGATGCAACAGGTGGGAAAGCAGGGGCAGGTGGGAGAAGCTGGACTGAAATGAGAACACAGTTCCAGCAGAGAAGACAAATGACCAGAGGAGAGTGGATGAAATAAACCGTGATGCTTGTGATCTTTCAGAGGTCCTCAGTCCCGAAAGTTGGAAACCGGTGGATAAAACTGCCTCACCGGATAGAAAATAGTTAAAACCAGCTCTGCTTCAACCAGCTGCAATACTGAAGTTCTGCTTACATTGTTGCATCAATGTTACAAATCTAAAAAATGTCATTTGTATATCAGTCATAAGGGACATTTGCCTGCATCACAAGTACTTCTACTTGTAATGTAGTACCTCTACACTGTTGTCATGGTAATTTTAGGCAAGTCGGTGGTATTTATAATGTTTAATTATTAAGATTGAGACTCTACAGTGTTGTTTATGATGCCACTTAAGAAATATAAATAATACAGTAAAAACCCTAAAAAATTATAGTTTACCTGACTAGACTAGCGACGTTAAGACCCTACATTATTACACATGGAAAACCCAACGGATCCAAAGATTCCCTATGAGTAAGCATATTCGTGACAGTGGAGAGGAAGAACTCCTGTTTAACGACAGAACCAGACTCAAGGGGTGACGGCCATCTGCCTCCACCGGTTGGGGTGAGGGTTAAAGGGAGAAAGAAAAGGGATCGTGGAAAGAAACAAACAACAAATAAGGGAGCATAAACGCTGGGCAGATTGGTGGAACCGGTAGCTGCACATCAGACACCTGCAGCTGCAGAGCCAGAAATACCTGCAGAGAGGAAGTACAGGGAGAGAGAGAGAAGACACAAGGTTAATAACATGCAATAGTGTGTATAAATGCATGGAAGGAGTGAGAAGCGTGAACACCTGTGAAGAACAACCTGAGTGAAATCAGGCTTGGAAATCAGTGGTAGCTTCAAGGGAAAAAAAAAAGAAAAAAACAATGGAAAGAAATCATAACTATTTTGACAAAAGTGGGACAGGATTTAATGTGGAACAGAGGATTTGGTGCAGGAACTGATAAAGCCCTGCTGATTTTAGTTTTAAGGTGTGAGCGGGGGGCTGCGGGGAGTAAATGTGACCTCAAGGCAGAAAACTGAGGTAACATGTTGGTAATGTGCTGTAGAGCTCAACCATTTTCATTAAAGGATTTGAACACCTCTTTTACCAATGTATGTTATATTAGTAATAAAATATGTGTGTAGGTGGGTGGTGCAGTGTTTTAGAATATAAAACAATGCGCATATGTTGCATCTGTAGGTTAACAATGTATGCAGAGCAGTGCCACAGATTCACAGAGGGCAACGCTACCTTATTGACTGATTGCTCCCATGATTGCGTTCAGATTGTGTAAATATGCAATAGACGGATTCTAGTTCCAGCATGTTTTCTCTCACCACATGTATGGTTGCTGCTCTGCTCTTAGCTGCTTCACCTACAGCTGTAAAGAGCCTGGCTGCCTCCCAGCAGCCTTCCTCCACGTGCTCTGAATCAGCCCCATGTGTGTGTGTTTGTGTGTGCACGGTGCACCGCCGGCCACAATCCCTCTGGCTTTGGGTACACACTCAGCCTCTTATGCATACCAACAAGCCTCACACACACACACACACACACAAACGCTCACACACACTTTTTCTGTCAGAGATCATGTTCTTACCACGTTCTGCAGACTTATTTCTGGGTCAGCAGCTGCAGGGACTCCTTAGCATGTAGGCATGGGAGGAACATGACAAAGGGACATAAGCTGGAGTTTAGTCTTCAGTGCTTTACTTTATTCCTATTTTTAATATGTTTCGAACAGTTTTTTCTAAAGTTAAATCCTCTGAAGTGGAGGAGGAACTCAGATCTTTTAATGCTACACTGTAAAAATACACAATGTCACTGTAATCAGGTGAATGTACTTAAAAAGTAAAAGCTGTTCATATTTTTATATATTATGTTTTTGTAGTTTAACAAAATTGTAATTGTTTTTGAACTCATTTCATAGAGTTCATATTAATTTTATAATCAATTGGTTTGAGTGCAATTTTTCAGGAGATGTACCTACAATGGAACATCCTAGTGTTGTTATAGACAAAATAAATGACAAATAAATAGTTTCCAGTGTAATCGTTGAAGCACATGCATCATTTCTCTATAAAACTACCGGCGTTTCTTCTGAAATGTCTATTCAATAACGATCCAGTTCTTGAATAAGGTGTTGTGCAGTTACGATAAGACGATATTTTTACTCCCCGTTTAAGGCACGATTATAAGATGCAATTTGTCTAATCTGCTCGGGGGATTTAATGAGACTGATATGGCCACTAAGAGATTATGAGTTAATGTCTATTCGCAGCAGTGTGAACTGAAAGCGCCATTTCTTGGAGAGATTCCCCTAGGTGAGCTTAACGTAAGCCGCCAGAGCCAGAGCTTTACAGGTTTGATTGAGTGAGATAGAAACTGGTTCTTCAAAAAGGGCCAGAGGTTCTCCTTCATGTATTCTGACTACATACGGCTGGATTTAACCAGGTTCCCCGAGTATGGCAAACATCCCAGACAACACTGTAGTCATCCATGTTTGCAGCAAATCCTCTATCAATGTGAGCAAGTTGTCAGAGATTAGACCCCTGCAAATGAAGCAGCAAGGATTACTGTCACATGTAACATTCAGTGACAAATTTAGCCGCATGACTCTGTAAAGGGAAGTTAATTATCGAGGTGTGTGTCATACAGTGGGTCAGCTGTGTGCCTTTGAACGCATCATGAATACTGCTTGACTGAATGCTCTGTGTCACCACAGGCTTTGACATGAGGGATAAGATGCCTCTCAGCATAAACAACAATCTGTGAATCTCACAATTTCATTCTAAAGAGAAAAGTCAACAGAAATACTAAAAAAGGATTAAAAATGAAACACATTAGCGCTGCCAATCAGATATAATCAGAGACAGACACTCTGCATTAACTCAAATCACGCTTTCAGCTGTGCCCAATCAAGGTCAAGCCACACGCCTCCAAACAGTCAGTATCATTTCCTCATCATGCCCAGCGGCCAGCTCATTCAGACTGTTTTTGCACCTTTGGACTCTTTTGAAAATGAAATGATGAAAACGATCTTCGCTTTGCACTCAGCTTTTTGGAAGCTTGCTCGTAAAAGTAAGATTTTTTTTCTATATTTGTTTTAGACTTCCCATACAGCTCTGTGTGTCTAACGGATTCTTAGATGCTCATCAGACTACATTAAACCACAGGATTTAATCTAGTGTACCATGACGAAGACATTAAATATCAATTACTCTGCTCAGAATTATCCTCCAGGCACTGTGTGGTGTGGTACAAATTTAGACATGGGACTGAAAGCATGATTTCATGGGTAGAATTTAGCAAAACAGAGGAGCGGATCTGGTTGATTTAATGGATGTGTTTTCCTCCATGCTGCTGCAGTAAAAGTGCAGAAAAGCAACCATCATCACTGGGACCAAAGCAGCAACTACTGCCATCCCCCACATGCCAGCCACAGCAAGACATGGAGCAGCCCAAGCCACCCACACAACCAGCAGGACCACTGCAAATGTAAGTTATCACTTGTGACAGCACTGCTGCTGGCGAGACACCATAGCAGGAGCCTTTTCTTCTGCGTGATTGTTAAATCTCTTTTTTTTTCCATGAAGGTTTACCCCAACATTGGTTACTACATTTTGTTCTTTTGTTCCCCCACGACTCAATGCTGCTGCTGTGGATGATGAGTTTTGCTCATCCCAGCCTGTTTGATACCTGGAGTGCTTATGTCTCCTTTCAGCTCTGGTGAGTGGTGGCTTCTCCCCTTCCTCCACAGCCACCTCAGGCTTCAGCAGCCAGGGCAGCAACACTCTGCCCTGCCCCATCGCTCCCATCACTCCCACCAGCCCTCGCAGCTCCACCGGCAAGAGGAGGAACAGGAAGAAGGACCACAAGAGCTCACGTATGTCAAGCGAACATCCCTGTTTAACCCCACATTAAAGGGTCAGTTCAGTCAAATTGCAAAGTATTTCCTCATTCAGACATGTCTGAATCCAGGTGTGTGGTTAATTCCTGCTTTAATTCCAGAAGTGTGTACTATACGCAAACTAATGCCATCTAAGAGGTGCTGATTTCACTGTAAGGTCGTTTGTTTTAAAGCTGTTTGGAGGCACAAATAGCAGTTAGGTGTGAAAATTGTTTTGCCTCTTGAATGAACTGAGCTTTTAGAATGTAAACCACCTTCCTCAATGTTTCACCCTCTCAGTGTGTGAACAGATTTGACTGATCACTGACGTAAACGTGACTGACGTAAACCCTGGTTAAGTGACTCATTCCCTTTCCATTCCCATTTCGTCTCTGTGGGCGCACGTCTCTTCCCCTTACCCTCCTCCTTTTTTCTTTTCTTTTTTTTTTTTTGTCTCCTGCAATCTCTCTCTTGCTCCATTTATCTGCCACTTCACCACCGATATCTCTCACTGATGCGCCCCCCCCTCCCCTCTCTCCGCCAGTGTCTTTAGCGTCCAGTTCTGTCGGCCCAGGGGGGCAGGTTTTTCATGTGGAAACAAGCGAGATCGTCCTGAGGGGGGATCCGCTCACAGGATTTGGGATCCAGCTGCAGGGGGGTGTCTTTGCCACAGAGACCCTCTCTGCTCCCCCAGTCATCCGCTTTATTGAGCCCGACAGCCCGGCTGAGAGGTAACTCAATGAGACACCTAACGAGTAAACAAATATCATATAGGGAGTCACCTTGGACTGCAGTGCCCCGGTGCTAATCATTCAGTCCGGCAATGAGAAACCACATGTGGGAAAAACAGAGGCTAATTTCCGGCTGATGTCTCATTGGCTGTCTGAAGTCATACCCACTTAAAACCCTATACAATAAACACTCCATAGTTTACTCAATAGTGAGGAGCGAATTCAGGTTTTAGATATAAAACAAACATATAATAACAAAATGTCATTTTTACATCCATAAAATTCACAGCAGTGCATTGTGGGATTGTTGACAGATAGTAGCACACATTTAGTTTTTGTTCAACTGCAGAACTCTATAAATTGCTGCCATTCATTGGATTCTCAGAATTCAGACTCAAATACATTGGTCAGCAGTAAATAGTTTTGAATTCCTTAAAGAGACTAAGTGCAAATTGGGATACCTGGTTAACAAAACTAGGGCAGAATATACCAACCTGGGTGCAATTAAAAAAAAATAAAAAATTCCCACCAAGAACAAAACAGAAAAATGTAATTGATTCTAAGGCATACAAATTTTTTTTTTCTGGGCAAAAATGTATTAAACAACTCATCCAGAACTCACAAGATGTTCTTGATTACACATTATAAAATGCTCTTCTGTAAAACATTCTCACAATGTTGATGATAACATTAAACTATGTTCTTAAACCAACATTTAAAAAATGTCTTCGAAATGCCATCAACTCCTCAGATGGTTGGATGTTGTGTTATAATGTTCCTGTGATGTCATTTATTGTAGAACATTTGCCTTTTCATCGAGGGAACACGTTGTAGAAGGTTTTACGATGAGATGTTTCCACGGTGATAACAACGGCAGGATGTTCTCAGTGCAACATTCAAAAAAATGTCTTCAAGATGTTATCTAGGCCTCGGATAAAAGAACATTTTCTGTCAGACATTCTGCCTGCAATGTTCAGAGGACATCTTGGTGATGTACACGTTATCTATAAAATGTTTCCACAGTGTTGTATGATTACAAAGAAAGAACGCTCTCGTAACATTTAGTTTTGAGAACATTGGGGCATAAGGGTCTAACACCGTTATCCCCAAACATGTTGAATAGCTTTTGTTGTCCTACCTTTATGTAGAACTTTGGGGAAACTAATAGAGAACATCCCACTGAGACTATTACTAGACCTTTGCAGATCATTTTGAGAATGTTTTTAGAACACGTGGATTCTATCTGGGAGGTTAATAATAACCACTTATCACATTGCACCAAATTTAGCTGCTCTACACAGGCTCTAAGTTACATTTAGAATAGATTTTAAAAATGATTTTGATGGTGTAGTTGCAGCTTATATTGAAGAGCTTCTTGAACCAAATGTCCCAGCTGATGCCCTCAGGTCCTCCAGAACCTCACTGCCGCTGTCGTGTCACTGCAATTCATAAAAATCAAGCAGCCTCCTCTGTTTTCACACTGCAAAATTACATCCAAGTAAAAACATACCTGTACAAACTCCCTCTAAAACATTTATTCATTCATGTAAGTGCAATTTAATATATTATTTTGTGTCTAATATATTCATTATTTCTTGCTGTTTTTACTTGTTCTGTGTTGCCTCTCAAGTTGCAACCACTGGGGCTGATTTTTTGGATGCAGCCAGTGAGCATTTCTTCCTCATACAGCAGCATTTGAGCTGCATTTGTCTAATACAATGGTACCCAAATGGGGTCAGACCCACGAGGTCCAGAAGACAAATTCAAAGTGACACGAGATGATTAAAAGCAGAAAAACACACATCTGCTAGGCCAAGTTACGCTTCCTTTTTTCAGACTTCGATCTAATTTTAACAGCCATGCTGCTAGCAGCGAGGCTCTGGGGACACTGATGTTGGTCAGTTGGTCAGTCAGACACCCCTTCGGTGCACACTGAAATATCTCAGACGACTGTCTGCATGGATCGCCTTAAAAGTAGGTGCAGACACTCCACGGCCGATCGTAAGTATATCTCCAGAGTTTTGTTTTAGCGCCACCAAGAGGTTGACATTTGGGATTTTTTGTGAAATGTCTTGGATGTATTTAAGTACAGATTTTCTCCTTCCCTTCACAAGATTGTAAATATGCTCAATACTTTGGTTTATGACCGACTACTGGCAATCCTGTCAGCCTGAGCTGAGCTAAGATGATTAGGTTAACATCATAGCTGCTGCACATCACATGTTAACAGCATCACTGCATGTGAGCACATCGCCTCACAGGGCTGCCAGCATGGCTCTAGTTTTTCTTTGTAAAAATAATTCAGACAAATCAAGGAAAAAGCTCCTGAACTGGTCACACTTGGTGAGGCACACATAACTGGTTGCAAGTAGATCTTGCCTCCATAGTATTATGGTGGTATATTAATCACACATTTTCCATGAGGTGTTGATGCAGCCACTGAATTTTTAATGGTGAGCAGCCACCAATAGCTGCACATATAGTATTGATCCACAGTACATGTTGCAGTCTAATTAACACACAGCTCTGATAAAGCCACTTCTTACTATCTGACTTTACAAGATTAATGGTGGTGTCTGCCGGCAGCGCAGGGTCGTCTCCCCCGAGTCCTGTAACGCGATTAGTCCGGCAGCAGTCGGACAGGACTGAGTCAAGTACAGCATCCGACTATAATGTTGGTGCCTCAGCCTCCACACAAGGTTAATGAGCAGCGGTGGTTAGTGAATTAATACAAGTTGACAGTGCATCAGTGTCAGCCCTCACAATTAGGGGTCTGAATAAATGTGTGATATGTGGGACATCTTTTCCCTCCCTTGTATGTGTGTTTGCTTGCTGGAGTACTTTTGAAGTAAGGTCAGTTTTTCAAATGTGTTTATGCCGTGCCCCGAGGCTGCATTTCATTTTATAGATGGCATTCTGAACGTTCATTCGATGTGACGTGTGGCGTTACAGTTAATGACAGTGTCACTAGTCAGAGTCCAAAACTCTCCTTGCTGATTTTAATGGGGAGAATAAGTCGGGATGTTGGAATGAATGCAGACACAATTAGCTGATTATTTGATAACTGGACCAAAACAAATTAATGATTAATTCAAAATCTAAGTCTTTTATAAGGGAACAAAACAGAAAACAAATGTTTGTTGATTCCAGTCTCTCAAATGTTGAAAGCAGATTTATTTATTTTCCAATTTTACATATATTTTTTTTTAATTCAGTAGCTTTGTTTGTGCTGCTGCTTGGACAAAACAAGACAACAAACAAAATAGAGAAAGAAATGTATTATATTTCCTGTTATATGAATGCGCCGTACTACTGATATAAACTTAACAAAACAAAGAAAGAAAAAAAGCTGCTTTCTTCTGAACTCTTCTCATTTGCAGTTGTTTAAAATAGCGTGTGAATACTTTATGTGATGCTTTCTTGTTGTCGTGTTACATTATGCATGACACACAAAGTGGCGTTTGTTATGCAGCCTACACTCACTGATATGAATAGGGTGGACAAAATAATAGAAATGGCTGTCTGCACGCTACTGTACAATTCAAAAACACTAACGTACAACCTTTAAAAGTGGTCAAAAAGCTGAATCAAAACCTATAATTATGTCTAAAACTATATTTAAGAAAAATAAATAAATCACAATATAGCCATCACAGAGGAACGCTTTATTGCAGAAGACTTATAAAGCCGATTAGTGAGTGTATATATGCAATTGGTTCTCAGGTCTTTATTTTTTGCGTGGTCTCAGCGAAATTTCCCAAATTAAAAATAATAATAATAAATAACAAAAACTAATCCAACAGGTTCTAGACTCAAGAAACTGACTTTTTTGTCTCTCTCTTTCTCACAATTTTGACATTTTCAGACCAAGCAATTAATGGTTTGTTTGTGTAGAAATGTATGTGAGATTAGATAAAACTTTATTATTCCAGAAGAAAAATCTTTGGACAGATATTGCTCAAAAATCCAAATTCATTAGGAAATGCATGTCCTTGTAGGAAGCACAATGCATTACTGAGAATACAGCAAACAAATTTAGAATAAGGCCGGAGAAAAGAAGATTTAGAAGAAATACTGGCAATGACACTGAGGTAGAAAAATATTACACATCATGATGAAAAATCAAATATTTAAATTTGTAGTAATATCCTATATGAATCAATTCTTAGAACAATTGTCTGTTGCATCCTTGTTACAATGTGATCCAATTGCTTTATTTTGAATAGTTTTAATGATTACATCTATATATAACCAGCTGTTTTCTTTATACTGTTGTAGAAATGTTTTGTTCTATCTATTTTTTCTGTGTGGAGGTGTGGGTTGCTGCAGGTTGGAGACAGACTGTTGTCAATTAATGGGATCCCAACTGAAGATGGCACTTTGGAGGAAGCTCATCAGCTGCTCAGAGACTCTGCTCTGGCTAACAAGGTCACAGTGGAGATTGAGTTTGACGTTGCAGGTAATTAAAAAAGGAAAAAAATGATTTCCTATTGTGAGATCTTGTACATCGACACTTTTTTTTGCTTTTTAATTTCTCTTTATTTTAAATCCCAATTTAGAGTCGGTGGTTCCCAGCAGCGGCACCTTCCACGTCAAGCTACCCAAGCGGAGAGGAGTGGAGCTGGGCATCACCATCAGCGGTGAGTGGGGTTTGGCAGCAAGACATTCAGCAGGGGGCAGTGTTGCTCAATAATATTGTAAATCTCCCTTTGAATCAATGTGCTGTGATCCATAAAAACTCGGCCTGCAAACGCATGAAGGCACATACCTCATTACCTCTGAATAATACTGGCCTGCACAAACATTCATCATTAGTCTTTCTGCTCTAACTAGCTCTGAAAAAACACAATCTGGAAGCTAAATTTGATCAGTGCAAACAAAAAGGCAGAGGAAACATTTAGTTAGAGCTGATATGGTTTTATCCTCATATTCTGCTGCTTAAAATAAACCAAACACTGTTTTTCTTCTGTGTTTTTTTTTATCAGCAAGTAAGAAACCTGGCAAACCCCTCATCATCTCTGACATCAGAAAAGGAAGCATAGCACACAGGTATGTCCTATCACCATGTAGAGCTGGTAGTATTACAAGTAAACAGTTTATTTCTCCAGTTCTCACACCATGAATCAATTTTGTAAGGAGTTAAGCAGTGACACTGTAGTGCCATTTCTCAACATTCCACAATTAGGGGTGAACATAATTTCTTGGCTTGTGTGGGAATATTGGTGATCAAAATAAAATTTGACGTGTCCACTGTGTGACAAAAGCCTAATTGGATTGAGCTATCAAAACTGGATCAGTAGGGCAGCGCAGCTACATTTCAGAAGGGCTCAGTGTTGATTAGGTTGAGGGTGAGGTTACGGTCACCCCCAAGCATCCCACTGAGACGCGAGGATAATAGGATTCTGATGGTGAGTCAGGTGGAGCAGCTCTCTGGTCCCAGTTTAATATTTGTGATCCTCTCCTCCCTTGTGTCCGGCAGAACAGGCACTCTGGAGCCTGGAGACAGGCTGCTGGCCATCGACACGGTGCGTCTGGAGAACTGCACGATGGAGGACGCCATGCACGTCCTGCAGCAGGCCGAGGACATGGTCAAACTGCGAATCCAGAAGGATGAGGACAACATCGGTACATGGATCAGTTAAAACACCAAACATGCCCACATCCAGTATACAAGATGGTGACAATTACACTGGTTTCTGTACATCTACGAAACCCTCACTGGTAAAACACCACCATATCTGCGTTCATTACTCACTATTCATAACTCCACCGATGCTCTTCATTCTAACAGTCTAATTAACCTCCACATTCCCAAAGTCCGTACCACTTTCGGTCGATCCTCATTCCAGTTTTCTGCCGTTTATGACTGGAACTCTTTGCAACAATCCCTAAAACTCACCTCATACCACTCTCGTTGTTAAAAAAAAAATCAGTTAAAGCAACACTTGCACTGCACCTGTTTTGCGTAATTTGTTTTGTAATATTGTGTGAGATGCTGTACATGTAATCTGTTTTTGCTGTTCATCTTGTTTGAATGCTGCCTCTTGACCAGGTCATTATTAAAAATGACAACCAGTCCTAACTTAACTTACCTGCTAAAATAAAGGTTACATTTTAAAAATAGAAGAAGAAACTTGGACATTTACACAAGCAGTTTTATCATAATTTTTCCTTTCTATGTTGACTCCACTACATTTGTTTGTCAGCTACCAGCTACTTTTCAGACAAAAAATAGCATATAGTGAGTCATAAAATAAATTAGATTGTCAAAGATTAAACCAGTGGTTGTGACCTTTTCATGAGAAAGCAGCGTCTGGTTGAGGCCCGAGGTCACACTTCAGAGGTCTGTTGTTAATCACTTCCCTTCCAACCCACTCATCTGTCACATTAATCTAATCAAAACTTAAAATTGTGATATTTCAGGAAATCGCTTTATTCTGCATGTCTTGTTTAAAAATTGGAGAAAATTTGTAAAACGAACCAACCAGGTACTGACTCGGCTACGGCCAAAAACCACATTACAAAAATTCTGTGATATTTCAGCTAAACTGCAGACATGAAATGAAACAAGTGTCGGAAACTAATTGAATGTGAATTGTCTATAGTATGTAAAATCAACATTTTTTTTCAATATTTGTATACTGTGGAGGCCCTTTTAAAAAAAAATTGTATATATGATCTCCATTTTTTTTTTAAATTATTGTAAAAAAAAAAATCAAACAAATTCATTTGCTTTTACTGTTTTGATTTATTGAATTCTAACTGTCATATTGCACATGAGACCTTTTTGAGTTCCCTTTACTTCTAGCCATGGAGCTGCTGTGTCCATTGACATGCAGGATCATTTTTTACTGAGCCCACATTGAGGAAGAACATGACGGGTGCAAAAAGTACCTGCTTGAGGTTCAGAGGTTTAATAATCTCATCATTCCTTAAATTTCTAATGTTAATCATTTGCAAAGTGTTCCAAGGTTTGGGACCGGTGAACTACTCTTTCATCATCTACCAGTTATTTACAATATTTTCTCAAATCATCTATCAGAAAATAACGACTAACATCTGTCACAGGTTTCCAGAGATTATAGCGAGATATTCACACGTTTGGTTGTGCCATCCAGCTGACTCAACTCCAAAGACATTACATTTCATATCTGAGAAAATGTTAACATTTCAAATTCTTTTAAATTTTATTTTGAAAATGACTAAACCATTAGACTATTATCAGAATATTAATAAGTTGATTAATTTTTTTTTAGTTGACAAATCACCTTCCTGTTTCAGCTCTGCACTGGACTCGTTTGCTAACTGTATATAAAGTAGTTCCCTATCTTCATCCTGACCTGCTACAGCAGCATAATACAGCTGATCAGTCACTCTTAATGTTATACTTTTCCAAAATCTTCACTGGCCTCATTTGTTCTGATCTTGGTTTCCACCATTTCTGTGTGTGCTGTAGATGAGTTGGAGATGTCTGGCTCCATAATCTACACCGTTGAGCTGAAGAGATACAACGGGCCGCTGGGCATCACGATTTCTGGCACAGAGGAGCCCTTTGACCCCATCGTCATTTCTGGCCTCACCAAGAAAGGTCTGGCTGAGAGGTGAGAGAAGCAAAAGAGAAGTGAGGAATGACGGACTGTGGGTCAAGGCAGCTATTTGGCAACACATGAAGCCTGTTACGGTCTTTGGTGGCCCTTTGGAAACTATAAAAAAGAGAGACGGAGGGACAGTAAACAATGGCTGTCTCGTATTTTTCCCTAACAAGAATCCTCTTTGTTTCCGTCTCGGTCAACGTGCTGGCAGCCTGACAGGTTTGCTGGCCTGCCTGTTGGTACTGTCTGGTATACTCTGATATCTGTGTCTCCTCTGCCCTGACCTTAACCCTGCAGGACCGGAGCCATCCACATAGGAGACAGAGTCCTGGCCATCAATGGGGTCAGCCTGAAGGGAAAGCCGCTGAGCGAAGCCATCCATCTCCTGCAGATGGCCGGGGAGTCCGTCACCCTCAAGATCAAGAAACAAGCCGATCGTATATATATTCTTTTTCCTTTTGTTCCAATCTTTTGCATTACTCTGTGGAAAATGATCTTTTAAATGCAGATATAAGGCAAAAACTAAACAACCGGAAAACTGAGAAATAAGACATTACATTAGCTCTTCTGTTTCTGTGGACCTAAGACATCACTTCTAATAAGTAAATCCCTTTTTTTCCCCAAATGTGTTTGTGTGTAATTTCAGGCTGCAGGTAATTTCTTGAACTACTTTGTTTGTCCTTACTCCTGTGGGAGGAACCTCCCTGTATGGCCAACATCCAGTTATACATTAAGTCATTGTATTTTGAGATTTTAAAAAATAAAATAAAAAGGTCATTGCATCACAAATCGATAAATATTTAAGACAAATTTTGCTCGACCATCTCTGATTTGGCTAACATTGTTATAGCATATAGCTATTAAAAAAGTTATGAAGTAATTTTGTTTGATAATATCAAATACTTTCAGCATGTTTTATTGTCACATTGACATTTGACCTGTGTTTGAAAGACATGATCTCACAAACTATGCAACAGTCATATATACAAATAAAAGCCTGAAATTTTCACTGTTATTTCTTATCATGCCATTTAGCTACTTGTCCATTATTGTACGTTCTGAATCCATGGCGTGGTGTGAAATAAGTGAACATTTCAGGCTTTTATCTTTAATACTTTCTGAGATATTGTCCTCCAAACATGGCCTCAAATTAAAAAAAAACAAAAAACAAACATGCTGAAAGTGAGTCGAAGGGCCTTTTTATTTTTTCAATTATCCCGCAGCACAGGTGCAAAGACATCCAAAGTTCATGATAAAGTTTTAATCAGAGATGGTCGAGCCGAAAGCGTTGATGATTTGAGATTGATTAACCTGAAAGAGTCGACACACTCTGAGAAAACAACGTATCACAAAGAGGAAAAAACAAGATTTTAAAAAGAAGCCATGTGTTTGTTGCAGTGTTTTACTTAAGTTTTTTTTTTTGCATTTCTTTCCTGTTTAGTGCTGATTCGACTCCTGTTTTGTTTCAGAGTCTGACGGCCGCCATCTTGACAGAGAAGTTGGGTTTTTAAGTGACACAGAGGATGAACTGACAGACTCTCAGAAGACCAGTAAACACTCAGAGGTTTACTCTGCCAATGTTCCCAGTATAGACTCTGCCATGAGCTCCTGGGACAGCTCGGGGTTCGATGCCGGCTACGGTAGCCAAGGTGAAGGCCACCGTTTACATGCTGTCTAAGAAGCACCCATTGACTTCCTCTCATTTAGAAAGATCAGTGAGATTTTTTTATTTATTTATTTTCTTGTAATGTAGGGACGTATCTCCACAAAGCATCCGACATACTGCTTAATCCAAACGAGTGGAGGCGCACAAAGCACAGGAGCCAAACCAGTTCCAGTTCTGCAGGCCTCGTCCACCACACAACGCTGTATGATGGGAGATTTACTGAGGATGAGTGGGACAAGATACCTGGGTAAGTGCAGCAGCCCGGGGTCTGTTCCAGAAAGCACCATCACTTCAACTGTCTGAAGGAGCTGCACATCAGTTCACAGACGTTTAGGTCAGGAGAGGGATTCTAGTAATTTACTGCTCCTATACCCAATCAGTCTTTATTATAGCTACAATATAAAACTGGAGATTATGTGAATATTTCTGAAGGATAATGATTGTCGTGATTTTTAAAACTGTACAGAGTACTTTAAAAGTGAGGTTTTACGCATAGTGTTAAGATTTTTCCCAGCATGTATGTTTATTATGACTGACTTCCTGAAATTTAGTCATTTAATGCTGTTGAACCAAGATTTATATTTAAAATTAACCTTTTACAAATTGACAATCAGGTGCCTTTTCAATATTAAATCACAAAAATCCTTTTCAACTGGGCCAATCGACGAACCTAATCTCCATCATTTTTGTTCCTTTGCCGCCTGAAACTTGTCCCAGTCTGGTGTCAAGTGAACAAATATGTTTAATCTGTAATATTCAGTCACTCCATCATCCGCCGCAGAAATTAAATCATAGTTATTTGTTTGTTACGCCTGCTTTCTGGAACCAACCTGTAGTTTCCTCCTTGTAAATATCTTGTTGTATGTCAGTGCAGCTGTAAGTGGTTTCCTGTTTCTTTTACTTTAAATAATATTCTATGTACAAGCAAACTTTACTGTAATTTATTTTTTGTTTCCCCTCTCTTTGTGTTCATTGACAAAAGCAATTTGCACTCTTTAAATTACTTTTCTTGTCATTTTGTGTTGTATGTTTTCACGTTTTGTGCTTTTCCAAACTGTCCTTTTCTCTTCTTTCTCAGGTATTCTCTCTCTCATCTGCTTTACTAACTGCCCACGAGCTCTTTGGTGTTTCACATAGATACATCTTTTTCTGTCACCCCTTGTCCACATTCAAAAAAAAAAACAAAAAAAAAGTTTCCTCAGAAAAAGTCCCCAAAGGGCCCAAGGATACATCAGCCTTATCTGTCTCTTCTTCACACTTGACTTCTTTTTTCCTGAACTTTTGTGTCACATGCTTTCATTTTCCTGCATTTTTTTTTTCTTCTTCTTCTTCTTTTTGGAGGGCGACATTACTTTCATAAGTCTGAACTCTTTAAAGGCTTTAAATCTAGTGGACTCTCAGTGTTGCGAGAAATTTACGGTAAAACCCTCATTGAGAGATTTTCAAAGGGACTCTCCAGCTACTGCGGCCCCAAAAACTGCATTTCCCATGCTGCTTTTGTACGCAGCAGCGGCCTCCAGACTGCAGGGCTGCTCTCATGTTCTGGTTCCTGCATTGTCATAGATTCGTCAGCCCCCCTCGTTGCCATGGCACCCTGAACCAGGAGGACAGCTTCTGGTCCCAGGCTCTGCAGGACCTCGAGACCTGCGGCCAGTCAGAGATTCTCAGGGAGCTGGAGGTAGGATCGCCATCCCCCCCCCTTCTTGTTCTTTTTCTTCTCCTCCTCCTCCATCTGCTTTGCCCTACTCCTATATTCAGACCGGTGTCAGCCTAAATGAACATGCCAGATGAAGCATTATGATAATCACCAGTGTGTAATCTGTTATTAAATCTGACAAGACAAGCCGAGCACCTGCTGCCATACTGACCGAGGAAGGCTTTTGCACAATGCCTTGGCCTCTAATCTGTGTATGTTGCATGAGCGTGTGTGTGTGTGTGTTCAAAAAGAAAGTTAGTTTTTCTTTTTGAATGCACGATGCTGGAGTAATACTTTTTTTGTTTTTTCTTTCTCCCTCTTTCAGGCATCCATGACAGGTAGCGCTCTTAGTCTGTACCTAGAGGAGACCAAGACCAATGAAGACTCAATGTTTCACTCAGAAATTAGTCCCATCAAGAGAGAAGGAAGACACGGCGAGACTAAAAACAAAAGCAGCCTGAACATGTCGACTGGCGCCAGAGACGTACCGTCCAGGGTCAAAGGGGAACCCTCTGACATCTTGTCCCCTACAGCCCTGGCACTGCACAAGGTGATTTTTAGGAAACGTCACTTCAGAATTTGTTAATAAAAATGCAAACTTCACAACACAGCTGCTGTTGAAGGGACGTAAAAGTGAAGTCGAACATCACGTCGTTTGATCGCACGCTGGATTCCAAAAGAGTGTAAACTAGGGAAAAAATACAATATAATTATCTCACACAATCATCCACCTATTTTATGTATGTAAGTTGTGTGCACGAGGCTTTGGTTCATTGTAAACATGCTCTTTTGCACAGATCTACATCTGTACATAGCTGAAGGCTCATTTTCCTATTTCAAATTCCTTGTATGTGTACACTCACTTGGCCAATAAAACTGATTCTGACAATAAGGATATAAAGTCAAATAACAACTCCATGTTTAACAAACATCAAAGTAAGTTTACGGATCACATTTAGCCTACGTTTCTTTCCTTCTTACCTGGCACTGCAGCCGTTAACAACAAGTAAGCAATCAATAATTAAAATGTTTAAGGTCCATCTTAAGAACAAAGTGTCGCTCCCTTGATCTCACTACTTCCCCGCCTTGCGCTAGTATATACGGTAGGTACCCGCTAAATATTTTATTGATGGACCACTATACAATTCCACCGTAATTTGCTGGCTGTAATCTCAACCTGTGCCCAAACATTTCAGCAGAAATGTGATCAGCTGCACTCGGTGAACACGGCACAAACAGCAGCGTCCTGTGGGAATGTGCCCGTCGTGAACTTATACCTGCGTGCCTCCTTCACTTGACTCGCTGCTCCTGTCGGTACAGTGTAACTGGACCCAGTGGATACCTGGCCAGTCAGGACTTGCAGTGGATTCGCGCTCATTACACAACAGTACCTGAGCTGCTGCGCCTGCTGTGACCCCACACGGCGCCCGTATGCTCCCTGAGCTGTGTCAGCTGTGTTCTGACTGGCGATAACAGCACATCACAGGCCCTGCAGTGTGGAAATTAACGGTGTTTTGAGTTGACACAACTTGGGTGATCTCATGGAAAGTAATGTCTCATTCCACCATAAAGCTGTTTGGTTACGATCAAACCTGTTTCTTTTATGGGGAACATCCAAATTCAAAGAAAAAGATGTGACATGGAGGTATGTGACTGTTTAGTGTTTACAAATGGAGTGGACACAGTAAAAGACACACTAAGAAGACAACTGCATGGCGTAGAACCAGACTGTTTATCTCTGTCTTGTTCCTGAACCGAGCTGGCTCAAGTACAGACACGACACCGATGTTAATCTTCTCATCTAACTATTTAATCATACGGACCAAAATATTTAAACATTCAACCACAAAATACCCTCTTCCACACTCTTAACTTCACTCTGTTGAACTGTTCTTTTTCTTTCAAGGTTTTTTAAGGGAAATGTAAAAAAAACTTGTAAAAGCAGCCACCACTTAACAAGCAAATATACTGTAGTTGTGAGACTCTGGAGAAGCTTTGTCAGGTCTGAAAAAAACAACTCTGATAATGTCTTCAGTGTTATCTCTGCTGCTGTTTTTGTAAAGAACCTATTGTGCACTGGTGATGTGGTGTTTTGTTCGTTTTATTTAATGCAGTTTTTATACACATTTGCTGTGGTAAGCTGTAACTGTGTCAACTGAGCCTCGAAATGTTCTATGTATAATCTATGCAACTCTAATTTCCCCTGTGTTTGCAGGTGACTATCAGGAAGGACCTTGAGAGCCACGACTTTGGTTTCAGCGTATCAGATGGGCTCCTGGAAAAAGGGGTCTACGTGAACATGATCCGGCCGGATGGCCCAGCTGACCAGGCCGGGTTAAAACCTTTTGACCGCATTCTTCAGGTACTGTTTGACTTTTTAAAGTCAGCTTTAAAGGAGTAGTTTGGCATTTTTAGAAATATTGTTTCTCTCTTTAAATTACCAAGAGTTAGATGAACAGATTGATGCCTCTCCCATAGAGTCCAGTATGTGTAGCTCCAATATGAAGCTGGGGCCAGAATACAGGTAGCTTAGCTTAACATGAAGTATGTGACAAGACTGAATCTGTCTGAACATAACAAAACGCAACTCCCAGCATCTCTAAAGCTTACAAGTTAACTGCTTATTAACATGTCTATACAATAAATAAGAGGAAAAACAGTAGCAGATAGTTAGCTTAGCATTAGGATTAGAAGCAGGGAGAAATGGCTAGTTAGTATAAAGACCATTATATCATGTAGTCTAACTTTGTAGTTTTGTTTTTTTAAGTTTATCTTTTATACCATTTTCTGTCAGATTTTATTTTTATAGTTCTTTTCACGGAGCTTAGCAAGTCTGTGCTTTACAAGTGACAAATAATACCAGGGCACACAAGAAATAAAAATAATGGAAACCAATAAAGCAATCAGAATAATTTAAATTGCAAATTGTAATTGCAGGAATAAAAAAATTTAATGAATGCATTCCCAAAATAAGGGCGACAAAACTTTCCAATCAAAAGCGAGGCTACACATGTAGGTTTCAGGTTAGTATTTAGGTAGTTTATTACTGTTTGTTCTCACACAACTTGCTGAGAAACAGTTTCAGGCCCTCAGGTTTAGGTTGTCCATTGTTATGCTGCTGCAAAACTTAAATTCAATTAAGCTTTTGCTAGTAAAGCAATGAGCAAATGTCCCCATAATGTGAAACTATTCCTCTACAGAAAGGCAAAGTGCACTGGATGATAATTAAATTAGTTGTGATCTTCCAGGTGAACCGTGTGAGGACCAGGGACTTGGACTGCTGTCTAACTGTGCCCCTAATTATGGAGGCCGGAGGCAGCCTGGACTTGGTCATTAGCAGGAATCCACTGGCAGCGGGCGACACAGAGCTGCCCAACAACTGTGACGACCCCTCAAGCTCACTGTTCTGCTTTTCCAACCACAGGACCAACAGCATCGCCCTGTGACCACAAAGATAGGCACCAACTGTTGAAGCACAGCAGCGCTGGGACCTCACACACACACACACACACACACACTCACACACGTCACTCATGGTTAAGTTCGTCACATTGTACCTCTCAGACAGACCTTTACACTCATGTTCAGCACGCAGAGCATCCGCAGAAAACAGCCACACTCTCTCCGCCTGAAAGCATCGCTCACTCACAAAAGCTACAAGTGCATGTGTTCACCATTGCTAGTTTTAGTCACTCTGTTCACATGATGCAGTTCAGAGGAGGTTCTGGCTTTGGGGCAGACACCCCCCTCCACCTCCCTCATCCCTTCCCTCTCCACAGGCAAAGCCACATGCAGCGTTATATAACAGGAGGAGTCATAGCTTCTGATGGGGCCAGGATGTCAGCACACACGCCTCGGCTCTGGAGAGGATCAAATGCTGCACACATTCGCCGCATAAATTTACTATCTTTTGCTTTAATGGGCTTTATGTTCTCACCGAAGGAACATTAACCCAGTTTTCTTTTTCTTGTGCACAGTTGCTCAAAGAGGACCCAAATGAGTATCTGCATATAAAACGCTCACAGAGACACACACACACACACACACAGGGTGTTAGTGGATTCACGGTTCAAGGCACGTTGCACCTATTTGAGTAATTTCAGACACGACTTGGCTCACTGCCTTCGTTTCCAGTCTCTCTTCCACACTGCCTGCCCTAGAGAGGGGACAGTGCCTCCAAATAGACAGAAAGCTGTCTGATACTTGCCAAGTATCATTAACTATATTTTAAAAGCCTCTTATATCTTAATACCACGAATGCTTCCGAAGACGCTCTACCCTCTCTGTTTTAAAGTGGGTGTCCATTGACGGAAGGATAGATAATGTTTGATTGGTTCCAGAGAGACTTGATGTTTGTGGTTTTTTTGTTTGTTTTTTTGTTTTTGTTCTGACACGTTTCCAAAGATATAATTTTCAGGTTTCACATTTCGCGCATGTTTTCTTTGTGACACTGCATCTGCACACCTCCCTTTTCCCATTTTCACTTTCAAAGCATGAGCCCGTCTTTGTACGCGGCTTTGCACCAGATTGACTTGTGGTCAGTCACTGATGCTCCCGTAAGTGAATCACATTGTTTTCAGAAGCACAAGATGAAAGGCCTTTCAATTTTCGATGATGGATGATTTCACTTCACATCGGACTCATTTGGTTATCGGTTATTTCCTCTCTGCAGTAGCTGTTTCTCCTACGATTGTGTATAAGCATGTTAAGCATGCATAAGGCTTGTCCTTGGCGAGTAGCTCTTCAGTATAATAATTAAAAAAAAACAAAACTATTGGAGTAATGTCTGCTTCAACAGGATCTTTGTGAGAGTGCTACCCTTTTTTTTTTTTTTTTTATCATGACCTGGTGTTTTTATAAAGCTTTTGTGCAGGAAATGTGTCCTGCTGATCGCGCTGACCGCCTGGGAAACAAGAAAAAACTTGTTTTTAATTCCATGTGGTGGCTGATGTGAACATCTTGAGATAGTTGCATTGTTGCATATAGAGCAGCCTTAGAGACTGGTTCATCCATGGGAAGGTACCCTTTTGATTTCAGACTTTATGTCTTCTAATCAATGTCATGTTGTATACAGAGGCCTATTTTTAAGGTTTTATATTAATTTATTGTACAACACTAAGTTTACTGTAAAATACATCATGGTATGCAGTGCTTTATTTTTTATTTACTGTACATGCACATGCAGTGTAGTATCTTCATTTAAGTTGTGATACAGAATGTGATTGTGCATTTCTTTTTCTTCTTTTTTTCTTTTGGTTGATTTCCACATCCTCCTCCCGGAATATGTCAGGAATCGGTTCAAAAAAACTTGAAAGAATTAATGGATATTATTTTATTTTTGTTATTTAACTTATTAAGTAAGAAATGTATTTCTTTTTATGGAAATAAAGTTATGAGACCGTAGTTGATGTTGCCCTGTTTTGTGTTGATGTAATTAACATGGACTCAAGCAGGTGTGATGCAAAGTTTTGGTTTAAGATTTTAAATCAGCCAGCCTACTATTTATCTTTAAGCTTAAATATCCTATTAACTGTTAGATGGTTTAAGTTAGGCATTGATGATCTCCAGAGGTTGAAACCTATGGGTTGTCCATCCAATTCTTTCTCCACTGGTGCCACCACAAAGTTGACATTTTTTGCTATTGATAAAACATCTACATTATTGAACAGTTATCCGTGAAATCTGGCAAACACATGTCCTCCTTAGGATGTATTATAATTTTAGTGATCACCTTTGCATTGTCACTATCGTCAACTCAGTTTTTCAAGGCCCCATATTGTGCCCTTTTTAGCAAATTAAAAGTGTTGCATGTTCCCAAAATAGGGATTTCCAATTTTTCAGGTCAAGATACTGCAAAGAGTTTGATGGTTTATGCTGCGTTGAATGTCAGCCCTGTTCTAAAGAGGTCTGTAGCTTTACATGCAGCTGAACTGCTGGTGTCTACACCCACTTCAAGAAGAAGATCTGAGCCTGAATGAGTATGTGAGGCCAGGAGCGTTTAACTTTCTGAGTGTTTACAAGGAAATCTCGTTGAATTCCGGCCACAGGCACTGTTGACATCAGTAGCTTAGCGATGCAGAGCAGCAGCCTGGAAATGGCTCTGGGGTGCTGGTTTACATACAGTCATCATGGGCTGCGTTTTGGTCTCTATTTCATAGTCGTTTGATTATCTGACAACTGAAACAAAGAAATAGCTTTACTGGGAATTTGGCTATTAAAATGCAGTATATGTGGGAACAGAGAAGCAGGAGAGAAACACACAGATGCAAACATTGGCTTACTTTAGGTTGCATGGATGCACAACAAGGAACATGAAACACTGAGGATTTGCCTACTGTTGTGGTGAAATTACCGTCAATAATGAAAGCAGTCCACTGTGTCTTCAGTTCCTCCGATGCTGTGAGTGCATGTACACTCTTGTGTTCACTCTCGCAGCCAACAGTAGAACATTTGGTGGGTTTTGCTCATGGTTGAAACACTTTAGCAGAAGCAGCTCTACAAAGTAAATAAACATGGTGAACTACCAGTCAAGTGTTCATTCTGACAGGCTCACTTGGAAGCACAGGGGGCTGTGAGCAAGCAGTATCATTATTTGCTTCCTCAGTTGGAACGTAGCAGGTCAGTAAAAATTCTCATTGGCTTGTAAAGCTGGGACAAGATCTAGTTGTGTTTGGGGGTTTGAGGAATGCTCGCAAAAAAGGATTTTCACCATATGGGACGTTTAAATGACCAAATATCAGCACATATAATGACTCTTACATCAAATTTCACACATCTACTTTGTGTTTATCATTAATTAGCAAATGCTAGAATGCTTACTATGACCTAACAAGCAAAGACAATGAATTTTACATGCTAAATGTTGGCATTCTCATTTAACATTTAGCTAAAAGGTTTGGTGAAGCTGTAATTAAAGTTAATAGCACTCATTTAAACACCACTACATGCTAATTGCCATACTGTTTCAGCACCACAGAAAAATCTTAAGCTTTATTTTAAATTAAACTAAGAGGAAACAATGCAGTGTGTGGTTTACTGCTACTCTGGAAAGCTACTGCCAATTAAACAATGTTTTTCATAGATTTGGTGTTTAATTCCTGTTTTCTAAAACGTTTCAAAGCTATTTTGCCACTTACAATTTCTTACATTTTCTCGACAAGACATTTCCATTCTTCTGTGAGTATACCTGATTTTGACACTTTTCAAATGTGGACACACACATGAACCATACACTATAAATCTGTATGGATTTGGAACACAGCATTATTCGGATATTTTGTGGATTGCTAGACTTTGACCCAATAAATCTGCAAATATTCAGTTAAATCAGCAAGTGGTTGATGGCTCTCTGGTGGACCTTTGAGCCTTTAGGAAAAGTAGACTTTCATTGAAGAAATTAGCCATGACTAATAATTTCTTTGCATATCACCAGATGGTGTTCAAATCCTAAATCTTAAAAAAAAAAAAAAAAAAAAAGCTGGAAGGACACAACTTTGTGTTATATTTGTCAATCAAAAGCACAAATATAATGTTTTTATCAGATTAAATTCACCTTCAGTGAATGAGCAAACAAACACTTGACTTTAACAAATCCAACACAAAATATGAACTTCTGACTTGCTTTTCGAAGAAACGCATCTGCTGCTGTTCTATTTCCACAAAGCATTTGGACGCCTCAAATCCTTATGCACCCATGCAAATCTGTGGAGACTCGATGTGTTTGGACGGACACTGCAGGGGCATGGCCAAATAAGCCAATCTCATCTTTGTGAGGGAAATGTCAATGCAGGTGGAGGCGGGGGTGATTGATGGTGGGAGGAACACCGCAAGAAATGTAGGACAGATGTCAATGAGCCATCACAGGGAACAGGGAGAGGTGGGAGTCAGGGTGACATTGGTGGCCTTCAACAAAGTACATTTGAATAAATATAGTTGGCTATTTTCGGAGTGGAATCGAGATGTATTGTGATTTGGACAAGTGGCAAAATCCAAAATAGTATTGATGAGAGCTGTGATGATATCCAGCAGGACATTCCTGCATGACCTGTACGTGATATTTCACTAAATTTCAGTCTCTGTGCAACCTCACACAGGCTAGATCTGCTTTTAGCAAACAGCTCTTTCAATATGAAGTTGAAAATGTAGCTATCAACACTAATATTCTGGAAAACCTAGAGAGTAATAGTACAGATATAAATGTGACCAACATCAGGACACAGTCAAAGTAGAAACCTCAAATAAAACGGAATCCGATCTTTGAATAATACATGTCACATCCATTCTGAAGTGTACAGTATTAGACATATGTAAGCTGAACTCTAGTCCAATGCCTAAGGCGATTTCCTACCAAATTCCACTGTGTTAGCTACATTTAGCTACCCAGACTCAGCAATAAATGCCTAATAAGTACCCGATTCATATAATGACATAATGCCATCTATCATGAGCGGTGTTATGGTGTGAGTTTAGGACATGTCATTTACACTATGATTATTTCAGTCTCATAAATTTAACTCAGGCATATATAAAGGGTAAGAAATACACAGAGTGGTTATTTTACTAGGTACATACGTGCTATGTAATGCAATTTAATACAGCTGCCCTGCCATAACATCTATCTTTATACATTATAGGCATCATGAATCGTAATAGTACAGCAGACTTTATGGTGGAAATATGCACTGGATGGAAGTTAACGGTGCAGGTGTTACTAATAAAGCATATATAGTTCAGTGTCAGATGGACATCTCTCTGCTTCGCAGGTTTGATGATGTATACATTTCTCAGAGGCATTCATGTTAAGATTAAAAAAAAAAAACAACAACAACTCACAAATAAATCCAAAGAAAAAGATGTTTATTTAATCTATATAGAAATGATGCAATGTGCATCTCAAAGGGGAAAACTGTGAGACAAAAATACTTTGGTACAGTTGAATTTCTGAGTAGCACAAGATTTTCATGGAGAAAGTGACACGGTACTGTGTTGGCTTCTGCACGTGCTTCCTTCAGATTTTTTTTCCATTTAGTTGTGCAAGTTGTTTCATTATAATCATCATGCATTTTGAATGAGCAGAGAATCCCACTGCTTCACTGAGTATTGCACACTGACAGATGTAATCCAGGCTCACGATATCTGATATTTAGAAAACACGTTGGTGAGCTTTCAGCAAAATAAAGAATCAGTGATGGTGTTCAGATGATGTACAGTATAAAATTGTTACAAAAAGGCATATGTGATTTACAAACATTTCAAATTCTACAATACAAATATAACTGAACATTAGAAGCTAGAATCCAGTGGTAGTTCTGCAGAGCACGCCTGCTACTGAAATGAGCACAATGGAGAGAGCTGTCAGTGATGGTTTTACTTTGTAAGTGATGTTCTCACAGATCCGATAAGTAATTATAAATCTGAATATTTGATGTCAGATTTCTACTCTATTTTGTCATTTTTTTTCTAGCCAAGAGACAACTAGATACTGTATATCAAAGTTTACAATATCAAAAAGTTAGAAGCTAAAAATATTTCCTCCTGAAATGTGTTGCAAATGTAACTGCAATACCTTGCAACAATAAAAACAAATACTACAATAAAGGTGAAACGACATATAAAGTGCAAAGAGAGGTTTCAATAAATGCACTGGGACTGACTATTGTAGTCACACAGGCAGTGTACAAATACTTTAAAAATGCCACTTCCCTTTTCTCCTTACTTTTTCTTCCGTAGCTGTTTTTTTCTCTTTTATTATTTTGTTTCAACTGTTTTTCAGGATGGATATTCTTATGAATGCATTTCTCACAGTATTTGGCCAAGGCCTTGTTCAACTTGTAACGTAAAGGATGTTAAGCAAAATTAAATCTATACACTGCATATCGCCACTCGACATGTTATGGATATGTACTCTGAGACATGTACGTGGCTTCGCTTCCGCCGCTCGCGGAGGTACATTCATTTTCATTGTGGGATGAAAAACAAGAGATTAGAAATTAGCTGGGGCAACAACACTGCCACAATCACATGAGGGTCTTTAGACGTTTTCTACCTTTTTCCACGGTTAGTTACCCATTTAGTTTGCTGAATTTATGAGAAGGGAGAATTTTCTCTTTTTTTTTTTCTATTAACACCAATAAAAGCAAATTCCTCATCCCTCCGGAATCAACAGAAAGGTAGTAAACATTGAAATATTCTATTTTAAAATACTGCCTAAACTGATATCAGTGCCAACTACAGCAACAACAATTGTAACATCAACAATATCAATATAGTAAAAAAGGAAAAAAAAAAGAAAAAAAAAAGGAAAACAAGAGAAAAAAAAAATTACAACAATAATATATAACTCTCTTCATAGAAATCAAACCAGAGTATCTCTAACGTGAATATATTGGACAATGTAAACCTACCATTATCAAAATTAGCAAATATGATAATAACACAGAAAGCACATCAATCTTATTCCTCTCACAGAGAGCGCTCACATCATTGTTTCTACAATGGTGTGGGTGGGCTTGATCAAGCCATTGTTCCCGTTTGGGTCCAGGGGCTGTGTCAGCTCGCTGCCCTTCAAGTTGTACTCTTTCGGGCGAGAGCTCACGCCTGACTTCGCTGGGGCTGCCACCGCTTTGATCCTCTGCGGGAAGGAGACGAGGGTTTAGATTAATGAGCGTCAGAAACTGAGGCGGGTTCAAGGCTCAGAATGACATCAGCAGTTGTGCATGTGCGGAAATTCAAGCCTTTTTAATTTAACACTCAGTGGGTTGTTTCAATAGATGCACCAGTGACTCTTCAGTAAATCTGATCATCGACACTGCTCACATTTCTGTAAGTTAAATATGGAGCTGGTGGAGTGTTATGTAGCGGACCAAAATGGGTTTGGCAAGTTTGCATTTGAAAAAAATAGTACAATGGATATCTTCCAGTTGGAAGAGATGATTTTGTTGCTGTCTATTAATTCAAGATTTCATTGAGCTGTGACCACTTCTCGAGACATTACATTTAGGTTAATGTTGGCCAACATTAGCAACCAGTAGGTGACTGGTAGCTGTTTATAGGAGATTGCAGTGTTTATCTTGTGAACAGATTTGGCAGAAGTTTTAAATGGGTCATGCACACACCTACATGAGCAGATTTGAGGGAAAATTGTGTGTCTGAATAACTACAAGTTGTTTGCATCAATATTCATGATGGAGCAGAGTTAGCTGGCGACATGTCTTTAGCTCGTTCTTCTCACCTTCAAGTTTTACATTTGTAAAATCTGGCATTGTTCAATCCAATTTGCTGAAGATAAACTGCCTTGACGAAGGACGGTTATGTTTTAATGAGAACTGTTTGCCTTCCACCAAAGTTTGGAAGTTAGGAAGATTACCAAAACTCAGCCTACTGAAGTCTGCAGCTCTCACTGAGTGACTCATTTTGATACTTTGGTTTTTGCACAGATTAACCCTCTGAACCCCAAAACTCACTGGTGGGTTCCAAAGGCACGTTATCTTAAAAAAGAAAAAAAAAAAATCACCAAAATAATACTAATTAGTTTACCAGAGAATATATAGAAACAGAAAAAATTCATAGCTTTCTACCTCGCTTTGAACTACTCATCTGTAATGTAAACTAAACCAAATCTAAGTTTAAAGTTAAATTTAAGCAAAATGTCTTTACTCTTTTTAAGTGCAAAATCTCTTTCTAGCATCAACTATTTACAGTAGCCAGAGTCTGCAAAAAACAAAAAATGCAACGCTCCTCCTTGTAACTGGCAAGTCATTCATGGCTCGGCTGCAAAAATGTCTGGACTTTTCGGCTGAACTGGGCTGAACTGGGCTGAACTGCAGGCTGTGTTCGCACAGAAGGAATAATAAACAATTGCTGTTTTTGAACAGAACCAGGAGAACTGTTTCCTCTCTGTTTCTAGTATTTATGCTAAGCTAAACTAACCTGCTCTTGGCTCTTGTGTCATATTCTACAGTTATACAGTTTCATTTAGCAGACCCTTTTATCCAAAGCGACGCACATCTGAGAGTAGATGCAACACAAACAAGGATCTAGTCAGGAGAAAACAATCTAGATAAGTGCCATAGAACAAATTCAAGTGTGATAGGGTGTTGATGCCAACAGCAGGCCGTGTGGGAGGTAATAGGATTTTTTGTTTTTTTTTTGTTTGTGTTTTTGTTTGTTTGTTTTCGAGCTGTAAAGTGTAAAGGTGTTCAGTGAAGAGCTGGGTCTTTATATTCAGGGTATATACATGAGTGGTATCGATCTTCTCACCTAAATCTTGGCAAGAAAGTTTCAAATAAAAACAGAATGTCAGCTCACCTCAATCAGAGGTCCCTCAGACTGTAAGATCTTGATGACCATCACCATTGGGATGCAGATCATGGAGGCCAGGGCCAAACACCAGCCCAGACCGATGGCCCAGTCAGGGTACTCATACACCTTGTTGTAGGTCAAGGGCTTGTACTTCACCAGGGAGAAGACAAAACAGCCCTGGAAGGGGGACAAAAACACATGCTGCATTTAGTTCTGAGCTCTACCCCTTCCTGTGACCTTCAAAGTTCATCAACATTTGTCAAATGTCAGAAATGACAGTATCTCCAAACCCCCCCAATACAATAAAGTGACACTAATCTCTCACCATGCAGAGGACAGGAGTGATTATGGTCCAGCTCCATTTCATCCATGGGTTTGGTCTGTAGCCAATCATATCTTCAATTGCGTCATAGAATTTATCAACTCCTATCCAACACAAAGACAAGGAAGAACAAACTGAGTACATGAAGTAATTTTGTAATCATGAATATTGCACTTACAACAGCATCGGTTTCCACTGGACATGTGGCATTGTTTCAAATTTCAGAATGACCTTCATCTACCTGTTGAAATTAGCAGGTTTATGAGCCCTTATCTTAGTTGTTTGTCATAAACTGGACCATTTATTTCCACTAGGTCATGTGTATAAAGTATAAACAGTCTTGACTTTGGCTGTTGTAACTATCTCAGGAGGCCATCATTTGTCTTTACTGACTGTTGATAGTAGTTGAGTGTGTGTGCTGCCTCATGCATGACTTGGTGTACTCCTCTGTTATCTTTATGAGGTTAAGTTGTTTTATTCAGTCTTTACTATGGCATTCACTGCAACTATTGCATCTATTGTGAAAGGCTGATATGTCTACGAGCACTGAACCTGTCAGCTATAAAGTAATGTTCCTCTCTCATGTTGTTCATATTAAAAGTTTGCCTGCTGCTACATGCCAACGACTGCCGAGGGTTAATGAGTATTTTCGTATTTAGTTTAGCTCACCATTCCATACTGTAAGTCAAAACATGACAAAGTTAAACCATATTAAAAATAGAGCCCATGACATAGTTTAAGTTTTATATTTAAGTTTCGATTTGAGTTTAAAGTTTCTTCGCTATGCTACCATTTCCATTAGGAATCTTGTTTATAGAAAAAACTGGAATGAGAATACAGATTTTGATCTCTTTTAGGGTCCCTTAGGTTGGGAACCACTGATCTAGGACACAGAGCCTCCATTCTCGACTAACAAAAATAAAAGTCCCAAAGAAGAGGTCCTGTGTGACTCAAACACAGTGGCATTAGCAGGGGCGATGCAGTGTCGCTTTGATTCCATTCGTCTCAATGTTCTTCCTTCATTAATAACAGAAGGTTATTATCTGGTGGGAGGCAACTCTGTAGCCAATGACCGTCTAGGGTTGGACCAACTCCATCCCCACCGCCCCTCAACCTCAACACACCCCTGCAGTTAAACTTATTTACTACTGACGTGTAAAAAACCCACAAGGATGCCTTTGTTTACCACCATAGAGATCATTTGGGCCTTTATGCCCACCTCTTCTGGATCATTACTTACAGAAATCTATCGTATATAGAGTCCACTTACCATAAACCCAGGCTACAGCAATGCATTCAAAGAATGCAACCCACAAAAGGCACACACCACTGGCTGCATAGTAGTCGAAGAGTTGAAACACGTACATGCCACCCTGGAAAAAGAAAAAGACAGAAAGAGGCATTAATTATCTCTCTGATGTGTGTGGCAAGAAAGAAAGTCACAGAGATAAAAGAGGGCATTGAAGCAGGGTGGGCAGAGATGTTGAAAGCAGGACACAAGAATGCTGGCACCCAACCAATAGAGGCAGAGTTCAACAGGTGCTGAGACGTCATTGGAGAACAGTTAACTGCTAAACGGAAAACAGCATTCCAAATTGTTCCATTCAGACACGCAGGATGTGAGTGGTGAATGTGGTAGGAAGCCATATTTGGTTGTGACAATGCAGCAGCACACAGGCATGTGGAAAATCTGTGGCGTTATCTCTGCTGTCGATCCAAATGCACTGAGTCTCTTTTCCTTCTCCAAACAGGATAAGCAGCTAAAGCGAAAGTGCAGAGGCTCGATGGATGACGTGAACGTACTTTCGTTACCATGGCGAGTCCCAGGAGATAGCTCATGAAACACATCACAGCTATGAAGATCTCGCGCCGGTAACCTTTCCTGAGGAGGTCTGGATACAGATCCACAATGGAGGTGATCTGTCCTTCCACTTCAACAAACTGTGGGGGACAAAAGCAACTGTTAAGTTCTCAGAGGCATAAAAAAAAAGCTTTTTCTGTGTGCAAGCAGCTCTTGTTTTGCCTCTACAAACCAGTGGTTACAGAGTGAGAGCTGTCTTTGTTGGGCTGTAATGAGCATTGAAACAAGGCTCCTCTCTGCAACACTGGTTTGTTGCTACCAAGACAGAACAGAAACAAAACAACAGTGAAACACTGTCTCTGTTTTCTTGTCTCTGTAGTGCTCGTGCATCTCCCCTTTGCCTCATAAACTAGATAATGTCATAACAAAATTATGAAATTGCTCCTATTTATCAAACTGAGTGTCTTCATGCACCAAGAACATGCTTCTTTGTTGCACAACAAAAACCCCTCACATAACAGTGGCATGTATGTGTGAGCGATCTTAACAATATATAGCATTCAGGGCTGCAAATGTGCATGAAGTTTATGGTCAAAAATGCACCCACACACACACATAGACTGGCATCATTTCTCCCATGGAAATAGCTGTACTTGCAGGAGTATTTAAATGTACTCAAGTTTAGAGCCCCGTCCTGATCTCGCAGTTGGCTGATACAAGTAGCTGGCCATGTGTAGGACTGAGTTAGCACAGGAGTAGAATTACACTTGGAGGCAGGAAATGTGATATAGCGGGAGAATCCCTCGGGCATACACTTGTGTTTTGTCTACTTAGATTATCTTGTCTTAATCAAAGCTCTGCCTCGTATCAAAGCTAGATGGCTTGAATGCAAGCTATTATATTGGCTTCTACCAAGCTAATGTCTGACAAACATCCATAAATTTGTACAAATTTAATTTGTGGCATTAAAGGGCATCAAAGGAGCTATAATCCTTACACAGTGCAGTCGAGTGTGGTAGTAAAATGCCTTTGTGGGAACAAGTTGCTTTTCTTGTCTGTCAGTTATCTGATACCCTGGAGACGGTGGATATGCATCTGAGTGACACTAAATGTCTTTTACACATTGGGGCTGGCAGGAGGCAACAAACCCATGGGACCTGGGAGGTGTCTGTCTGAAATTCATGGGCGAAACACCAAAGAACTATTCTTTGCATAGCTTGACGTTTGTGAAAAAACTGACCTGGCTGTCGAGGCCCAGAAGCAGCAGCATGATAAAGAAGAGGATGGCCCACAGGGTTGGCAGCGGCATCATGGACACAGCTTTAGGGTAGGCGATGAAGGCCAAGCCGGGACCTGGAAGGAGAACAGAGTGGGGATGGGGAGAAGGGGCGGAGGACAGAGTTAACATTTCTATCTGATTTCAGCTTGGACGACACACTGTTAGGGGATCAGAAAAAATGGTGCAAATGCTGAGCTAAGGAGGCTAACAAAGTTTAGAAGGAAATATCGTCTAATGTGGCCAACAACATAGACATGAGATAAATCTAGCTGGGTTGAATTCTTATTCTTTGTTGGCCATTTAAGATTAAAATTCTCCTTAGAGGGGTTTTGCAAAAATAATAGTCCTGTATGTGTTCAAATGCAGGACAAACAACTATATTCAACTGTGCTTAATGCAACTTTTACACAGTAAATACTACATAACTTCCCACAATTTATAACAAAATCAAACTACTTCACTGTGCACATTTATTCATACGTTCTGTTTATACTGACATAGCATAGCCTTTAGTTACATCCCACTTTGCAACTTCATTGAACTGTTATTCACTCTGAACTAGTTTCTCTTTACATATTTTTATATGCACCTAATGTCTGCGGGATGCTGCACTGCATTTTGGTACTTACTGTGTGCAACAACAATAAAACTAAATCTAATCTTACCTAATCTAAACAAAGCAGACATGGATTTTAGCAAAGCCATGAACCAATTCAACAGTATATAGGTAATAACAGCAATACACACAGAATCAGCAGTCGCACTACAACTAGTGCCTCAATTAAACAGCTGAGCAGAATGCAGGACATTTGTATAAAAAAACAAAAAGAAAGAAAAATATGCTTTGATACAATAAATGTAATTCTTTTTTTCAAGTACACTATAACATGCCATCGTAGAACGGCTGTCATTGTCATTCAGCTGTAGTTCGATGCCATGTCGTATTCAAGATAGTTTAATTTTAACTGAAAAGAGCAGGCATGCTGAAAGAAGACACATCTCCTTCAAAGACCACATAGAAGATAAAGGAAGACAGAAACAGAACCGGTGGCGTCCACCTCTGGAGATCCACAGCTTGTTAACAGAACTGGGTTTACAGTGCAGTGCTGCTGGTCAGAAATATCACCTCAGGGTGCCAGTGCACATACAGTAAATCACATACAGTGGAGTGCCAATCTTCTTAGTAATGCCCCCCTGGTCGGAAAGATGTAAAAGCTACTAAATGACAGGAGCAGGTTGAATGTGGGACACGTGGTGCCAGTGAACACCTGTAATAATGATGATGGCCCAATACAGGAGCTCTCTTGACACCACAGTTCAGTGTGATCTGTCCTCAGAAAACAGGGAACAAGTTTCGCACTTAAGCAACAATTCTGTTTCTTTTAGGCTTTTATTCAAGGAGTGTGCAATTGCCGAGACCGCTACATTTCAGCATCATAGTTTCCGAGACTTTGATAAATTACCTAAAGGACTTTTTCTTTCTCGTTTCAATTTTGCTTTAAGTTTCCAATTGTCTTTTTCTTTTTTTCTTTTCTTTTTTTTGGCAGCAGCGCCCACCATCACTGCAGCCAGCACCTTGGACCCTCGTACCTGACTCTGCCACATCGGCAATGTCCACCCCTTGTTCTTGTGCCATGAAGCCCAGGACGGAAAATATTGCGAAGCCAGACACAAAACTGGTACCGCTGTTGAGGCCTCCCAGCAGCAAACAGTCCCTATGTCACACATATGTCATGGAGGTTGTTAATGAACACAGGTGGAACCGAAGTTCCCATTTTCTTTTCACGCAACCGTCTCTGACACGAGTTGCTGTCACTACTACAGTCCCGCTCCCCCCCCGGCGGCAACGCAACTCACCTGTAGCAGTTGTATTTGTATTTGTTGTAGCTCCCCAGTGACGTCATGGCGCCCAGGCAAATGGCATAGGAGAAGAAAATCTGGGTTCCTGCGTCAATCCACACCTGAGGAGACCGAAGTGATTGCTGATGTTGACTGTTTTTCCAAGTTCGACATGGTCAAAATTTTAGAATTGTGTGATAAAAACCTATAGAAAATAATTTTGAGAGTGGAACTTAGGGCAGCAAAAATGTGCTGTAAACACATGTCTTGACCTTTTAAGTTGACATGATGAACTTAGTAGCAAATATTTGGTTATTTGGATACTGAGCAACTATGAAGCAACTTTAGCATTCATAAGGTAGAGTCAGTTGAATACGAGTTTAATATTTACTCTGAGATCGGTTAAAGTACAGCACTATAGGAAAACTACAGGCCATAAAACCAAATTCTTTTTCTGAAAGATGCTATAAAACTCTGTAAATCATCACATTTATCACTACAGCTATGCATTATAAATACAAAAACATAGCATGTAGTGCTCTAGTACCAGGACCGTTTCTATATAAATACACTGTGAAGGTGAAAGATCCGTCATTTTATCTGAAATCAGGGCAAGACATAGTTCAATCTAATTAATTTCAGCACATCGGTATTTGGAGCCGTGCCAATCATGTCTGCTTATTTTATTCACACGATTACTAACGAGAGATAATGTAGCAAGTTAACACAACACAATTACACTACAGTGATTTAACTAGTTCCCTGAGTTCCCTGCCAGTTAGCTTAGCTTAGCTTAGCTTAGCATAAAGGCTGCAAATAGCAAGACCTGCTGTGTTCAAAAGTATCCAAATCCTGCAACTAGCTTCTCTGTAGCTTTAGTAATTACTTTAGACTTCAGATATTGTAAGAAATACTTCCTTTTCTACAATACTTTTAAATGGAGCAGGTCGCTAGACACCTTTATGCTAAGCTAAGCTAAAATGCTGCTGCATGCGGTTTCGTATAAAGTTCAAAAATGAGTGTTGAATCTAAGTCTCAACTAAAAGTGTCATGCTGTTCCTCTAACACCTCGAGACAGAACTATAAAATATATAAGTAGGGAGTTGGAGCAGGGATCTATGACAGTTGAAAGAGCTTCTGATCCTACCTCTGGATCCTGCAGGCGGGTCAGGTCAGGGTAAAGGTAAAATTTGATCCCTTCAGAAGCGCCTGGCAGAGTGACGCCACGTACCAGCAGTACGATCAGCATCACAAATGGAAAAGTTGCTGTTATGTACACCACCTGGATGGGACAAAGGAATTATGGGCTAAAGTAACGGTTCAAAAGTCGCAGGCTCATTACTCATCATTGGTGAAACATAATGGGATAAACACTCCGTTCTTTTTAAGTTCACATTTCTAACATATTTTTCCAACTGAAGGACAAAAGAAACATTGTTCTTATTTCCCTCCACACAAAGTGTTTCCACAGAGAAGAACACACGCTTGGTGATGCACATCCAATGGAGCGTGACGCAGTTCCACGGTATACAAACTTTCGACTTCCCGAATTGCTATCTTCCTAAAGATTAGATTATTTTGAGGGACGTTGGCCACAACAGTGACCTGTGCATTAAGTAGAAAATAATAAAACCCACAAATAGATCTTAATAGAGTTAATCATTTTCCTCTCAGGGTTGCTCCTGTTGGCTCTGACCCAATTTCTGTCCTGCTAAGAGAAACAAAGACAGGGCTGAGGAGCGGCAGTCAACTGTTTACAGCCGACAGTGTGTCTGGCCAAGAAGCAACTTCCAGGACAACTTGGAGGCTTGTGTCTCTAAATCAACTATATTAACTGTGTTTCCAAGCATGTGGCTTTTCTCTGAGCAACAGTGTTTTGCCAGTCAGGGTAAAAAAAAAAAAAAAAAAAGGCCAAACAGCATCCAGGCAACACAATAAGTACAGGATGTGTCTACGCCTCAGCACTCACTTTCCCAGTGGACTTGACTCCCTTCCAGATGCAGAAAAAGCAGATAACCCACACAGCAAGGAGACACAGGGCTAAGTCCCACTTCAGGGGCCCTATGTCCTCGATCCCAGTGGAGATGCTCAGGACGTTGCGTCTGCAGAAGAAAACAGGGGCACATGACAGGTTTACAGCAGTGCGTGGAACTTTTAACAGATGGGGTTATCTTTTACGCTTTCATAAACAGGATGTAGGTCATGGTGCCAACTACACCATGTGAGCACTAGAGACTAATTAAAAGGACAATAAAGATATCAAAGGGGCACGTGACTTGGCCTTTCTGTGCTGTTCAGTGCTTTCGCCTGCCAAAAATCTGAATATTAAACTGGTGAGAAGATTATTTGGAAAAGCTTTGAAGCTGGAGCTGCTAACTGCATAAACACTTCACATTTAAAACTATTTGTTGAGATCTGTCATCTGATTCAAATATTTCACAAAGCAAATGGATAGAAAAAAAAAGGGAGCTTCACTTGGTTGGGGTTCCAGTTTAATTTGAACTTAAGTAATACTTTAAACCATATATCCAATGCCAAAACAAATACAGTTCAATATAAACTGGTGGAGAACGGCTTTGTAAAGCTAAACAGTACCTATTCAGGAATTGCACCTCTCTAGACACAATTGCTCAAGCAAGATAAAAAATCAGTGTTGCTCTGACATGGTTGTGTGAGTGGACGTGCTTTTGATGAATACTCACTCCCAGAACTCGGTGACTGGGGAGGTAAAGTTGGTAATATTGGCTGCCAGCCAAAGGGTCTTGTTCTTCCGGACTGTGTCCTCTATACAGTACTCTGTGTTCCAGGGCTGCTTGCATTTTGCCCAGGGGAGCTCAGGCTGAAAGCACTGAAACAGGTAGTAGAGTCCCCAGGCCAGAATCACGATGTAGTAGATGTTCAGTAGAGATACGATCACGATAGAGGCGTAGCCAATACCTGCAGACAAAACAAGAGGGATGGCAGATTTTGAAGATATCACCCTAATCAGCATTTCTTTTACTTATACAGTTAAGCTTTTGCTGGTGTTATAGTGGACGCAGTTGGTAGCACTGTTGCCTTGCAGCAAGAAGGTCGCTGGTTCGTGTCCCGGTGGGAGGTACTGGGATTTTGCAGCGTAGGTTCTCTCCCACAAGTCCAAAAACACGTTGAGGTTAATTGGTTATTCTAAATTGTGAATTCCAGTGTGCTTGGTTGTTTGTCTCTAAGTGTAGCCATAAGTCAGCTGGGATAGGCTCCTGTGACCCTAGTGAGGATTAAGCGGTGTATAGATGATGGATGGATGGTGTTATAGCTTTGTTTACACCTGAAATGACACATTTTATGACTGGGAATGCAACAGTGTCTTCACCTTCTTAGTTTATGTGGCCATTTTATTACCATATAGCTTAAACATCCAGCAGAGAGAGAGAGAGAAACATGGATAGTCATGTTTCCGGCCACGTGATGAATGTGAGTCCAGTTTTTCGCTTTCCTTTAAGCTCTGTTTTTGGTCTCGACCAACAAGTTAGCCAAAAAAAATAGCTACTAAATGCTCCACTTTGTCTGTCTGTAGCCAAAAACACCTCTGACAAGTGCAGTGAGAGCGACCAAGTGAGTTGAAAGACTCTTCAAAGCTGTGCAGAGCTGGGATGAAATGCAGAGTTCATTCTTTGTACATACAATTGCTCATCTGATCCATTGTTACTATAAAAACTATTCATCACAGCCACTTTCATCTTGCCGCAGGGATGTAGAGGTGTAGTCCTTGGCGTCATCACCGTCGGGCGCAGTAACAGATGCGATAGAGTGCACTTCTGACCACAACCAACCACGCCCAGGAATGACATTGAGTGTGGTCAGAGGTGAGCATGAGGGCTTTATTTAAACTTTTAAACCAGGCTGTCACAAATACAAAACCAACAACTGACTCAAGATTGGGGGAAAAACATGTCAAGCTTGACTCGACGGTGACTATCTACTATTATAATGTCCTTCGTGTTTTTACGCTATTTTTAGATGACTTTGCCACAAAACCTGGACGCAGAAATCCCCGGTACTCTTCCACTGCTCCGGAGTATTTTTAAACTTATCATCTCAGTCGCCCCCCACCTCCTCATTCCCACATTCCAAATGCAAACTGATAGACAGTCAATGCTGTGACAGGTGTGTGTGTGCGTGTGTGTGTGTGGGTTGGTGAGCAGTGAGTAAAGCCAAAGATTCACTGTGTGATAAAACACGTGGAAGTGTGGGGGAACAAAAGGGGGGAGATTTTTGCGATTGGAGCCACTTGTGGACTTTCTCTGCCGTGCCAGACGCTGCGGCAGATGGACAGACAGCAGCCTCAGCGTTCTTTTGAATGGCGGAGACCATCGGCAGCTGCTAGAGATCCATTGCCCCACAGTTTCCTCGCTTTTCATGTGACGTCTCTTGTGTGAACATGAGTAAGGGTGTCGCGGCAGCTGCTGAGGGTGGGGTGCCTCAGCGCTTGTCTACAGCTGTCACTCAAAGGTACAGGGCTGCACGAAACAGCAGCAAGAGGGTCGATAGTATCGGTAGCTCATGAGGGGTCTTAGGTCAAGAAACCGGTGGCAGAATGCGACAACGCTGTCGCAGAAGACATGCGGTATTTATAATCTCCAATAAGCTGAAGGAAATGGATCCACTCTGTAGCTCCGTGCCGTCAACACAGTATCTTTTCATGTAAACCTGCCACATGACACTGTACCCATTGCTAGGCAACTTAATATTTTCTTTCCCATAGTCTGTTTCCATGGCAACCAAGAACTCATCAGTCTATTATACACACTTGAATCTGAAATCCAAGGATGACTTTGTGTTTTAAAGGGCCTTCAAGCATGTGGTGTTAATACTTGTTTAATTATGTTTGCATAAATGTGTGCATGCAAGTATGTTTGTATCCTCTGGCTGGAGTTGACCCCTAATTAAAGTTTTTTTTTCCTTTAAAAATGTCATTCAACCTCCATAATTCTCCATGCTGAGTATTTTCCAATTTAACTCCTGCCTCGTTTTGCTAAATGATATCATTTCGACAACACAAAGCAGACTAATTAAGTAAGACTGGTTCAGTTACACCAAGAGAGAGGAGGGGAGACTTCTGGCAGAACATACTGTCAGGATGACGAAAACTGGACTGAAATGGAAAAGAAAATCAGGGCAGAAATCTTGTTCAGACAAATGAGGCTTTTACTCAGCGTTAAATATTAAATGATCTTGTCGGGGACGATTTGTGCTGTGATGCATAGTTTCTATTCGTCTTTCCGTGGGTGAAGATGTGTACGTTTAGGTGTTTGGACTGACCGGTGAATATGGGGCAGAGCTTGCCCCAGCAGGTGATCCCTCCCTCGGAGGTGTACTGGCCCAGTGCGACTTCCAGGAAGAACACCGGCAGGCCACCCCCGAACAGGAAGATGAAGTATGGGATGAGAAACGCACCTGAGAGTAGAAATCAGTTCAGAATAAGACATGTTCTTGCAATCACAACTGTTTTTTTTTGCATCTGTTGTGCATCTGTTGCCTACCTCCACCATTTTTATAACAAAGATAAGGAAAGCGCCAGACGTTTCCTAATCCGACGAAGCCTCCGGCCACAGACAGGACAAAGTCGAGCTTACTGGCCCACTTCTCCCTCTGAGGAGCCTTGCCTTCAGCCTCATCCTCGGGCCGCGTGCCGGGGCTCTTCCCTGGCGAAGGTTTCAGGGTGTCCTTGTGAAAGTCCTTCAAGCATTGGAGCTTCTCTTTTTGTGCCATGCTGTGGACAGCAAAACAAAAAAAAGCATGCGTAAGATGGCGAGACAAGGAGAGAGACAGGCAGAGGTGAGAGGGATAACACAGAGATAGGAAGGAGCATTAGGGAGATAATGCTGTGGCCTGACTGCGTTTACAGCTTGCCGTGTGAGCACATGATATACAGTACAATGCTGTTAATCTTGCTAATCTGAGCAACTGATGCATGGAGGTCATTCAGCCTGAGGAAGTGTTTGGGGAGCTGATTTGCATTGGAACTGAGAGCAGAAGTGAATTAGAAAGGAACATTTATTGCATGTCCAACCCCTTGTGCAAGAGGAGAAATACAAATTAACAAGTACTGTGGCACATCAGTGCCACAAAGTGCAACACACAGCTTTCGAGAACAATCTAAGCATCTACATCTAAAGAGAATAATTTCATCTTAAGCAATAAAACTTCAGTATTTTAAATGCATGGTGCAAACTGTGTAGCTCAAACAGTATCCACATCACAGTTGCGCACATTCACGTCCCTGTTTTCCAACTTCACTCTGGGTCTCAGGGTGGATCTTCTGCTCACAGGGGGGCACATTGTGAGTGAAGGAAAAGGAAGGGAATGTTTGGGAACGATATGTGCCTTTAAGACCTCAAATGAACCTGAAGGACAGTTTTTCCTTTAGCTTCCCGTATGCTACCGTATCAGCAACGTGTCAGCCCAACATAATCCAAATTTAGAGAGGAAGATATCCCTCTGCATTCCCAACACGTTGGCTGCTCTCAGGAAGCTTCGACAGCTTAAGTTCGCTTGAGTGTTTACACTGTAAACCGCCTTTCCAAGAAAGACAGGATTTGTTATTACTGACCAAGGTATCCTATTTCCTCGCATGAGCCAAAGGGGAGAAAAGTAACCCTAATAAGACAGGAATAACCATGTAAGACATGTCGAGGCTGAATATGATTTAAGCTCCCAGCCGGTATATATTAAAGAACAAAAGAAGGACAATGAGTAGGCTATAATTAATCTTAAGATGTGAGATAAATTAGAATAAGAATGAGAAAGGCCTTTTGTTTTTTTTTAAGTTTGACTTGAATAGAGAAGAAGTTGGCAGAACAACTTTAGATACTTCCCCTTAACTGTTAAGGCCACAAAATAAATTCAGACTGCGTTGTTCATTGAAGCTGACACAAAAGTACATGTTGTTCAGAAAAGAGCCGACTCTCCACAGAATTAGTTTTGGTTAAGAGCAATTTAAGAAGGACAATTTAAACAGTAATAAGCACAAATTTCAATAACAACTCCAAATTGTATGACATTCATCTCAGTGACAGAAACAACTTTTTTTTTTTTTTTTACCTCTCAGGAATTAACACTTTTAGCAGCAGCCACATTAAGATTCTCTTAAAGCTCTAACATTCCTGTTGGGAACTGTGCGTCTCCTCACTTAATTAACACTGTGTCCCATCATTTTCAAGGATTTCTCTCTTCCTGTTATGCATGACAAGTCAACTTGAACTGCTTTCCATTCTCAAACCTGCTTACATAACTGGATCAGTTCTTGCTCACTCTGTTTCTCATCCTGTTTGTCTCTCTCTCTCTCTCTCTCTCTCTCTCTCTCTCTCTTTATCCCTTTCCCCTCTTTTCTTTTAGTCCCGTCCGCTCAACGTCTGCTTTCACCTGCCCTGCCTGGTGTTAGGAGGGTGTCCGATAAGACTTAACGCAAACTGCCCACGAGATCCAACCCAGACATGCTTGACAAGAAATTCCTTAAGCTTATATAAAGGAAAACATGGGACTAAATGTAAACTGTCACCTCTTTCTTATGGGAATCACAAAATCACAACTATAAAGCCTGTTTGCAGTTCTTCTTCTGTGTATTTAACCTTTTACCACACAAAGAGATGATATCAAACGACACATTACACTGCTTTTGATTTAACTATTTTTAAATCCGCTTTAAACAGAAAACATTACAAAACACACGCAAACCCAGTAAAATCTAGTCTCCTCAACGGCAGAGTAATTCAGAACACTTACATTTCCTTCATGGCTGCGACTATGTATAGCGTTCCTCTCTCTCAGCTGTCACCATTCCTCTGTACTGAATGCCTTTATGCCGACACGGGTCACAAGAAGTGGAGCTGACACTAGGGCCCGCCCCTTGGCTAAAGACAATTAAATCCAATGTGCAGATTGGACGCAGCCCGGCTGTGACAGACCACTCAGGTACCAACGTGGGAGACTGTAAATTTCCACTTCCACTTTTCCACTCCCACAAACATACACACAGCCAGGCGGTGGTGGGGAGGGGTGGGGGGGATGAGTGTGTCTGTCACACATACGAGCAATGCACACACACATACTTCTTGTTCATGTTGAAGACACAGAGGACATTTCAGAGGAAGGCTGAGCTGCTCCTTCACTGAGTTGTAATCTAATACAAAAGGAGGAATTGAAGGCAGGATTGACAGTTTTAGTGCACACACTGAAATAAATCACTTTCATAATAAGTCTCTCATATCATCACCACGCCACTTCCAAGCATCTTTGTGAGAAAACTATTTATACAACTACTTTCAAATGTAGGATTCCTGTCCTCCATCGTTTCATGACATGTGGTTTGTTATCTGGGTAATGTAAACCAGTACAGTATCAGCTGCCTAATAAGGTAAAGTGTCTCCTCTGCTTGTCCGTGGTGTGTTTGGATACTGCTCACCGCTCTGAGAGCTCACAATGGTTGGACAAAGAGCGCCGGCATGCAACTGTCAATTTAAAACTACCTCCGCAGGATCCGCACACTTCAAACACTGCACACGCCCACACTTTTGACACCTTTTTTTTTTTTTTCCCCATCGTCATAATTCATCATGTTTCGCTCTGCCGTGCACCTTTGCCAAATGTCTGTCTAATCCTTTGCATGAGAGACCACAGGATTTGTATTTGGAAGGTAGATGCATGCAACAGAAAGAGAGCCTGTTTCGTATAAGGCCATGAAGTCAAATAAGAGTTCTTCCTTAACGAACTGAAACCTTTTGGTGTTTGCTTAGAAATCATAAACTTTACAGGAACAGCGTGAGGCCTTGATTGTTGCTGAACACTGGATCTGTATGTTTGCAGATTGTAAACACACTATTCAGTCGTCCACCTTCGAGCAACTTTTCTGTTTTTTTTGGTCAAGTTTCCGTTTTGGTGCATTTTGTCTTGAATGACTTGATCTGAGCTTTGGCTTTCAAACCTACGTGTTGTGTTTGAAAAGAAAAATCACACAAAAAAAACAATCCAACAGTATTATCTTTTAGTTTAGCAGAAAAACAACAACCACATGAAGGTTTCTGAGATTTTTATGGTATCAATATGTTAAAACATGCTCATTTCACACTAGAATATGATCTTTTATCTGCGAAAATCACATTTTCACAGTTAATTAGCAGGCAAAATATTGCGACTTTAAGTGCAAAGAGCCCACAGGCCGCCCTTTTTCACCGTTTTATTTTCAGCACCGGCAGCTAAAAGAAGTGCAGCGACCCCGCAGGTTTTATCTGCTGAGAGGGCGGATTGGGGTTATTAAAGGACACATGACAATCAATCATACACTGGCTGGGGTGGAGACTGAAGAAGTAGGTTAAGTATGTGCCACTAAGTATAAGATATAAGCTAGTAAACGTCTTAGTCGATCAGACTTACTTCAGCAAGTCTCCTAAAGGAGGCAAAATACACATTCAGCCATTCATTCATTCACTCATCGGATGACTTGTGACTGTGACAAAAGTGAGTGTGCACCTGGAGCCTGCAGGAAACAGCAAACCACAGCCTGTTCCACAACCACAAACACATCACATCACATGATAGCGTGATGTCCGGACGAGCCTGAACGCATCACAACAGCCCTCCAAAAAACGATCAAACAGAAACGAGTCTTATCTGATTTACTGTAAACACAGGAAACCAGGTTCAAAGGCCAAATCTGCGTTTTCTTTTATAAGCAGAACATTATTTACCCAAGTTGTGCTTAAAGCAAAAGCACAGGGTTTCATTTTTAGCGAGGAAAAAAACGGAGGAGGAAGAGCATCATGTTAAAAAAAAAAAATTAATAAAAAAAAAAAGCAAGCGTTGTTTCTATTACAGAGTAAAATGAATAAACGTCAAATAACTAAATGTTAAAAAAATAAAAATAAAAAGCTTAACAATACAGTTTTCTATCACACATTCTCTTGGATTTTAGCGTCATTAACCTTGTTAATTGATTTGTAAAAGGTAAATAAGGTTAGATTACCTGTCCTCTTACTAAGCAGCTTGTTGTTCCTTGTCGTGCAGTTCAGTGAAACAACTGAATCTATTTTTCATGAGACCATTGTTTAATTTCAGTTTGAGTGGAAAATCACCAGCTTCTCCATGCAACAGCTTCTTAAAGCGACAGCCTCCCTCCGTCCCCTTCACCTGCTGCTTCAGCGCTACTGGCTGACAACAGCCGCCACATGTTCTCCACACATCGACATATTGATTTACATCCACACGCCACATTTTTTTTTTATTTTTATCATTATTTTTGCATCGATTTGCAAAAACACTGATAATGTTTATTGTAAACGTCTCACATGTTGTTAAGAACCGAAAGAGTTGTAGAAACCCCAATTTACGATGTGCGGAAAAAAAAAAAGAAAAAAGTTTCGAACGAGGAAGTCTTTATGGACTGGATTTAACACTTTTATTAACTGTTAAGGAATGATTTACAAAATGCTCTGTGTATCAGTTACAACTCATTATTGAAAACAAGTTGTGTAAAAAAAAAACATTGGCAAGGTGGCAGGTGTTCTTTCCTGTTTGCTTTCACTCTGTTTACTTTTTTGTATTAACCTTACTCACTTTTTTTCTTTTTTCCTCCCCCCAAAACCTTAGTGGGGTAAATTGGTGTAATAGATAATATTCTAGGGCCCTAAATATTCCAATTACTAATCAGGTAAATTTATATAAATGATCATAACCTAGGGTCTTAACTTTAATATTTTAAATTGTTCAGGTAAATCAATATAATTAATAACATTGTAGGGTCTTAAGTTTAGTGTTCTAGTTAGCTGGGTAATTTTTTATGATAAATATTTTTTCGTAAGATGTTAACGATATTATTTAAATTGGTCAGGTAAATTTATATAAATAATAATATTGTATTAATATTATTGAAAGGCCTTGAATATTCAAATTACTCCGGAAAATTTAAATAAATAATGTAAATTTATGTGAATAATCATAACATTTATATTTAAAATAGCTACATTTATATAATTAATAATATTCTAGGTTCTTAACTTTAGTATTCAAATAAGCTGGGTGATTTTTTATGGTAAATATTTTTTATAAGGTCTTAACCATAGTATTTAAATTTCTCAGGCAAATTTATATAAATAATCATAACCTGATATTTAAAATAGTCAGGTGCATTTATATAATTAATAATATTGTAGGGTCTTCACTTTAGTATTCAAATCAGCCAGATAATTTTTTTATGATAAATATTTTTGTAAGGTCTTAACCATGGCATTTGAATTGGTTGGGTAAATTTATATAATTAATAATACTCTAGGGTCCTAACCTTAGTATCTAAATTAGCCATGTAAATTTATGTAAATAGTAATGATGAAGGATCTTAACCTTAGTACTTAAATTATTCAGGTAAATGTATTTAATTAATAGTAATGTAGTGTCTTAACCTTACTATTTAAATTAGGCGAGTACATTTATATAACTGATAATATTGCAGGGTCTCACCTTCATGTTGAAATTAGTCAGATAAATTTCTATATACATTGTAGGGTCTAATCCTTGTTATCTATTTAGTCAGGTTAATTTATATAATTGATTGTAGAGTCATAATCTTAATATTTAAACATATTGGTAATGCCCAGCCAATATATTGATCAGGTGGTATCACTTACACTATATCGGTACCAGTGTACCTGTTGTACACCATGATGTGGCTTCATCACATAGTTTGTCCAACAGAGCATGAGTTGAGTCAAGTAGTGTCTTCACAGTAAGTTGCTAATTTTTGAACTACATTGCTGGAAAGTTAATAAACAATGAGCCCATCGTGTTCCTTTTTTCTTTCAAGATGACTCTAACATACCATATATATGTACAGTATCCTGGCCAGAATATCAATATTGGAATTGTTTTCTTTCCAGAACTCTAGTATTGGTCAGACTATTGTTGTCAGAGTGATTACATAATGTCAATCTTGTTTTTCTATTGGAAAGCACTTTGGTTAAACATCTATTGTTTTAAATGTATCGTAAAAAAAAAAATAACAGTGACATTAACTGACTTTCTAACAAATGATCCACCACTTATTACCAATTGGACTGTACTGATATTCATGGCAGAATATATAATAACGGCTGGTAGAGAGGATGAACCATACTGGAATGTAACTAAGTATATTCTCAGTATTGTACCTAAAATTTTATGTGCCAGTGCTACAATGTATTACTTATACTCCACTGGACCTCAAAGGAATTTTTTTTTTTTTTATAGGCTGAGAAAATTTTCCTCCTTCTTAAGCCACATATACAATTTTACAACTGTACCTTACCTCACCTGAAATGACCACTCCTACTGTACACACCCAGGAAGTCATATAACCGCACTTCCACCTTGAGATCAAAGAGTTCTACAACAAGTTTTAAAAGAAAAAAAGACTTCCACACCTACATTTATTATTTCACTTGGTTAAAGGTTTACAGTGATGATTTTGTTGTGGTTTTATTGGACATCATTTATTTATATTGCAATAGGTTATGCTGTTCAAACACTTTGAAGAAAACGGAAATACCAAGTTCATGAAGTGACTTTAAGTGAGGTCATCCTCCTTCACTTTATTCATAAAACTATTTGCTGGTTCTAGTATTTTGATTTGTTCTGTAATCTATCTACAAGACTGTAAAACCAAGCTTTAAGGCCAGCCCTTCGAAAAAAACAAGATAGTGGAGAACCTGTTTTAGAGAAGCCAGACTGTTTTATTAGGACAGAAAGTAGCACAAAGGGTTAAAGGATACGGTTAGATAATCAGTTGGAAGAGTTGGCCAATATATGAGTTATGCAGATGGTGATTCAGAAGGAACGACTGACAAGTAATCCCAGGAGGCCCAACATGATCAATACATCGCTATCTGTCAGAAAACACAATTCCAAATCGATGTTCACTCCGAATAGTGGAAGAATTCTCAAATCTGCCAAGTGAACTTTTTCCTTACAGCCATAGACACTTTGCCTTTGTACCATGTGAGCATAAAATAGATGCTTTAGTCCATCATACTGAAAGTGGTCCAAAGGTTCAGCAAATCTAGTTTCTGTCCTGAGCATATCTAACAGTTGAGTCTTGCCCTAGATATAGTTCTCGTCACTGTAAAGCTCATTTTTGTCATATCCCTTTCACCCTTGTGCCAGTAAACCAGCCTCCTTTATCTCTATTATCTCTCTATCAGCAACAGTAGTGCTTTTTTAATTACTACCAGTTCATCAGCCTTTTGAATAAGTGCCACTTTCCTTTTCCTTTGTATCAAGCACATCTGTCTGTGTCATACCAGGAGCTCAGCAAAGCTCAAACAGCCCATAGTCTTCACCAGCACCAGCTCAAGGGACCCTATTTCCATCATATACAATAAGACCACCTCCCATTGCTGTTCTTCAAGATTCATTAACCAGGTTACAGCCTTCTACGTATCTTCAGTAGTCTGTACAGTGGCCTCAATCCCCATATCCTGTTTCCCAGCCAACCCAGTTTCAAATGTCCCTCACCTCACTGGACCCTTGTGAATTTGTTATGTTAAAGACGACTCCCACCAACCTTCGTACACTAGAGAAGCCCAGACTGTAGAACTATTATATCCTGTTGAATCATCTGTGTCCCACACAACTGACTACCGTGCACTCTACCCATGACCCACCACCTTTCACCCTGGCACTGGCAGCATTAGGATGACAGTATGGCCACATTAACTAGCACTAATGGAAATACGGGCAGTAGTAAATGTCACTAAGGTTGGAACTTTGCGTTTAGAGTGAGGACACTTGTTGGTATGCTGCAGTCTCTTCAACCAGGAAAAGGTGCTTCGTGCAGAGCTAATTTC